AAACCATAGTGGAGCAGGCTTGAGACACATGTAGATAGTGTGTATTCTATACGGAGTACGGCATAGAATATTGACATGTTTTAGTTGTGGCTTTGAAATTAATTAGCGACCCACCCCAAGAAAGCTTGGATGGAAGATGACGGGGCAGCTTGCGTAGTTGGCCCCAGATGGTTGGGAACTAGCGGGAGGACTACGTACCCCTGAGAAGATTTCTCCCGACTCTGGTATCTTTGGCATCTTTGGGGTTTTAGTCGATATTCTTTCTGTATTCTATTATTTCTTGCATATAATAGGGTAAATGTTGTTTGATACATTTGGATGGCGTCCCAGGCCAATCAAAGTGTTGCCGAACGACCTATCTATGTACACTTGGGCACACATTGAGTTGATTAGAGCTAAATTAGTATGTACTAGGTACCTCTAAAATTAACTATGGGAAGGCCTGATTGATAACTTCCTCTGTGGAGCATTAGAAGTGTTCTAAATGCGCCATGTTTGAGTTGCGTCTCCAAATTATTCGTAGATATGGCCCATCAAACGAGATTTGGCCACCAAGGTGTTGCCGCTCATACGATACAACCATGTCTTAAATGACAAAGGATTCTCCTATTATTCCTGAGATCTTTTCTCTTCCTCCTACTGCCGAACACCACTGCAAGATGGCTCCCAAGCGTGACTCATGAACGGTTAGCTAGTGCGGGTAAGCAGAAATGGTAAATTCAAGTCAGAGAAGACAGGGGCCTTTTGATTTCACCAGAGCCCCAAACACACTAATTATTGCAATTTATATTGACAAAATGAACAAGGAATATACAACAACGATGGGAAGCCAGATACACCCTCAACTAAGAAGGTCCATCACGAAGCAGCAGGAAAGCCTCGTACTGCTTCTGAGTCATCTTCCGACACTTCTTGCCCCAGTAGATCATCGGGACAGTGGTCATAATAAAGCAGAAGCTCAATACACCAATCGCAATGAACACCTGCGCAAGACTCTGCGCATCCAACCAATTCTGAGCAGTGAATGTGAAGATACAACCAATAGTGTTGTTGATGACAGAGACACCGACCATGCCCTCCAGCACCATATCCGGGTACGCATCCATGAGATACGCCATGCTAAGATCGCCAGCACAACCCCAGCCGAAACCAATGAATCCCAGTCCAAGATATGGCAGATGCCAGTCCCAGCCTTTATCCGAGCCGATACCGAACAGCATGAGGCCAGCAGGGCCGATGAAAGCAACAGGCAACAGGAGCCAGAGACGCTGCTCAGCCTCGAAGATGCCCTTATTTCGCTTGGCCATCCACATGACGAAGAAGTCAGAGAACCATCCACCGTAAATACAGCCGAGGACAGACCCGATCAGGGTCGGCACGTTCATGATGCCCACTGCGGCGTCGGTGTAGTTCCAGGGTGCATCGTACCAATTGTCCGTTTCAACGGTGAGGTAGAAGGTCAGCCAGGCGTCTTGGGCACCCCATTGAAGGCCCGAGTAGAGGACTGCCGGGAAGGTGAAGACGCGCAATGTGTGCAAAAGGCGACGACCATACTGCTTGAAGCCCGTCCCGACTAGGGTTGGCGACGGGGTGATCAGGGCGATGCGCTGGAAATATGTATTTCCTTTTTCCTGGCCGCATTCTTCATCGAGTTCACGGTCGGAGGGTGTCGGCTGCACGCTCGCAATAGGTTCATCCTTTTTCTCCACCGGGAGGTTATTCGACGTGGGCTCAGCATTCACAGGACGCGCATCATGTCCGTGAATAGGGTTGTTCCGATCAAAGGATGTCTCCTCCAATGTGAAGTAAAAGACAACGATCAAAGCCCCGGATATGATGACAGCGAGCCAGCCCACCCATCTCCACCCAAGGGGAGAGTCGACGATAAAGCTGGACACCAAGGGTCCCGTGAATGTACCAATACTCGTGGCAAGAACGTACAATCCAAGTACCAGCCCTCTTTGATGCTGAAAGAACAGATCGGAAAGAGACAGCTGGGCAAGCGCCTCCGCGCAGGATTCGGAGGCGCCCACGAAAAGTTGGCTCCAGATGTTATCTCCGACATTTTGGGTGCGGGCTAGCCCGATGGAGCCAATGACGGAAAACACCAGACAAATCAGATAAGAGATACGTCTTCCATATAAAAAAGGTGCTGGGCCGAGAAGCAATGTGGTATATCCAATACCGACAAACAAAACGCCTGCGGCAATGTTGATCTGGTCCCACGTGATACCCAGCTCGGCGTTCATGCCGTTTCCAGCGCTGCTGGCATCATTGGCGGTTGCCGCAGTCAGGGCAACAAACACAAGGACTAAAAATGAATGCCAGTACCGTCTCCAGGTGCTCCAGTTTAGTGGATCATTCGGAGAATTGGTGGGTGAAGGAATTAATGCGACTTCCCCGTCAACGCAAATGCGCTCGGTGCCATTGAGCTGTAGGTCGTCTTCCATTGCTAAATTCAAAATCGGAATCTGATTCAAACCCGACCTGGCAAGCCAGTCATGCTGGAGACATTTTGAGAAAAGAGAATGTGTGTCTCTATTAGAGGGAAAAAATAGAAAAGAAGAGGGAAATTTGTGAGGATAAGAATTTTCGATCGATGTGGGGCCACTTCCGCAGGAGATAAGCAGGCTAAGCATTTCCAAGGACGGGTCAACTTGATACAATTCTTGGTTTACTATACCTTCTTTCACTTTATATGTCCAATTAAATTGGCTTGGATTATACATATAAATGGGCCTCGGGATGTATATACCTTGGATGGCGGAAATGAAGACATCTGGATGCAACTTGATTGTTTCAAGACAGCTGCTGTGTCCCGTTTCTGGTCATGTTCCTTATTTTACCCCAAAACCTCGAGCTCGGATGTCAAGTTGACAACTTAGAATGGCTTAATCTTTGGGAATTTTTCCGGTGTAATAGGGGCCGTATATCACACGTTTTGGGCAAAAGGGGCTCTAGTGTTACCACCTAGAGATTACTTATCATTCATTTCCAATCAGGGCGTTTAAAAGTGAAAACTTGAGATAACAATGTGATGATACTATGGCACCCTATTGGTTTAATATCCTTAAGCAGTGCGGGGGAGATGACCAACATTCCCCTCTAGTCCACAATCTATCAAAGCTCAAAGCCTAAGGCGAGGGAACGCTCACACAAAGGCAAGGGCTTATCGGACCTTCCACTTGTGCTATTGTAGATGTTAGCCGTCCAGACGTCGCATTCAAGTCATCGATATTTGCAAAGGCCCTATCTGCGAGAAAACCAGTATCTCAAATACATAATATTCTAGGCTCTAGGTCCTTATCTATGCTATGCTAGTTCAAACTTTCATTATCTTCATCTTCAGCTTGCTATGAGAATATTTCATGATGGACCTCAGTTTGGAATCCCCATTGAGATATTCTGCTACACGGAGATGGTGGCCTTTCCTCTAGAAAATACTGCTTTGTTTTGTTTTGGCCCTATGCTAGCGTTGACGAAGAAGTTCTATAACAGCCATAACAAAACCTCAGTTTGTTGAGACTCGATGTGCCACCTCCTCGAATCTAAGTCTTTGTTTACGAATTCAGCAGATCGCGGTAGTTGGGCGAGAGCGCATATGCATGCATATTGGAATCCATGTTTCAACCCTCCTATTCTCTGACACCAAAGTATCGTTCACGGACTTACCACCTCTCTCATTAGTAGATACTGTCCTGACCCAACATATCGCTTTTGTAGTGCCAGGTATATCAAACCGTGATGACTCGCTCTGGATTTTAAGGCGGTACCTTCTGGGAAGTACAATAAACACACTTCTCAGAGATTTAATGTATCAACCTCTTGCGTCATAGTTGTACACCACCTGGAAAGTTTGTGCGAGGCAAACTTGGAATGCCATCGTGCAGGAGTAAGTGTTTGGGGTATGTGACTGAGAAGGCAGCTGGGAAGGTAGCCTTAAGTCACATGCCCCTCCGCATTGGAATGTTGTCCTTACATTTCTCCCTCTTTTCCTTCTTTCCGAGAATTTCATTTTGACTTAAGACCATTCAATAGATCTGCTTTCATCACTTCATCACTCTTTTCTACTTCTCGCTATCTCTGAGACCAACAGGTACGCTAATCCGGGATCCTTTCCGGAAAGTCGTCATTGGTAAACCCACCGTAAACCCGTCGGTGGACTCCAATTCTATGACCTGGGACGTTATCTACATAGTTGGTTTGATTGGACGTTATCTGGGACTCACGTGGGCAATCCCCTGCCAACCGCGCCAAATCTCACTCGTGATCTGCAGGCTGATGCGGGTACATGCGGCCAGGATGCGGGTCTGATCAGATTTGGAGGAATCGGTAAGGGGATGACGATAAAATCGTTCCTAAAGAAGCTGACGATGTTCATGAAACCCACCTGGGAACACCACACCAGTAGTTTCGTTGCAAGGGTTCCCCTCACAGCCTATCGCGGGATATAGCGACCACGGGAGACTGTGATTCTATTGGCTTTTAGGATTCACCGCTTGCTTTTCCGCCCTCGAAGTAATTTCTATACTTTGACTGTTATATCCATGTATCAGTTTGATGACAAGTTTCTATAGATTAGAGTGGGTTATAAGCAAAATAATCAGCTGTTTATAAGGCCTCCATACCTGATCATATAGAACTTGGATAATATCACCATTCCACTATGTTTTTAATGTGTATAAATGCCTGTTTAGAATAAATAATCCGCAACCCAATTCATAATTCGTATAAAACTAATATTTTATACATAATATGAAGCTATCCATGTGACTAAAAGTGCTTATCCAAGTAATTATTACCCCATAATAACCACCCGTGGACGTAGATAGCCAATTTTCTGCTGGCAATAAAAGCCAATAAGACCAAAGTTCCCCGTGGTCGCTATGCACTGCGATAACACGGCCTTAACCCCCTCAACTTCTGTTCAACGTGATCCTTGTTTTTGATCTTTGTTTACTCAATAACTTCAACATCGAATGTCAACTTGTCAACTCAGAATGGCTCAATCTTTTCACCTTTCTTCTCCCATCACGGGCATTAATCCCATAAAACCTAGTCATTGTTGCTCCGACCTGGTTGCGCTCGATGTAACTCCGAAGGAGTTGGTCGAGGGAACACACGCAGCGAGGTCGGAGCGCAAGAAGGTGATTGTGGTGGGTGCTGGAGTTTCAGGACTGCATGCCGCGGCTGTTCTGCACCGCCATGGCTGTGAGGTGGTGGTATTAGAAGCACGCGATCGCATTGGTGGAAGAATCTTGACCAGCCGAAAGGGTGACCATGTCCGAGATATTGGTAAGATAACGATACGGACCTGAAACAGACATAGGAATAGGGGGTGGGGGGAAGAGCAAATGAGATGTGCTGATAGTCAACAGGTGCCGCTTGGATGCATGAAACTTCCCAGAACATCCTGGTGAAACTCATTCCCCAGCTATCTATCCCATATTATTATGACGATGGCGTTCCTCTGTACTTTACCAGGGAAGGCCGAACTGGATCCCAGTTCAAAGCTAAGAAAGTCGCAGACGAGTTCGCGGATTACTGCGAGTGGTTTTACGAAACTAACCCGGAGGCCGAGGACCGTCCTGTCCACGAATTCGCCAAAGAGTTCGTCCTCCAACACCAGCTCATCACCGAAGATGAGCGTGATTGGGCTCCCCAGGCTGTCCGCGAGGTAGAATTGTGGATCGGCACTAGTACGGATCAAGCATCGTCCAAACATCTCTCTTACTTCATTACTGAGCGCAATCTATATATGAAGGGCGGCTATGATCGGATCGTCAACTGGACTGCGGAGCCTCTTCGAAGCGATCCAAGCATCATCAGACTCAACCACCTCGTTGAGGACGTGGAGTGGAATGAAGACGGGACTGCGCCAGCTCGAATCCGGTACAAGGATGCTGCTGGAGAAATCGGGTTCATCGGAGGAGATGCAGTCATCATGACTAGCCCACTGGGAGTCTACCACCACAACCTCATCTCGTTCAACCCGCCCTTGCCGAGTGACATCGAAGAGGGCATGTCCAAGTTCAGCTACGGCGCCTTGGGCAAAGTGTTTTTCGAGTTCGCCGAAGTCTTCTGGTCAAAGGAGAATGACCAGTTTGTCTTCTACCCATCTCCGCCAGAGGAATCGGATGTTTCGTCTGGGTCATCGGTGCAGTCCAACCCCAGCATACTCTCCATCGGGGAGAATGATAACATCCTCAACTACGCCACCGTGACAATCAATCTATGGATTATGACGGGCAGCAAAGAGCTGTGCGTACAGATTGCCGAGCCTCTGACACAGCGCATCGAGAACATGCAAGATTCGAAGGAGATATATCTATTTTTTGAACCGCTTTTCAAATTATTCCGCACAGAACCTTACAAGGCTTTGCCCCGCCTGATCAATGTTGAAACTACACATTGGACCCAGGACCCGCTGGCCGGGTATGGAAGTTACTCAGCCGACAAGGTTGGAGACGAGCCGCAGCTGCTGGTGGATGCGTTGGAAAACCACAAAGCTAGTCGCTTGCAGTTCGCCGGTGAGCATTGTACCCTTGTTGGCAATGGCTGCGTGCATGGTGCTTACAAGTCGGGTGAAACCGCTGCAAACAACCTGCTCGAGGCCTTTGGCATTCCCCATGATGGTGTCGATGACCTTAGCCTGAAATGAAGAATTCTATGGGTCCGAGGAGACTTGGGCTGAAGGATCTACTTGGTTATATTTTGGTTATCTATTAGACACAGGGTTCACTGGGTGGCTGCACTTGGAAATCTTGTGTATTGTCTCCATTTATGTCAAATAAGATGTATCTAGCCAACGGGTTCAGCTATCGCCGAATGAGATTCGAAATGTTTGGACAGAATTTCACACCCCACTATCAACTGATTACTGAGGCGACCATTCCGAGCGACCTTTTAAGCGTAATTATATGATGACAGAGAGTACTTCAGGTCAAACTGAAGGATTTGGCAGATGGTGTGGTGGGGTCATAGCTTTAGGATGTGACCGCATGAGCCTGTGGCGCTTAATCCTATACGAGCGGTGGCTTGACCTCTGCTGATGTTCACTAAAACTAAAACTCAGATGGAGAGCACCGATCGTTGAAATATTGAGTTCAGAGAATTCCTCGGAGCGCGCTACTCCAACGGTGGTACAACTGTTTACTACTGCATAACCCAGAGAGTTACGCCCAAAGCTGCCATGGAGAGTGACCACCAAGAGCTATTAATGATTGTAACACGCAAGAACCCGACATCAACAATGTGGATCAAATGCAACAATCTGCGTTGTATCATGCGATTCGATCAGGAGATGCTGAAATCGTCGAAGAATTGTTACACGATCAGCCAAAATGGAATTACGTTGACCAACAGAGGCCGGCGCTCATTGTCTCCGCCTTCGATAAACCAGATATTCTACAATTATTACTTGATGCGGGCGCAGATCTTAATACACCTGGTCCGGAAGGCTGGTCACCGATTGTTTATGCTGCAAAGTTGGGCAGCGTTCACGTCATTCAAACCCTACTCGATAGCGGTGCTGATCTGCACATTCGCGATGACTACGGATGGACTCCGCTTTGCATTGCAGTCGACTACGAACGCGATAAAAACATATTACAAGCCCTGGTAGAAGGTGGTGCTAGCGTGACAGACACCACCACAGACACAGGAAAGGGACTGCTTCATCTGGCTGTTTGTCGGGCTCCCCATGTTACTCGATTTCTTTTGCGGTTCAAAGATCAGCTGGATCTAAACCAGAGCGACTTTGAAGGTTGTACACCTCTTTTATCAGCGAAAGGAGAGGGGGAAATTGACGCTCTTACCTTGTTGGTTAACGCCGGCGCGGATATAAACTTGGTGGACAGCCGCGGGGAAACAGCACTTCATTGTGCGATTGAGTTTGAGACAGTGCCTTTCCGCGATTTGCTATTATCCCAGCCTGAGATTGAGGTGAATTGTCTCTCTGTTTATTTGGGGAGTCCGCTGCACTCTGCATGTCGTCGATCACACCTGGATTGCGTGGAAGCTTTACTAGCACACGGGGCAGATCCCAATTTGATATCGCCTAACACATGGGATCAGACACCGCTGACTTCGGCATTATTGCCAAGTGAGTATGCGCGTGGGGATATCATGTCCTCGGTGGAGGATGTCGTTCGCCACCTCGTCCGGTCGGGGGCATCAGTTGGAATGATGGTCTCGTCGACATTTTATTGTCCGCTTGCAACAGCATGTTTCTCAGCTACCCCAAGTGTCATTGACTTTCTTCTAGATGCGGGCGCTTCACCAGACTGCGTTGATCCTGTTTCGGGAAAACTCCCGATTCACTTCGCCGCTGCTAACGGCATCGAAAGCTTTGATACTGTCCTGCTCGCTTTCCAGGATAACATGATGATACCTGACACCTACGGCAAGAATTGTCTCCACTGGGCAGCCCAGTACGGCAATTCCTACACTGTGGAATACATCCTGTCCCGCCTCGAACTTCCCTCTGAGCGGAGCCAAGCGGTAGAGCAAGCCGACTGTGATGGGTGGACGCCGCTGTGTTGGGCTGTCTGTCCGCTCTTTAATCACTATCTTAATCAGATGGGCTCTGAAAACAGAGACCACGTCAACACTGTTCGCATCTTACTGAAACATGGCGCAAATCCAATGGTGCAATGTCGGCGAGGCAAAGAGATCTTGACTCCGCTTGAACTGGCACAACGGTGTAATGCCGGGACCGAAATCATCTCCCTTCTCCGGGAGACAGTTTCTGCGCAATCGCAGTTAGTGGCGGTATTTACCTCCCAGAGTGTACGAAAGTACACATGCAGTAGCACGATATGCGATTTCTGTCTAGGGGTATGTTAGCTCTTCTTCTCCTTTGAACACCCGTGTTCTTTTGCCATCGCTGACCTGTCATGACCACTACAATCAGAACGTCTTTGGGAATATTTATGACTGTAGTGCCTGCCCTGAGCATCACTTCTGTACCAAGTGCTATCCCATTGCTAGCAGTGTTCACAATTCGAAACTCCTTCATGACGACCAGTCTCACACCATCAACCTGAGGCCTGGGATAGCTGAGTATCAAGAGTCGAAGAATGTGTTTTCCAATGACAGATATTCTGATATAGAGAGGCGTTCCGATTAACTGTGCAACTAAGAAGGGATAGCGTGTAAGTACCAATGAGATGAGCTGAAGGAAATAGGGTGGAATATATTTGATCCAGTAGGATTGTATGAAAGTTCACAGATTGGAGTCAATGAACTTTCCCATACTCCTGATGTTTTCGTAGCTGCATGCCTAACGAATATACTCATTCATTTGTCTGGAATTACAGGCCTGCCACCTTGAGAAGGGGTTGCTAATACTTCAAGAATAGTGGCCAGGTACGTGATTGTAGTTGTTGTAGGGCTGCAAGCATCTGAGGTTTACCCAAAGCCATCTATGCGTCTGGGATATAATATATATTGCTATTCCTCAATTTGAGATGCAAAACAACGGTTTATATCCCAGACCGGTGCCATACTTCAGTGAGCCCGTGCATGCAGGGAAATAGATGGGCAGCTGCCATGTCTTGGGACTCTTACCAATCATGTAGTATCGGACACTAAAGCTAATCTGATTCCCGTTCTTAGGACTGTCCTGGTATTCCTGGTAATAGGAGTTGTAAGCTTCGATACGGTCCTTTCGAAAGTCGGCCTGCTGTTTGGAATCCCGTTTCCCTGTCCCATGGACCCCTCTGCGGGAGCAATTTCCATGCCCATTTTTGAAGTAGTGAAAAGTTTCATGAATGAAGCCCTTAGACTTCTGCAAGGCTTGTCTTCGTCGAGTTATTTTATCCGCCTCTAGCATATGCGTCAGTCGGCTTATCACATAGGCCAATTCAAAATGCTAGTTACGCAATTTGACGGTAGAGCACGATACAGATTGCGGATCCAGCAGTTCTGAACCGGCTTCTTCATGTCCGAAGCCAACCGAAGAGGCCGGTGTTCGACAATCTGCTTCATCACTAGACATGGGGTTCTGTCTTTGTAACCGTGGCTGGTCACTTTTGCGATGTTAGAGTGTTCGGTGCAGTGCTGGGCACTCTCGTGTGGGGCTTCCGTGGGCATATTAGTTAGACTGCAACAGGTTAAATGAACTTTGATTGATTGATTGATTGATTCCGTGGGCATATTGGAATTGAGTAGGCAAAGAGGAGAAATTGAGGTTGTGTATATTCCGACCCGGTGTGGTACACAAAGTGAGAGTTGATTGAGTTCGTGGTCAATTGCGTTGGGGTGCGGTGAAAAGTAGAGTTTGTTTGGGCGAGGAACGCCTTTAAGTAGTGCTGAAAGTGAGAGATAGATAAGGTCACGTCGAGTGCGTTTGTTTGCTTCTAGATTTTAATGGTCACTCAGTTGGGGTTGGTCGTAGTTTGCGAAGGTTTCTTGGTAACCAGCCTCCATGGGGGTTATCCATCTGTCGTTGGCTATGGTGCAGCGAGGGAAAAGAAAGAACGAAGGCAAAACCAACACCTCCCTAGTATAGGTACACCCAACGTGCCTGCTAGCATACTAAGCTTTGACGTATTTCCAGCTCTTGATATATCTCAAGCCTATCTACCCTTTCTATAAAAATCCATTTGGTTCTCTTCCATCATATATATAAATCTGATGTATATATAGACATGTAGCTGGAGAAGAATATGTCACTAGACGTGTCAGGTATCAACCAATAGCTAGAAAAAGAGGGATGAAATACATTTTGATCAAGTTCTCATAACGTAAAGTTAACAGAGAGAAAAATAAAAAATCAATAAGCTGAACTAGATTGAAAGATTTCATACATCAAAGGCTCCAAAAAGACCGACTTGCTAGCTGATATCTATGCATTGCTTGCAACGGAGAACCAAAGGAATAGATGAACAAAGAAGCCTTATAGAAGGGGGAATACTCTAACATAAAATGTCACAGGGACGGCTACATCAATCTTGGAACCCTTGATACATATGGCACAGCGATATGTTTTCTATCAGCAAGATTTAGCACTAAATATGCAATAATAGATCACTTGCTAGACCGTACAAAAGTCTACATCTTCGAGAATGGGAAATCTGAGACGGTAATTTGTTTCTATTTTGCTTTTATATCCTCATTCAACGACCCTTCCCAGCCTATATCGCATCATAAGATCTATTGCGGCTGGGGCGGCCCAACGTCCGGCTAAACCTTCCTACAACACTAATAGGGGATTTTGAAACACGAGACATGTCTCTATGTGTCGATAATCCCGAATCAATCCAAATCTGACCAAGCGTGGCCCACTCCGCGGGCTTGGATGCTCCACATCTGGGCAGCAGATGAGGACCCCGGGAGTAAATAGATGCCCTATTTAAACCCCGCTGAAAAGTTTCTTTTCCTCTCTTTTTCCTTTTTACGCGAAAGCCGCGTTATATAAGGGACCCGGTTCATTAGCCAACAACAAGATGTGGATTGCAAATTCGCCCTTTATAAGTAGCTGTTATTGTCCAACTTTATGCCCGAGGGCCACGATTTGGGCAATTGAGAGAAGAATTAGTTAAGTGCAAAAGTACAAGCAATAATAATGATATTCCTTTGCTTGGGTCTTTTCCTTTTCAAAGATTTTGTGTCACGCCACGGGATTTTCAATGTCACCTGCTATAAAGACCCATCTCTTGAAGGATCCTAATGGCATTATGACCACAATTACGTCTAATTCTAAAGTTCCTCACTACAAAAACAACGAAATGAGGGAAAACAGCGACATAGAGAATGTCGCGGGCCAGCTCAAGGAGGTTCGGGAGTTCAGACAGGGTCTCCATCAACGACACATCCAGATGATTGCTCTCGCCGGTACGGTGGGGACGGGTATTTTTCTCAGTTCGGGCCGTGCCATTGTGGAAGCTGGACCATTGGGTGCGTTCTTGGCATATACAATTATCGGTGCTACTGTTTCGAGTGTCGTCTTTGCGGTTGGTGAGATGGGAGCCCTGGTACCTCTCAATGGTGGTGTTATTCGATACACAGAGATCTTCTGTGATCCCGCGCTAGCGTTCGCCAACGGGTGGAACCAGGTATACTCCTACGCTGTGTCGATCCCGTCGGAAATTGTCGCTTCAGCTGTTATCATTGAATTCTGGATCACTGTCAACAATGCAATATGGATCACTGTGCTTGCATTCCTCATGCTTTCTACCGCATTTGTCTTTGTTCGCGTATATGGAGAGCTTGAGTTTGGGTTTTCTATCCTCAAGATCATGCTTATTATAGGCATAAACATAATGGCTCTGGTGATTGCCCCCTTCAGACTGGTAGCATTTTTGGTTTTTGTGCTAATATATTTTGATAGGTGATTACCTGCGGCGGAGCCCCGAATAAAGAGTCAATCGGATTTGCTTACTGGAAAGCCCCCTATGGCCCCTTCGTTCAGTACTTGGGAGTGGGAGGGTCCCTTGGCCGGTTCTTAGGATTTTGGAAAACATTCGACAACGCCCTCTTCGCTTACTCTGGTATTGAAAATTTCACTCTCGCTGCAGCTGAGACTCGAAACCCTCGTCACGCTATCCCCATGGCCGCCCGACGGATATTCATCCGCATCTTGCTCTTCTATGTGGTAACAATCTTCATGGTCGGTCTGATTGTTTCGTCTGCCGATCCAAATCTTCTGGGCTCGTCGGGGACAGCATCGCAGTCCCCTTTCGTTATCGCAGCCCGCCATGCTGGTATTAAAGTGGTTCCCTCCATTATCAACGCAGTTGTTCTCACCTCAGCATGGTCCTCTGGGAACAGTAATATCCTGGGCGGTTCTAGAATCCTATACGGTATGGCAACCCAGGGCCACGCCCCCGCTGTCTTCAAACGCATCAACCGCTTCGGTATACCTTGGGTCGCTGTCGCACTCTATGGCGCTTTCATGGCACTGGGATACATGAGTCTTTCTGATTCGGCTAGCAGTGTATTCACATGGCTACAAAATCTTGTCTCTATCTCGACTCTAGTGAACTTGATCTGCATCTGCATTGTCTATCTTAGGTTCTACTACGGATGCAAGAAGCAGGGGATTGATCGCCACAAGGAGCTTCCATGGGCAGCACCTTTCCAGCCATACATAACTTGGATCTCGTTGGTTTTGTACATTGTTCTGTTCTTCACCGGAGGGTTTACGACATTTATGCGCGGTCATTGGAACACTGCGACCTTCGTTTCGACTTATTTCAATCTGCCGTTCATCGTGATCGTGTATCTTGCCTATAAATTCTGGGCGAAAACGAAGATCATCCCGCTGGCGGCAATTCCCATTCGGCCTTTCATCGAAAGCTGGCACAAGAATCCCGAGCCGGAGCCTAAGCCGAAGCGTGGCCTCGCAAAACTCAATATTTTGTGGTCATGATTTGCACGTTGACAAATTAAATTCTGTGATACGATCATATGGATTGCCACAGTTTAACATGAACCCTTGCCCGATTTTAGGGTTTAGTGGCTACTGGAGATGCGGGGTAGGATTCGCAATCGGAAATATATTGTGGCTACCTTTAAATGAAAAGTTCTGCTTTGCTTCAAAATTTCCTTGTTGGGAATTTTAGAAGAATTGAAAAGGTAGAGTAGAAGTGCATGTATAAGAAAAAAGGGAAGAGTGACTCATTATCTGAACGGGATGCCGATACAAAGATGTCGAGTTGTGAGTCAATCGGACTCCGGGACAGGCTTAGCGTCGCCATGCAATTTTCCTATTTATGTTATATTTTCTTGACGATCTTCTTCAAAATACTAAAAAACAAAATACCTTCACGATGAGCCTACCTGAACAACCCACCTACGTGATCGTCCCATCACCGGGGCCCTCAATTGAGAGCGACCGACTCCTTCTTCGACCAATTACCGACGCCGATGCCACCGCACTTTTTGCCATTCGTTCCCGGCCCGAAGTGGCAGAAATGAAGTGAGTAAATATCATCGCCTATCAATGAGGAATGTTCACAATGCTAACTGTACCAGCCACCCCAAAACACCATTCAAATCAATTGAAGAAACCCGTGAATGGATGGCAACCAAGGTGTTCACAAGTGGTCCCTCCGATATCATCGGACGTTCATTTAATTATGCCATTGTGGACAAGTCAATCCCGGAAACAGAGGAGCGAGTCGTTGGATCTCTCAGCATCAATCAAGTAGACCCCTTTCCTGAGATTGGATACGCAGTCCATCCATCTGTTTGGGGGAAAGGGTACGCAACTGAGGCTTTGCAATTGATGTTGAAGATGTGGTGGAATCTGGCGCGCCGAACAATTGATAGTGGAGATGCTCCCGCAGAAGTTGAGAAAGCCTTTGCTCTTTGCGAAAAGAGGAATGCTGGCAGTTCCCGTGTCCTAGAAAAGTGTGGATTCAAGATCGTGGGTGATTTTGAAGAGGAAGGGAATGAGCTTTATATTTTTGCGTTAGAGCGACCTTGAATTAAACATGAAAATAAAAACAAAAATATTGAGCGCCAGAATCTGGTCAGGGCTAGTGAAGAAAGACATATTCGTTTCTCGGGATATTTTACGAAAGAATGTGGGTGAAAATTAATTGCTGCTTTCCAAAGGAGCAGGCATTGATCAGATGTGTACACACGGCGTATTCAATATATAAAATAAGGGTAGTAAATAAGTAAGCTCACTGGCTCGCTTTCGCTGCGTCCAGAATCACATCAGCTGCCTTCTCAGCCACCAAGAAAGTAGAAAGAGCAGTGAACGTGCCAGGAATACGGGGATATACAGAGGCGTCCACAACGCGAAGGCCCGAAACACCACGAACTTGGAAGTTAGAATCCAAAACAGCCATGGGATCTTCATCGGTTCCAATGGGGCAAGTGCATGAAGCGTGGTGACCCCAAGCCGTATTCTTAATATAATCATGGATCTCCTCATCAGTCTGGATATCATCACCAGGGAGGACCTCAGACACATCAACCAATTGACGGTCAAAAGCCCCACGTGCAACACCAATAGCCTCAGTGATAGCCTGCAGATCCTTTTTGTAATCACCGGAGCCAGTGTCAAAGTAGTTGAAAGTGATATCGGGCATATCGAGCGGATCGGCAGAGCGGAGCATCACAGTCCCAGCGGTGTTACGAGGGTGGGCCTTGAGAACCGCCCAAGTGAACCAGTCATGGCGCTCGGTGATATTCACACCGTATTTAGGGAAGTATCCCCGGAAGTTGATCGGCCCGCCGAACACAAACACATCGAAGCTATCATCCGCAGTCACGGAGCTCTTGTAGAGCATCGCAGCTCCGAATCCATTGGACGAATAGATACCGCGGTTACCAAGGACTGGTTTTTTCCAACGGTCAAGACAGGGATCATCACCATGGTTGAACGTGCAGCCATCGAGGGCAGTGAAGTTCTTTGGGACATGACCTTGCACCGCGGTCTCGTAGTGGTCTTGCAGGTTCGTGCCAACGCCAGGGAGGTTGGAGATAACCTTGATTCCGAATTTCTGGAGCTCATCTGCTGGTCCAATACCACTAAGTTTCAGGATTTGGGGTGAGTTGTATACGCCGCCAGAGACAATGACCTCACGTGAAGCTGCTGCGGAGCCTGGTGTTCCCTTGCCAGCGGTCTTAGAGCGGGGACTAGCACTGTATAGATACTTGCCGTCTAGGAACTCGACGCCTGTAGCACGGGGAGGAGTGCTCTCGTCAAAGGTAACCTTAGTCACATGGCAGTTCATCCTGATGTCGAGTGGGAATTTCTTAGACCCGTCGGCATTCTTCGCATCCCTCACGGTGGTGACAAACTCGCGAGGACCGTTACGAGAGCTTTCATCAGATGCCAAGGGGACTTGATAGTATCCCGGACTGGTATCGCGGTGGTTTGAGGCTGAATTCGCGTCTCCTGCGAGTAGGGTACCGATGTTGAAAACCGACTTGGTCACATTGCCTAGGGAAAATGCTCCGCCAACAAGCATGCTTAGGAGTTGAGGATCTTCCAAAACAATGCTTAGCGGTGCGGTCTCGGTGCTCAACCAACCATCATAGCCGTGGCCCTTAAGCAATGGAAGTAGGTAGCGGTTGTTCTCCATGCGCTCAAAGTACTTGCGCATGCTGTCGGGTGACCATGACCCATCTCCGGTGAGTGTAGCGAGGTATTCAAAGTCAGAGTCGTGTGGATAGACGGTAACGAGGGCGTTGTGTGCGGTACAACCACCAAGCGTTCCGGTACGGGGGTAAAGTGTGCCCTTCATTGTGGAACCGGCGGGTGGATTCAAGCCGGTGTACTCTTTGCCATCGGGAGTTTCGTAAGTTGTTTTGAAGTCGAGCTTTTGCCGAGACTCGTCGGCGTAGTGCTTGACGTAAAAGTTCCACGCGAGAGCTTCATCCTCAGAAGCTTTCGCAGAGAAAGCCGGCACAGTATAGTTCAAATTTGCTCCCTGGTCATCTCCAGCTTCGATAAGAAGCGTGCTATGACCTGCTAAGGCGAGTCGCGCTGCTAAAGGACCACCTCCTGCACCAGATCCGACCACAATGTACTCATAGCCTGATAGCTCAACAGCCTTGACGATTGCACAAAGTGCCACCACGCCGAAAAGGCGACCAAAAAGCATGACGAATATAGCGCTTTGACACGATAAATGAGCGGCAAGGAGTTGACCGGGACCCTAGGTCCTATTATATTTATATCTCCGCTCCCGTGTTAGGTCCGGGGAAATCACTAGCTCAATGCCATGTTTTTTTTTTGCCAAAACTGGAATCAATAGTCAAGCGAGATTGAGTTTCTGCAGATCTGATGGCAAGCCACTGGCTGGCCCCACTGCACAAACCCGACGCAGGGGCCTATGTTCACGCAGTGCTTGCATCTCGAGATGATGACCACCGTGCGGTTTCAGAGCAATGGTAGATATCAGTGCATGTCATCAAACACATTTCATGAGATGGAGTCGCGATTGACATGATTACCGAGTACTATTGTGGGGGGGATACAGTAGCAAACACTACGAGGTAAAATAGAGTCACACGACAAAATATCATTCATTCATAGCAAGACTTTGGACGACTAATCATTTTGACAATATGCAGCTGACATATAATGTACAGGGCTATGGAAGTGCCCTACAGAGTATTCAATGCTGTTCTTTTTTGTAGCATTCAAAGTCTGCGTTACTTTTTCCAAGACGAAGATTCAATGTGGCGTGAGGTTCCACTATAGGGGCTTGCTTTCTNGGGGGGGGGGGGGGGGGGGGGGGGGGGGGTAATGAAAATAAAGATCATGTTGACTATACATCATACCTCCTCTTTACAAATTTTGTTGCATGCTGTGCTTACGGAGTAGTTATTACAAGCTAAGTCACCATAGAAGTCATTGCCATCATCTAGTTTTCCTCAATTCTCTGTAAGTCTGCGAAGACCTGCATATTTGCGGCCTAATCTAAAATTTGACGAGCTCGCGTTACACTGCCTCATAAGCTCTGGTATATATTGATCATTTACTGTGACGAGTACCCAGCCCCAGCGCTACTGCATGTACTTCATGAAGCCGGGGTTCAGGGGCGGAGATTAGGATCGACACTTCAGCAATCCCATTTCCTATCACAAAATAAGCGATTGTCTATCCCTACCTAGGTAGTATATGTGGCACTTCGGCTCGAGATGCGGGGAGCCCGAGATAGGGATACCGTCCACGTAGCGTTCGTCCCTTTCAGCGTTCCATGATGATTCTTGTTGGAGTGCTATACTATGTTCTTCCATTTGCACTTGACCCACTTCCCCTTGAAATTGACCCTTAGCGGCCCTGCAAAACAAGATTCTATATCTGGATTTTCGTATCTGAAGTCGTATCAATTAGACAAATAAAACGATGTGCATGAAGAGCATCGGCACAAGTGGGGCGGCCACAAAAGATGGTCCTGATCAATCACTGATTTAACCCACCATTACTGTTGAATTGCGTGAAGATAAGCGACAACCTCATTGTTCAGAATGTTGTCACGGTGAAGTTGATCGGCTGACTCGACAATCCATGTCTGGCAATCTCTATGAATGACTTTCATACGTGGTTTAGCCTAGAACATCCGAATTAGCCTATATATCTCAGTGACCAATAGAGAGCCATGTATATGTTCCCGTGAGTGTGGCTTTAAGGGCAGACAGACTCATATCATGCATTATAGGGCATGGACTAGGGATAAAGCTGCATTAAAGACTCACCCCTTCACTGATTGTGTTGAGACTTTTTCCTGGAGCTTTGATCTCGTAAGTACTCCTCTCGAAGCGGCAGACAGGTGCGTTGTCGATTTTGTATTCTCCGTCGTTAAGCATGGCCTTTTCGTCAAAGTAATTTGCATCGACCCATTGAAGTGGGACCCTTGTCGACGGAATGTCGTCGCTTGTTTGCAAGTTTTCACTACGCTTGATTTCAAACTCGAAGCCAGTTCTCACATTGCCGGTCGCATGTATCTTTACGCCTATATCAGGGTCCGCGTGCGATCGAACAAAATAAGCCCAGTGATCTTTGAAGGGCGACCCATTGCAGATCAGCAACTCAACCATAAAAGCCCCAGTGGGACCTGTCGGCGACACCGCCGGCTTGGAATCTGGATATATGGAAGTTTTCATAGTGGGCGGGGAACTGGGTTCACACACCAGACCTAGGGGAAGAAAGCGAAGATCGGGTGGTTTAATTTTTGTTGGATTTTTTTGATGAAAGGAGAAGTGGTTGTCGGATGTTGTTTTTTTGGTTGCCTATTCTTGCCTTGAGCATCAGGCCTCAACTTTAGCCAGTGCGTACCTGAACTGCACATCCGATGGAACTGTGAAGGTGCCCATTTTAGCATTTTCTATTTGCCAAAATCTCACCATCATGGACATTCAACCACGCTATCTATCTTCAATCACTTATACGAGTCAAGCTTCTTGAACAGACACAGAGGAGACTGCATAAAACCCCACAGAGACGAGCGACGAGAACACTTTTGCTCTTAGTATTGCAATCGTGGCCATTTATCTGCAATTCTGTGAGTCGATCCCGAGGGTATCTAAAAGGTGCGAGGATAAGGACATGATGCTATCGACCGCGAAAACAAACAAGTAGCAGCAGAGAAATGGCTGCACAGGCTCCTGTCTGGATAAACACTGACACACAATCACAGCAAATACAAAACTTGCTCAGAAAATGATTGCTTAGTAAATGACTCGTTCGGTAAGATATATCAACAGCAAAGGCAAGGGATCCCCCACCACGCAAGGGCGAGCCACGTACGCATCGATCGTGACCAATGAGACATCAGATTACACATGGCACATGGCTTTTATCATCATCAAAACCAGTTTGTGCCGTCATATCTAAATCCTTGATCTCAATCTTCGTTGTGCTATACTCTGTGGGTCTCTACATTTACATGTAGACACCCGAGAACTGTTCACATCCATTTCTTCAATAAGTTCGTCTTCGAATACGGGTTGAGATAGCATAGCCTTTCCAGGTATAGGGATTTGTCATCTGAATTTGGGTATTTTGTATTTTAGGCAGCTGTCTATTGTCCATGACAAGTTTGAAGAAAGAGTGTGTGAGAGGTTTTATTCGAGAAGTGGGGGCAATAATCCTACCATGGGAGTGGAATCTTGAGCTTCGTCTATAACTGGCCAAAATCTTCGAAATCAGTCAATCTAGACCTTGCGTGGAGCTTCAGTTGGATACACAAGAGGCCATAGCCTTACAGGTCCTACCCGCATGTCGCAAACTGGGCTCCGAGAGCTACGGCCTAAGAGCCAGGTCGCATACCTAGGAAACTAAAATATTAACTCTCTCCCACTCTACTTCTTACTTCCTAGCCACAGATAAATTTCAGAATGAACGGCGACAAGTTTGTTCACAGCAGATCTGAAAGTCATGTATGTCCGGCGCGACTCAAGAGATTGATAACCTCATGGATTAGGTATCAGCCCGTATTATCAGGATTCATGATATTTGCCTGCGCAGTCCTCATGATTGTGAAATTCAGTCACTTGGATACTTATAATTCATTCCAAATCGCGGAGAAAACTTTGGATATAAGTACGAAACTGCATTATCAAATCCAGTGTTACTCTATGCTGATATCAGTAGAACAATCAGCAGAAGAGGCAGAAAAGACCGCGGCGGTATCTGAACTTGTTCAGAAAACCCGAAGCTACAAAACAAACTCCACAAAAGTCGCGTTAGTAATGTCAAAGACACGCTCAGATGACTTGAGATGGCTTCGTGATTATCTTCAAACACAGCAAGTAAAGCCCATCGGTTGTAGGAAATCATACTAATTGAATTCCCACGGTTAGAACCGATAACACACCATTCATTTACACGATGGATAAAAATCCCGAGACAGAGCTACTCGCTGCAAACTCCTCTCGCGGTCGCGAGGCCTCGGCTTATCTTTCGTTCGTTGTCGACCTATACAATGAGCTCCCCGAATACTCAATTTTTCTCCATGCCAATCCCGACCAGTGGCATAACGACTTGTTTGGTCCCAAAACAAGCAGTGCTTTGCACAGCCTACGCCGCGAAGCAGTGGATGCGATGGGGTATTTGAACCTGCGCTGTACGAATGACCCAGGCTGTCCGATTCACGTCAATCCCAATAACCCCACGCAAACAGACATTGACAAGAATGATGCCCGAGCAAACTTTCGGAGGATATACAAGGACATATTTGGAGAAGATGCGGACGTCCCGGAACATATTGGTGGAATCTGCTGCGCGCAGTTTGCGGTCAGCCGAGCACGCATCTGGCAGCGACCCAAAAGCGATTATATCCGTATGCTGAACTGGGTGAATGAAAAGAGTGTGCCGCTTGTTGATGATTACGGTGTTGGGTGGGTGTTTGAAACTTTGTGGCATATAGTGTTCGGCATGGAAGGGGTCCAGTTAGTATATTCTGGGACACAGTCTTTGGTACTGCGGGATACTAACGACCCTGTGTCTGTCTTCAGTTGCCCTCTTTACGAACAATGCCGGTGCGACAACTATGGATGGGTAAGCAGAAGCTGACTTTATTAAAATATGGATTCAGGCTTACCCCCTAAATAGTGTGGACCCTTGCCATCTGGAAAAACTCTTACGGCCATTATGGCACCACAAAAGAAGCTGCCTAAATACAGATAGGTCTTTAGGAGGGGGCAAATAATCCTTTCCATATTTATGCGTAAGCCCAAGCTCCTCGTTCTTTCTTTGCTCTCGGTTAACTTTGTATTGCGAATTTTAGCACCTAGGTTATGAATTAAATTTAATTTGTTTTGCCTACGGATTTTGTCGTGCATACGCTCATCATACCTCACCTTAGGTGACTCACATACATCTAGATGGAGTCTTTTTTTTTCATTGGTCGAGGTGTTGAATATGGCAGTCGCATCGGGGGTCGGGCAAAACAGCCCCCACCTCGGGGGTCGGACAAAAAGGACCGATGGTTAATGCAAGCTACCCAGGTAAGTTAGACTCGGCTTTAATTTTCAACCCCGATGCTTAGCTTTATTCTCCGGCTACCTTACAACCCCGGGGCCTTAGTTCCGCTTTCTCCGTCTCCGGGGCTGTCATAAACATATAAAGGTGGGTGCAACCTGTCAGAAAAAGCTCAGATCCATTACTATCAATCATTCATCCACCATGTCCACAAAACCTGTGACACGAGTTGCCATTGTTGGAGTAAGTATACAGCCCCATGCCCTGCATTTTCCTGGCCTCTCTTCGAGAAGTAACTGCTAACTATCACCAGGCTACTGGCCGCATCGGCGGAGCCTTTGCTCAGTCGCTTCTGCAAACAGGCCAGCATGAAGTCACAGCTCTCACCCGCAAAGATAGCCAGGGAAAGGTCCCCGAGGGAGTTCGGTCCGTTCAGGTTAACTATGACGATGACGACTCACTTGTGAAGGCCTTGAATGGCCAACAATTCCTTGTGATTACTCTGAGCGTCCGGGCCCCAGAAGATCTTCATGCTAGAATTACCGCAGCTGCCGCCAAGGCTGGTGTTTCCTACATCATGCCAAATGCGTACGGATTCCCTATTAGTCCGGAGGGCGTGAAGGACGGGGATTTATACGGAAAGCGCGTTATCTCTCGAATCGATGACGCTCAAAATGGCGGCTCTTCCTCAGTGACAATGCCATGTGGTTTCTGGTACGAATGGAGCCTGGCATGCGGTGAACAATGGTTTGGCTTCACTATCAAAGATCGGAAGGTGACATTTTTCGACGACGGCACTCGTGTCGTTAGTGCCAGCACTTGGGACCAATGTGGTCGCGCGCTGGCTGCTCTCCTCAGCCTGCCGGAGTCGGGAGAAACCCCTGCACTTGCCGACTTTAAGAACAAGGAAGTCCGGATCAATAGCTTCCGTGTCTCGCAGCGTGACATGCTAGACAGTCTGCATCGTGTCTTGGGCACCACCGACTCTGATTGGGAGATTACTCATGAGAGTGTCGCTAAGCGTCTTGCGGACGGCGCTGAGGAGATGGCCAAGGGCGTCTTTACGGCGATTCCTAAAATGCTGTATGGGAGTGTGTTTTTGCCAACCAACAAGGAAGGCGATTTCGCAGGGACAATGGAGTTGGCAAATGATATACTAGGGCTACCTAAAGAGGACTTGGATGAAGCCACTAAGAGGGTGGTCGATATGGTGGCTGGAGGATGGACCCCCTTCGGTTAATCTCACTCAATTTCCTGTCTTAATTACTTCTCAGTAAGAGGGGTTTTATTGTATTTGTTTATATATGTACGCAGTGCTATACAAAGCCTGCCCCACTACGGACATTCTGTCTACATTAGTCAATGATTTAGTTCATCCGTCTGTTATTTTAGTCTTCAGGGTTTTTGAATATAAATTCACATTTATTTCAGCTTGGCAATACCTATTAAGCTGTTCATGTTCACTTGTATTCAGATTCGGATCTCTCCGCCTTCCTATTACATCAAGTATGTCACGATCTAGAACCCTGGTATCTCTCAAGGCCTTAGGGTTGTATGGAGTGTTCCCTATCCACTTCATGTGGGAAAAGTGAATGGCAAAGAAGAAGCAGGGGCTAGATGGCAGGTCCTCTCCCGAACAATAAAAACCTCATAACCTGATAGTTTTGGTGTACTTTTTTTTCGGGCATGTAAATCTACTACTAGTAGCTACTGGTAAGGAAAACTCACCTGAGTACCTGACGAGCCCCCTATTTCACAATTAGTCGCCTGCAATAAAACATGCCGGCATCCCGTCGGTGCGAAGATTTCATTTGCAGTTCCGTCGGGTAACCCCCACAGTTCACACCACCGATCGGTCAAACTAATATGCCGTTCTTAGTGTTAGATTACTGATCCTGAACATCCTCGTGATTTAGAGCCAAGGTAATCATTGTTGATCATGTAATAGTTCGTAGAATCGCCCTGTAAGACCTTTTCAAATTGGATATCAACCGGACTCAGTCATCGGTGTGTACGTGCGACACCTTATAAAAGGCACTCGGTTCATTATAAAAATTGCCTTGGAGGGCATATGAGATCTTTTCAAATTTATTTGCGAAAGTATCGAACAGTCTGACAAGGCTCGGGAAAATGGCGAAGGAATATGTGGATTTTGATGGTCCGGACGACTCCTTGAACCCTATCAACTGGCCCCTTTGCAAACGGTATGTCCCTTGAATCCCAACTACGAAATGCTCTAGAAACCTAACCGATCGCAAATCTGTGCAGGGTATACATTGCAATATTGCTGGCCCTCACTACTATGGTTGTAGCAATGGCAAGTAGCATCTTCACCTCGGCTATACCGGATATAATGGCAATTTATGGCATCACGCGGGAGGTTGCAACCTTAGGTTTATCGCTCTACGTGTTTGGTTTCGCATCGGGGCCATTGTGCTGGGCACCATTTTCAGAATTGAAAGGAAGATATTATCCTCTCGTGGTGTCGACCTTTGGTTTCATGGTCTTCTCTTTTGCAACTGCAGTTTCAAAAGATCTCCAGTCACTCCTCATCCTAAGGTTCTTCACTGGGTTTTTCGGTGCAGGTCCTTTAACATTAGCAGGGGCCGTCTATGGTGACATTTTCACACGAAAGGCCCGCGGTATGGCTATGGTTGCCTTCTGCCTTATGGTCTTCACTGGTCCTCTCACTGCACCTTGCATTGGTGGATTCACCGTAATGAACAGCCATCTCGGATGGCGCTGGACAGCGTATATTCCAGCAATAATTGGCTCTGCGTGTTTCATAATCATACTTTTTACCCTCGAAGAATCCTACCACCCGGTACTACTGGCTGGGAAAGCAGACAAACTGCGGCGCGAAACTGGCGATTGGTCTCTTCGAGCTAAACACGACGAATTGAAGCTTGATCTCCGAACGATTGCGACAGAGTTCCTGACCCGGCCGCTAAAGATGCTACTTTTCGATCCGATTGTCCTGTGTATGAGTGTTTTCGCCGCATTCGTTTACGGTCTGCTGTATCTTTTCCTGACTGCCTATCCGATCATCTTCCAGAAGATCCATGGTATGAACCGGGGCGTTGGCGGGTTACCTTTCATCGGGATAATCATAGGGCAGCTTTTTGGTGCTCTTGGGGTTTTTGCAATCCAGCCGTGGATAATGCGGAAAGCGAAAATCAACGGAGGTGAAGTGATGCCGGAATGGATCTTGGTAATAGCTATCCCAGGGGCCACTTCATTTTCCGCCGGGTTATTCTGGCTGGGTTGGTCTGGTTACAAGCAAAATACCTCTTGGGTTGTTCCCACTGTTTCAGGGCTCCTCACCGGTTTTGGGTTGTTGACCATGTTCCTGCCGTCGATTGCCTACCTAGTCGAGGCGCGACCGAAAACGTGAGTTCAGCCCAATGCTCATTTCTCGTTGATTAAGGCAGTTGTTCTAACCCTTTTGTAGATCGGCCTCCGCTGTTGCCGCACATACGTTCTTACGATCGCTTGCTGGCGGTGGATTTCCTCTTTTTGCATTCTATATGGTGAGATACTTTCTATGTTCCGCGTGAAGGTTGTGAACTAACAATCTATCTGTTAGTTTGATGCCCTCGGTGTCGAATGGGCCTGTACGCTGCTTGGATGTGTAGCAGCCCTACTTATTCCTGTTCCAGTATTGCTCTATGTATATGGTGCTCGGATCAGATTATCTTCTGGATCTCCAGAGATCGACCAGCCATAACAATGTTGCAGATTTATTCTTGAGAGAGTTAGGAAATGAGGCTGAGTATCCAGGCCGAAATGTATTTCAAAACAGCATTGGAATGTGTTGAGCTCGGTGGAATGATCTAGTTTGCACGTGTCGCTATCTATATGTTCAGCCACTGAGATGCTTTGCTTGAATATGTGGCTCGCTCAAAGTGAATAAAAATTTCCCAAGACTATACTTAAGAGTTTCCCAGAATTGTGGAGATATCGCATGCCATTGACCACTAGCCAAAATTTGAAAATCTTCCTCGTTGCTGCATACTGAACTCAGTCTACAATCGCTCTGAACGCGAAACTTGTTATATTGCCTAGGGGCTTCGAAGTTTCAGTTCGGAGTGAGAATTCTTCCAGCTATGCCAAAATTCTCTTAGACAAATAGAATCCACTCAGCCTGAATGGTATTTTGGGAAGGCCGTACGCTTTAACTTGTTGTGGGCAAGGTAGATCAGAAATCACCTCGTTTGAATCTGTATCTGACCGACCGCTTCAGTAAAATTGCATGGGCGATGTACAGAAGAAAATACGCTGCTCAAGAGCAGGTTCCACAATTTCTTGCTGCGGAGCGGAGCCATTTTCGTCATCGTTCTAATCGCCAGTTGGAAACGGGGGAACAAGTGTTGAAGTCGAGCACCAACATCACCAGCTGGTCGGAGGATGACTAACATTGCTGGGCGGCCCGAGGGTGCAGAATGGTGGGCGGTCAAGCAGCGGCGGGTGGAAAGGCGGCCGTTTCTGGCCTCGAGCGGTCATTTTCGGCGTCAATTTCGCAGGTCCTCAGATTTTAGGTGTAATCTGTACCTCCCAACAATTACCAAAGCTCATTCTTTCCCACCCCATGCTGCTAAATTTTTAGGCCACACCATGTCCGAGAAGATCAAAGAAGCAGTGCTTTCCGAGGCCAAAAACACCCAAGCAGTTGCTCATGATGTCATTACGTCTGGCGCATACTTGTATCCATTCAAGGTAAGTAGCTATGCCCTTCAAGGAGAGCGCTTTCCTGCCGTCTCTAACTGCAAATGAATGCAAAATTTCAGGGAATCATATACTTCGCAACCCACAAAGACCTCTGGCGCCCTTTTATATCTCGCGCCGGCCGAACCATCACGCTGGGAGTAGGCGTCACGTCTGTCATGTTCTTCTTCACATACGTGCCGCAGATGGCCATAATGGCCTTCACTAGTGGCCCATTGGCTGCTATTTCTGCAGCAATTCTCGTCCTTGGCGAAAGTTCCGCCATAACAAACGTTCTATCACGCTCATTCCTCGTTGAAGACGCCCTGATCGACACCTTCGATGGTACCCTAGTTGCGCGTGATCAGGAGCCACTCGTAGCACAAGGACGCCAGATGAAACCTCGGTCGGGAGGGAAAGATGCCATGGCTAGAATGGGTAAGATTTTCACTCGGCCTCTCGCGCGGCTGAACCCACGAGCGCTGCTGCGATCGTTGCTCTACCTACCTCTGAACCTCATTCCTGTGGTTGGAACGGTGTTGTATATCTTCATGCAGGGGAAAAGAGCAGGACCGGTACTCCATGCTAGATATTTCCAGCTCAAGGGCTGGGACTCTACGATGCGAGAGGAGTGGGTGAATAAAAACCAGGGCGCGTACACTGGGTGCGTAAACTCTATCCTATTCTCTTTTCTTCCCGGGCGCCGTCCAGTCAAATGCTGACTGTCCCCTCAGACTTGGAATCGCAGCTTTTGTGTTGGAAATGATACCGTTTGCCTCGATTGCGTTTTCATTCACGAATACTGTTGGCGCAGCTCTCTGGGCTGCGGATTTGGAGAAGGCAACCAAGTAGTTGGTTGACCATCTGCAGCAAACTCAACTAACCGTGAAACATGTCAAGCCCAGAGCTCGGATTCAGTTGTGGCACTTCTTATTTCAACCGTGTAAAAGATAAGCTCAAGTTTTTCTATATCTTCAAGGTTGTGAAACGCAAAATAAACTTTGTCAATGATTGGTTCCGAGAGGGCGCATACGCGGTTGTCCCAAAGCTTGGCATAGGTTTATTTAGAGAGCATGTTCTATGCAAGAAATTCTTCGGCTTCGATTTGGAGAATTGCATTCTTTTGATTTCAAACTCTCGGGATGATCCTTTTGGTGAAGTCAATTACCTTTATTCTTGACCTGCCCCTCCGGCCTCGATGGCATGATTGACTGCCACCATTTTTATTTCCCAAGTTATTGAATATCACTCGAGTATTTTAACCTGGCTGATGAATACCAGCCATTTTTGACTTGATCATGCTGCTCAACATCCATGTATGCGAAATATACATAACGAGTACGTCCATGTCGGCAGTGTTCAAAATCGATCAACATGGAATGATAACTCCAGCATAAGGGGACCTCCTGCCCATTGAAACAAATAATATACATCGCTTTGCTAAGAAATGTATCTATATAACCATATACACAATACTACTATGATAAGCAATGATAAGCCGAAAATTAATGTATTTGACGTTCATTCCATAATACCGACTAGTAGTAGGATAAAGCAACGAACTTAATAATCTCCATAATCCTCCCAATCCTCCTCGTGGTCCTCCTTGATACTCAAAGCATTTTCAATAAACTGATTCAAGGATTCCAAGAAAGCCTCATGCCGTGGAACATGATGTGCCCCCTCAAAAAAGTACAAAGTAGTATTTGTGCATGAATCACGAAGTCTCAGCGATTCAGATTCAGCGACCATTACATCTATGCTGGCAATAGCGAGGAATATCGGTGTCTCAATCTTTGGGGTGTAGAAGTCGTTGTAAAGAGGGTCTTCTAATGTAAATCCACAAATCGCAACCACAAACTTCAAAGGGGGGTGGTCAGTCTAGAGGGAAAGAAGGTCAGCCACCAAGCTAGTGGACTACCTAGACGTGTCAAATGCCAATGATATTTCCCCAACGTACATTGAATTGGAAGTTACCGATCGAGTGTCTTTTCTCCAAAAGAGAAGCAATCATAGCACCCGTAGCGGCACCCATGGAGAAACCCATGAGCCCGAGGAATGGTCCATTTTTCTCCATATAGCGGAAGATTTCATCGACGGACTGTTCAAAGCCCCGAATACGGTCACTCATAGAATCGCCATATCCCCATACCCATCGGTAATTGCTTTCTTCCGGGGGTTGATCAACTTTAGCAGGTAACCTACCCGAGGGATAATGGAACTCAACCATGTCAACGGGCTCTGCATTTGGATATTGCTGCACAGCGTTGAGTATAGTATCTTTTACTTGAGGCTTCAGAAATTCGGTCTTGCATTGGAGCGTACGTCCGGACTGGGCGTGGCCTATAGAGAAGGTGTGAAGGAGTCAGATTCGCACTGCAAAATTGTACACTATCCAGGGGTACGTTACCATGTAACATCAAAATCTTTGGACATGATAGCGCAGCCGAGTGGGATGTTGCTCTCAAGTTCATGTTGATAAATGGATGAAGAGGTATTGGAAATTTGGGGACCCGAGAATCTTTCCTTTGTATCCTTTTATGGGTATTTCAACATCCAAGTCTAAAAAAAATGCAAGCCTGGCACTTTAACATTAAGCATTACATAGTTACGAAGAATTAAGGTTGAGTGGGTTACACAATTTTAGGACATATGTGTATGATCACATTGAATGTCCGAAAACGTACATGCATAATGGCTGTATAATGCTAAATAGAGGCACCGGATCCACAATTATCAAAAATTTCAAACCAACCATATGCGTTAGTTGTAGCATCTTGATAGAAAGGTCAATTTTGTTACCCAAATGTGTGAAAAGGCCAATAGGATTCAATGGAGTGACACTAACAAGGCAATGGGCGCCCATCATCCGGGATAATTGCACTTGATGTTCTAACCTGCTGACCGGAAAAGCGCCAAACATCACACAATATGTCGAAAATAACAAAGACAATACACCTCATGCTTGGTCCGCATATCTCCATCTCTTCTGAGCTATTCAACCCCATACATCCTCCATATATCTTGCACTTCCCCGGAGGTCCAGAAAACGCACCTAGTGAAATTAGGAAAATCCGACCGGATCCCTCGTAATTTCCGTGTCGTAGCCAAGAAAGTCAATCACCTTCCAAGGTTCGATATAGTCATTCCCCCAGGCGACCGATTCATATAGCTTGTTCAGCAGGTGTGATTCACAGCACTTTCTCGAATTCAACAAAACAAAGATCACCCGGCAACACCAGGTTCTCGAACTTCTCGCGAGGAAAGGGGGAAGTCTCGCCCGTCGCTTTGTATCCACGACGCGAATACCACGAGATAAGTTGCTGGCGATTCGAAAGCGCGTTTAATCCCAGCGTCTTAACACCCCAAGTCCGTTGACAATAGTCTTCGGCGTATGCCAAGACCTGTCGCCCAATGCCTCCGCGCTGCTGGCTCGTATCAACGGCAAGCATGAAAAGACGAGCGTGGTCTGTGTCGCGCTTCGAAGTCCCGATTGAGCCAACAAGCGTATTTTCATCGTCGGTTGCCATCAACATGACACTGTCTGGTTTGGTGATCATGGCCAAAATCTCTTGGACATCGAGGCGGAAGTTCGCCGAGAGACCTAGATCATCCGTCCAGCCTTTTCTGCTGTCCTCGGCGCGGAACGCAGATTCCACCAACTGCTGAAGTTGAGGAGCGTCCTCTTTGGTCGCGACGCGAAAATTAAGCTCGCTCATTTTTGGTTTGAGAGATGTTCAGGGTTTTCAATTTTCTGACTATGAGTCGGTGAATCTTACTAGGAAGATTTCGTTATTTAAATATCTCCGCGAACGTGGTAGGTGGTTAGCCCGAAATCAAGTCATGTAGCAGGGCGCGAGATTGGGGGAAAATCCCGCATAGGGCGTAAGATTGCGAGATCCTGTGCTTCTCTTCCAACGCGCCGACAAAAAAAACCAAGACTTTTCTAAATGGATAAAGTGGTGGACATCCAACATCCAAGCAAACAGATCACGGTCTAAAAAGGCAAGGAAATTCCTGTTAGCAGCGCATAGTCTAAGGCTGGCTCGATGGAAAAGTTTGAGCCCGACTTAGTAGGCCCTCCTGTGTTTATTAGAATATCTTCATGGAGCATGATATGGGGGAGAATTATACAACAGCGTCTACTCTGATGTAGAAGCGTACATATGAGCCTGACCTCGAGATGGCCTCGGGGGTGATTCAGATGACGTCATCTATCGACATCCGGCAAAACGCTTGGACCACTCTCCCTCCTTTTGGAAGGTTGTCTCTCCCAAGAAGTGCCAACATATCAAACCTCCATCATGACCACGGCAGCGATATTTGGTTGCACAGGAGCAGTTGGCTCCCAGATCCTCGCTACACTTCTTGCGACAGACACGTTTACAACAGTGAAGACTATTTCCAGGAGACTCCCGAATGCACAATCAGCTAAGCTCGAAGCACTTGAGGAGAGCGACACCTCAAAATGGGGCGACATGATCTCATCTCTGTCTCCCAATCCATCAACTGTCTTCAATGCGGTCGGTACCACGACAGCGACAGCGGGTAGCATCAAGAATCAATGGAAGATCGACCATGATTTATGCGTCGAGAATGCACGAGCAGCTAAGGAGGCAGGTGTGAAAACATACATTTATATTTCTAGTGGAGGCACTAGAAGCTTCCTCTGGGGCTGGGTTCCATATTCGAAGATGAAGGTTGGCGTCGAGGATGCCATCAAGGAGCTTGGTTTTGACAATGCTGTCATTCTGAGACCGGGGATGATTATCGGAAGGGAGGAGTCTAAGTCCTTCCTACTAGAAAAATTTGTGGAAGGCCTTCAGAAACTTGGAAAAGGTGTCCAGGATAAAGTTGGTATGACAGTGCCGATCAATACTTGAATACTTCTCAAGACTTAGAGCTAACTCGGCCTGAGCAGGTCAAAATCAAACGACTATTGGTAGAGCAGCCGTAGCAGCTGCTCGTGTGGTTGAAGAAGGCAAAGCTCCATCGAACTATTGGGTTCTGGAACAGGCTGATATTGTTAGGCTTGGCAGAGATGAGTGGAAGGAGTAAGGTACGTTAGAGTACCAAATTTTGGGATTCAGTGCTTCTTCCTAATTTTGGAATTATTTGTGTGTAACAAGGATGTAAGAAGAAAAAAATAACAATTCAAACTGGCAAAAATCATCAATTTATGTATATCAGGCACTAGCCGAGAAAGGATTTCCTCATGGTATCAATAATCATCAACAAGTAAAAATAAACATGACATGAAAATAGGATGTAGTAAGGCATAAGAGGCCAGGTAGAAAGATAAAGACCAACATCTGAGAGGAAAGTGCCAATGACGCCGGAGTGGAGACATCGATGCCAGTGCCCAGAGGGCGAAGCCAAGAATGCCCAAGCAGTCGGGGGATGCTATGCCGTGCACTCAAGTGAGGACCAGCGAGACCACATTTTTCCTATTATGGAAAAAGACTCGATGATCACAGATGAACCAACTCTGCTAGTGATTCTAGGTGTTGACTGCGGGCGTGATTTGCATGTGCATGCGTAGCGAGACCAATGCTTCAATGGCCGCAATCAATCCATCTTGAAATCATCGATATCACCGAGGAATTCCCTACGATCATCACAAATGCGGGCGTACTCCAAAAGAAGTCGGTATGTGTAGACTTCCATGTCCTCCCGTCGGAGGACCTTCTCACCCCAAGCTTTGCCAGCGAGGGCGATCTTACGGGCTGCATTGTCACGGCCACCGAGGAAATATGCCATAATTCCGTAGAAATCGATGTAGGTAGTATCCATGGGGACGAAGTGTATCCAAGGGATCAATCGCGAGTCATGCCACTCATTGTAGATAGTAGCTTTGATGGGGAGGGAAGTGGACAGCATAAATCCGCGGTATCGGCCACTGAAGGAGTTCCCGTCAAGATCTGGCAGATACTTGAAGTTGTACATCTGCTTCATTGGCATGCCAGGTGCGATCTCGAAGTATGGATCAAGGTACGGGCAAGTCGGGTCCGTTTCATTATAAGGCGTGCAAACGAGGTGGTTGAAGCCCGTGTCAGTATGTTCTGAGAGAAGCTGCGGGATAAAGCCGTCGCCCTTCAACTTGTAATCGGCATAGTTTGGAAGTCTGAAGTTGATGCCGTGGCTTCGATTCTTCTCGGCTTGAGACACCGATGTCGCGTTCATCATCGACATGAATCGGTGTCTCTGGAAACCCGTCCAATTGGGCTCTCGAGCCCGGCCTCCAGTAGCAGCACCTCGCCATACAGCTTTGTTTGTTTTATATTCCCAGGAACCACCGTGCTCATTCTCTCCACCGGAATAATGGTCGTTTTGTGCCCAGTACATCGCTGGAGGAAGGAGAATCTCATTGTTCATGGGAAGCTTGGACCCACCGAAGAGTGGCATCAGCTTGTGCGAGGTTGAAACAGAGATTGGCTCAAGGAAGGTTCCATGCAACACTTGCATCTCTGGACGTACACATGGGTCCTTGCCCAGCGTATAGTTTGATACATAACCGTGATATGACATTTTCTCAAAATTATCATATTCCCAAGGAGGACTGCTGAAATCAACCTTGGGCAGGGTGCTGTTGCGTGCGGGGCTTCCAGGCGGGCAGCCAACCCGAGCCATCTCCCAGTAACCTCCTTCGCCAGGAACTGCAAACCCAGGATCAAACGGTTGCAGGTCTTCATGATCAGAATCGGCCAAAGACATGTATTCGTGGATAACACGGCTCGGCTTCGTCATAACGCGTTTTGCCTGCTCCTTTTGTACGTATTCGTTGATTTCCTCCCAGGGCACAACGAGCCGGGTCTCATCCATCACATTAATTGGCATATCAAGATCGGGAAGTCCACCTTCCAATTTTGCGACTAGATCATACCACGAGTCCATCCAATCTCTGGGCTCATCAGTTTTCAATATCGCAGTTTTGTTTCGGACAGTGATACGGGTCGGGATGCTTCTAGCTTGTCGACGCAATTCCTTCGGCTCGAGAGCCCAGTATGGCGTCAGATCGTGATAGATCTGATCGAAGAATTCTTCAATGATCAATGAGTCTTTTGACTTTGCGAACTCATACCATTTTCCAAATCCAGGAGGAGGATGTCTTCCGCGGCGCGCTCTGTATTGTTCTGCAGCGGCTTGGAGGTCGTGCGCTTGTGTTCCCAAGAGTTCGTGTAGATCGGTCTCTGCAGTATCGATAAGAGCATCGATCGGGTGACTGCTATTATATCCATTCCCTGCATAGAACGTCGGTGATACTTGGACCTCACGTCTGGGCAAAATCCAGATAAGGGTGAGGATGCAGAAGACTGCGAGCACCGCGACTCGACCTGCACGCGAATTGAATGTCGTCATCATACATGGCATCCTGAACGCGGGCATTTTCCCAACGATCTTTGCAGCTTCAGTTTGTATGAATTTCGTCCGTGATAATCGCAAGCTAGTAGCTTGGTGCGATTATGCCGTCCCTTAGGACTAATGTTCCGGTGGTGTGGTACTAGCCTTGTCGTGATGATGGGATTCAATATATAACGTATAAGGGGCGAACGGGTATAGGAGGTTCACTCATTCATATTCGAAAGGGTCATTGCGTAGGACAAGGAGAAGAGCAAGGAGGAGAGGAGGGAGGAGCACAAGACAAAGATTGAACAGCAAATTCAAGCTCGCTACTCCGTATCTGACGGGAAACATGGACACCCAGTACTCACCTAACCGGAACAGGAAATGCTCGTCCAAGAAAGCGTGGCCGTGTGGATCTAGTGAGGGTCCATCTGGTTCTAAGATAGAGATCGTCCACTCTGCCCATGCTCAGTGGGGACCACGCTCTCTGCAACTCTTATTTTATCTTATTTGATCTTATTCAATCATATTGCGATATGCTACGCACAAGGTATATTGACAACAATGAACACAGAATATTCCAAGGTCATAGGAAGGACAAAGCTTCAAGTATTTACAGTTAAATGATCGTGCCAGTATAATTGGAATAATTTAATTTGCCAAGAGGCGGTTGGACCTACTACGGTTACATGACCTCATAGTGTCAATGTCGCAACCACTTTACAAGATAAACCAAGTTTCTGGTTTTCCGATTCATTTTTTTATTTCTTTGGTGCTGTCATTCATTTCCCCCTTTATTGTGGATCTCCACAGCCCCAAGTTGTAAAAGTTAATACTCAAGAAGGTTGGACCGACCCAACGGTCAGCGAAGCCTCTAGTTACTGCCTCAGGCATGAATTTTCTCAGGCCTAAGGCATCAATGGTCTAAGGCATCCGAGGGCATGGTCCGTAAGGTCGCAGGTCAAGGGGTCCCCTACTAAGATTTCTGTGAATCCGGTAGACGATGCTTAGTGGAATTCCCTTATCTCTAGTTAAATACTAAGGTTGAGTTTTAAAATCCACAGTATAATTTATTACGTTACCCAGCTATGTTATATATAGCGAGTACTCCAGGATCAATAATACTTATGCTCCTTATTATTATATCCCTTACTTGATTGTTAGTAAAATTTAGACCTATATATACACATAGTTCTATCTCTACTAGCGATATTAGATTCTACCTTCGTATGCCTCGGATGAGCGTTCTCTCCTGTGTCTTTCGCAGTTCAACGCATGCCACTATGTCTGAGGGCTTCATAACCAAGCTTCTGAGGCACTACGGAAAATGGCCCGAGCCTAAATATGTTGTGGTTATAGACAATTTATTGTTACATTAATTAGAGCGGATTGCGTAAATATGTGCGAACGCAAGTGTGAAATTGGTTTATTTGGAGCCCTAATGCCTAGACTTGAATCCAATTGAGATGTGTTTTGCTAGGCTCAAAGGCTATATTAAACGTAACTGGACTTACCATAAAGTATATCCCGATCAAGGATTTGATGCTCTCCTCACATGGTGTATTTATGTGGTCGGCACAAAAGAACAGAGTGCTAAGGCCATTTTCGACACGCAGGCTTGAAAATTGAAGAATTCTGCTGCCAATCACTAGTCTTTCAGCTAACTACTTGATGTACAATCATATGGTGCCAATCAATCAAGGCCCCTGTCTAGTGAGGTATGAAGAGATGACTTTCTCCACATTCCTTCGAGCTTAGGAATGCCTTTAGCGCTCCGTATTCCAGCGCCAACAACGTAAACGCACTGCTCAATGATATCCCTAAGCCTTGGCCAGTATAATTTACCAGCAATATCCCGGGTTCCGTGGCCTCTCGATCAGACATACAGGCGCGAGCCACTTTTTAGACTCCATAGATAAACTCAAGTCCTTGCGATTTCTGCCAACAGCCCGTGCTTGACCAAGTAGTACAAAATTTCTCATCACATCTATCAGATAATACTTTTAATAGTAATGCCCCACCGAGGTACACGAAGTCTAATCCCCCGTGTTATAGATGTCACTTCTGTTCTAATACCTAGGTACCTCGTGTGTCGTCAGATCCGAAAACCTACATATTCATCGAAGGAGAGAGAGCCGATTTATCGCTGTGCCACAAAGCAACCTTTTGCCCTTTCTTAAGAAGGGTAGGATCAGGTCTTTCTTTATCTTGGTGGATCTACTTAAGATCCAGGCCATTCTCGAGCGTCACGTCACAAACTTTGCCGGAATTCAGCTTTAAGGGTATCATCGATGATATTTGACAGCTGCCATTCACCATGTTCTTTTTACGCTAATTTCTATGGTTTTTATTTGATTCAAAACTCGCATACATGACACGTTAGCAAATAGTGATACAGATATTGAGTTAGTTATATAAGAATGGAAGTAGTGTGGTACTAGTAGTGAGGTAATGTAAAATCCAAGACACCAATTTCCTCTTAGCGGATTAGTGGGGATCGCCTGACCTGCAGTCAAATGGTCTATCTCATTGGCCTGCAAAACAATCAATCTAGTGAATTCATTGCCAAATTCGATTAAGTGTTGCAATGATATCGCTCCTCTCGGAGCCGGCCTTGCTTCCAACAGCCAATGCAGTTCGTCTACCATCTGAGTCTTGAACCCATTTCAAGGGACCAGGAGGCAGAGATGTCGCTGAATCTGAGTTCAAAAGCTTCTGGATATCATCGTCGAGATCTGGCAGCATTCCATTGGTATATTGAAAGTTCCCCCCAAACTTGACTGGAATGTTCGCATCGTCGATATACTCTCTGAGCGTAGGAAGGACCTCCGAACTCATGAGCACCTCGATCTTTTCTGCAGTATGAGGGTCGACATAGCTCTTCATGAACTTCCAGATAGTGCTGAAATATGAGGGCGCATTGCATACCTGTTAGAACCATCATTAGTACGTGTCTACGGGTGCAATGCAATCAGGGCAAATGAGTCAGTAACCTACAAAGACCCGTTCGATAGTCTCTGGGTAACATGTTGATAACAGCCAACTAATCTCTTGCGCAAATGATCGCAACCCCCACGATTGCTTTAAGCCCAAATTCGATGCATCCACAACATATATCGAATTGGTCACTGGAATTGAAGGGTTCGGCCTGTCCGTCATCATCGAGCAAAGCGGAAGGATGAACCGAATGAGATTGTCATGGTAAACAGAAGCCAATTGCAACATGTCGGGAGTTGGTGTTTCGACTTTTTCAGATTGGGAATATATCCAGGGGCTGTTTTTGCGCGTTGATTCCCAGCGTGCAACAGCATCTTTGTCAAGATGATCCAAGTCGAGCATGAAAATGGGTAACCCTTTTTTGTCTCTACGACCAGTCCAATGGGGGTACTGGATGGATATGTCAGTGTATACTAACACTCTTGATATCAACTCACACTCACAATTTGACGCGCTTGCTCGAAATTGGCAATGTCGACTAAATCGTAAAGCCGGAGGATGTGCTTCTCTTCGCGGAATTCGTATGCCTCCTGGAACTGTTTGAGAGCACCGTCGGGGTCAAATCGACGGGCGATTAGAAATCGCCTAGTGCGGTCAGCACCAAGAGAAACAACCCAAATTTCGTGCACATTACATACAGAAGGGTGGGAGGATCTGATAACCCGTCACACAGGTCCCGGCTTTCTAGACTCTCAGGTCGAGTCAAAAACCCCTTTTCTTCGGTTGATTGAGTGAATGTTTTGAATGAAGCCTCATGCTCAGGCGGAATGCCGATATTTGATTGATTAGCGGCCATGAGGAAAATATCCCAAAGATGCAAGAATCTGAGCAGGTTGCATGGGTCTCAGAGTTACTTTCAACAAGGAGCCAGGCCATAATATAAGATTGTGCGAACCTGTTACGCGACCACGATAATCTGCAAGGTGACGCATGTGAGTACCCCGCGCAGGATATCCGACCCGCCTAGCTTGCCCATCTGGGCACCATTGGCGGCTCACAACAGGCCTATGTTGTATAGTTTTCCAAATCGGTGTTATATTGAAATTTGAACTACTAATTTAGGTGTAAATTGCCTCGAAACTTCCAGCTATTTGATTGTGTAAGAGTATGAGAAATGGGTATTTGTGATACATCTAATGGACAATCGATCTATCACAGGCTTAGGAGATCAACTTTATTTGTAAGTACATGAATAAGCCATCAATATATGCAGGCATCATATACATTGCATGAATTGAATATAATCACAAAGGGTCGATGCAGCTACGGAGTGTCCATACGGGCCTCAAGTACTGGAACTTATCTTGTTCCTCATAGCTGTAACATTGGGACTTTGATTCCTGTCCTAGATAACTGAGCTCTTCGGCTTTTGTTTGCTTCTTGCCACAAGGAGACTTTCTCATCCTCTTACCCCCTCTTCTCTCATAACATCTCTTCGATCTTACTTGTCTCATCCAATTTCTAGCCATATGCTTAATCTTCACCTATCTCAACTCGACTCACGTTTTGGTTCAGATAGAGCTGTTCATATCAAAAGACCCAAGGAAAACACTTGATACACTATGAAGCCTTCCGAGTACCCTCTACGGGGTACAGACCCGAAACTACAGCTTTAAATGACCTCGTTTTGATGCCGCCCAAACCAGCATCAGCGGGATGCAAACGCGCCCTAGCCGGTCCCAGTCCCAACCTCAACGCACCGCTAGAAAGCCTACCGCCCGAGATCAGACGACATTTGCTCTCTATGTTGGAACTTGAGACACTGAAATCTTTGGTTCATGTATCTCCGATATTTTATCAACAATACCCGGTGGACCAAAAATGGGTCCTGTGTCGATCTCTTGCTGCAACATTCCGCAGTAATAGCCTCCCCCACTTTGTCACCCTGGAATGTGACCAATTCAGCCCCCTCATCCATTGAGGTTTGATACAGGGCTGCTTGGGGATAGCGCCTCTCTTGTATAAACCAACTGAAGGCATCACCCAAAGCAAAAGTCTCTTCCATTGTGTCAACATTGTCTTTTGGAGTGGTCAAGATGAGGCGAGAGTTGTCGTAAGTCGCGAATAAGATGTCATGCAGAAGCCCGAGGCCACGCGAGACCGTCCCAAATAAGATCCTGCGTTCTGTTGCAATAAGGTATTAGTGACATGATGAATGAGCTTGGATGGGGGTATTGAGGATAAACCTTACTTTCTTCTGCCAGGACTTGGGTCCCTTCTCGGGGTCGTTGTTGATACTTTCGCGGGAGAATACCATGCCAATTCCAGTCGATAGGGGATGCCTTTCGGTATGTTTGCATCACAAAATCTTAAATACACACAATCTCTTCAATCTCCCAGGGGTCAAAAAGTCACTGAAGTAGCTCCGACACATCCCATCCCTCATAGTCAGGGGCGTGTTTGAAGATCGGTCCATTATAGCCATGACTGAATATGTTGCAGCAAAGCTGGAATCGGTAAAGGGCACGCATCAGTCGTATCTCTTCCGTCACACTAAAACGATCACTGTGTTGACTATAGGGAATACGCAACGCACTCGCAAGGTTTTCCAATGCCCAACTGGTGTATTTCCGCGTGAGAGGCTGGATGATTGAGAATAAAACTTCGTGATGCGGATGGCTTCATCCAGCATGAGCTCTCTGTTGAGAGTCACTGACTCGCTGAAGGGGGAGTTGTGGGAGGCGGAGCGGCCATCTCCATACGCCTGAACAAGCTGTGTCACGGTGTCTTTGGTGCGTGTCTCCCAAAAGGCCTTTAGGCCACACTCATAAACAGTGCGAACCTCATAGATGACCCAGAGTGGTTCTATCCACCACTCAGGTGGACACTGACATGGGATGGAGCACACATTGCCAGCCTAGACAATTGGGTAAAGCATCAAATGGTGTCCTGGGGTTATGTTATGTGGGATGCATCACGGCTCGTTGCAACTGGAATGAAAGATATGCTGGAACTGCAGCGAAATGGCTCGGTCTCACCCTGGTGCAACTTCCAAGGATACTCTGACTCAGACTACAGACTGACGGAGCTCCTCCATACTAGACGACCAGTTGCAAAACCACGAACATCCGGCACTATCGGTGTAAGTGTGACCTTCACATCTTTACTGACCTCAGCTGACAAATGTTTTTCTAGACCTGCAACTGAAAGAAAATGTGGCAATCTCAACCATATGAAAGCCCAAAGGGCAAATTCAATTTAGCATGCTATGATTAGGAATTTCTCAGAAACAACACTTCGGATGCCAAAAGACAAAGTGTGAACCTTCACGCTATGGTTTAGCAGCTAGATCCTTGGTTTTGGAACAGGGGGCATACAAGGTGGGTCCCAATACCCGTGGACGAGGCTGCTGAGCGGCTCGGGATAAGCCGTTCATCCCGCGACGCAAAACCAAACACCAGTTTAGCTACGAATTAAACGTGCCAGCGAGTCATCTTCCATCTGCCCTAGAAATCTCATACCACCCACTGCTCTTCTTACTAAGCGAGTCGGTGATTCCTGCGGGTAACTATCGGGTTCTCAATTGCTTACAACATACACGCCAGGTCGATGCCTCGTATAGAATCTGTACGAAGCCGATTTGGGGTAGCGTTAATAGGAAAGTGGGGACTTCAAACTGCTCTAGGCAACCTATCAGGGACTTAATTTTAGATTATGGAGGTACCTAGGCGTCCTATTCCTGTTAACATATACGCACATATTTACGCGCGATCGTTGGGTTCTGCTCAATGTGATGGCTTCTAATCATGGAACCCCTGCATGCGACACATGTCAGAACCATCTTTAACAGAATTTTTCTACCCTGTTTCCCCACGATGCGTGGCTTGGTGAGTGGGACTGATTAAAGGTGCCCCGGTATCATCATTGGCGTGAAAAGGCTGAACCCCTCTTCACGAAATACCCCGGCCGCTTTTCGCTAGGGCCGCGTTTTCAGCCGCCCAATGTAAAATTCAACATTACGCGATTCAAACACCTATCTTTCCCTAGTTTTGCACCGACAAAGGGAAGAATCAGCACGGTAGAAAAAGGCAGCGAATATTTCATGCTCGGCTTGAACCAAGCCAAAACCGATATACCATCCAATGGCTACAGTTCAAGACGAGGGCGAGTATAATTTACAGGAGGCATGGGACAAGGCGTGCGCGTCCTTTGCGCAGACAACTAGGGTCGATCTTACTACAGCGCCAAAATTCTCTGTCGACGAAATCCTTGATCAAATTCGTGGGAAGCAAGATGACGACGATGAGAAAAATTCCAAGTACAGGGCTGCAAAAGATGCGATTGGCAAGACATTGAAGTTTGTCATGGTTCTGGGTGGGATTGCTGCACAGGGTGCAAGCATGGTGAGTGATCATTACCTTCAACGGTGATGTTGCTAATAGTCATGGCTTAGGTATTTGCGCCCGCTGGCCTCTGCTTCAATGCAATTTCATATCTGATTGACACTGGAGCGAAATTCAAACGCATTTTCAGCAGCCTGGCAGAGCTGTTCCGTCGCATCTCCGACGTGCTAGAGCGCTGCAAGATCTATATGCGTTTGCCCGCGGAAGCGGTCGATGTCGCTCTTCGAAAGATTATCAATGAGCAGCTAGTATGCTTTGTCGACATTTGTGCGTTGTCTATTAGCGTTCTCAAGGGGCATAAGGTTTTCATCGCGCTTAAGGTATTTACCTTCGATAGTGACGAGGGGGTGAGTGGTCGGCTGGCTCACCTGGCGACCCTAGTTGAGCGCGAGTCTCAGATGCGGGCGACCCTGGGGTTCGAGTCGCAGAAGATGAGCGAGAGAAACATCATTGAGAACAGGGATGGCACCAGGAAGATGAATGTAAACGTCGATAAGCTGCTTCATTTTGAGAAGAAGAGAGATGCAGACAATGCCTCAAAGAAGCTCCTGGAAAGCATCGATTCCAGTCTCGATAATCCTAGCGAGGCTTTCAAAGTCGTTCAAACCACCTTCCGACGCCTCTTGGGTGATCAGGTTCAGGGAAGCGGAAAGTGGATTTGGAGTGACCCACTGTATAAGGCGTGGGCGCTCGCCGAAAATTCGTCGGTTTCAGTCTTGGGCATCTCCGGAGACGAGGGACATGGCAAATCTTTCCTGTTTGCGAGCATCGTTAAATACTTACAAGAGGCACGAATTCAGTCTGAAAATGATATGAGGTGCATTTCCACTGCCTACCATATCTTTGACAAGGATAAAAAACAAATATCTCTAGCCCAGGCGCTCAAAGTCCTCGCATGGCAGGTCGCGGACCGTGATATTGTTTACCGCAAGGATGTGAGCTCTGTGAAAACAACTGGTATCAGCCGGATAGGAGATCTTTGGGAGGTTCTATTTTCCAAGTCGTATAAGAGTGACTCGACCTTCTTCCTCCTCCTGGATGGGATCGACCAGATGGAAAAGAGCGAACTGAAGGAGTTTATCCAGGTTTTGGAGGCCTTACTAGCTATGTCTGGAACCTGGTCGAACTTCAAACTCCGCATTCTCATCACTGGGCGGAATGATACAATGAGCAAGGTCAAAGGTCGGCTTGGGGGAGGAATATCGACAATCGATGTCTCATCCGAACACAACGATGATGTAGAGAAGTTTATTATTGACCGCATGAACAAGATGGATATCCTGAGCGGCTCGTCGGATCAGGTAGTGTCTCTTCGACGTGAGATCTTACAGAATTTGAAGACCCAGACTCATGGCGACTTCGTCAATATCGGTCTCCTGCTGCATGAAATCAGCGGGAAGCAGCGACCTGGCGAGATTAGGAATATTTTATCCCGCTCGGGAGGCAAGAGATCAGACACTATCGCGAGAAAGATTGAACTCCTAAACGACACACTAAGCGAAGAAGACATCTCTGACCTAAATCTCCTCCTCACGTGGGTTGTCTTCTCCTCTTCGCCCCGAACTCTGAGGTCCCTGGAGGAAGTCCTCTTCTTAAAGACCGGGGAATCCTCTCTTCGGCCTCTGGCGGAAAAGATAGCCGATCAATATTCCTCTCTCCTGCGGGTTATGGGAGAACCGCATCCCACGACTAAGATCGTCCCAAATACCTCATATGTGGTGCTAGTCTCCAACTCAATACAGGGTTTTCTACAGAACAAGCATGAGTCCGATAACGCTCAAGACGTCCCAGACCTAGACCATAATGGCGATATCAACGAAGCCGAAGTCAGGATTGTCCGTCGGTTCTTGGAATCGGTCTGCGATCCCATTCTGTTCTCCAAATTCAAGTTCGAAGAGTTCTTCCAGCGGAAACTCAAAGGAAAAATGGCCCTGGTCGGAGTTGACATTGACACCGCTCATTTAAGTATCCTGTCAACGTGCTTGCAAGTTATTCACCACCAGGGATCTGGGCAATTAAATGCTCTGCTCGTTTACGGGTCCTATTATTTCCCCGACCATCTTCAGCAAGTGGACCCTTCAATGACGCAACCACAACACAAGGTAGCTCTGGGTCCACAATTGGTCAGTCTCTTTACAGATGAAGAGACGATTGAAAAATGGTGGGATCCAACCGATGACTGGTCACGGCGTGATTGGATCTACGGAGACAGATATGCTGAAGTTGTGTTGAAGTGGCTCCAGGACTCTGCAGTCACTAAAAAGATCCGTGATGACCAAAGAAAATGGGTAAAAAGTTTGAGTTCGAAGTCCGAGCCTGATGCAGATATTTTGGAGCATATGGTTAAAGTTACCGCCCGTGTCTGGTTGCAATCGGGTGTTGATACACAGGACCTTGCCAACTGCTTCGCTGCAATTCATGGATATGTCACAAAGGTATGTCCTTAGTTTTATTACGTGAACTCTGACATTAAAAGACTTGCGGCTAATTGATTCATCAGATTGAGAACCGCAAAAACCCCCAGATTAAGAGATCAACCTGTGATCCCACACCTGAAACTATCGACGCTTCCCAAATTTCTGATGCCGCTGAATGGGCTCGACAGAAGCTTGGTCTGGATAGTCTAGGATATGAGGAGACTCGTAATCTAGCGCGCACATTCAGAGAATATGATAAATACGATGAGTCCATTGAGCATTTCAAACTCTCGTGCTCGCTTCAGGAGTACAACTGGGCATCGCAGTGGGGTCTTGGGCTCATGCATTCCTACCAGAACGAGTACACACTTGCAATTGAGATGACAGAGGCCGCAAAAAATACAATCAAGTGTGGCGAGATACGCGACCATGATTTGGAGTTGATTGAAATGGACCGCGACATAGCTAGGTACAATGAGGAGTTGGGTAATGGCGACGAAGCGTTTGCGATGTACGAGGAAATGCTGCGGAATGACCCGAGTGACTACGACGCAGTGCTGGAAATAGTACTACACTTCCACAAAGACAAGAACCCAGAGGGGCTGCTAAAATTCCTTGATTCACTCAAGGCATCCATAGACGATCCAACTGGCCTGGACAGACGAACGCAAACATTCCACCAGCACCACGCCAACGACAAGTATCACGAGGCAATGCTCGCTTTGGTGTCCGACACCAAGACCTTTGATGCTATCTTTGAAAGCTATCAGGTAGCCATTGTTGCAGCTAAAGAGCAGCTTGCTAAGGCAGCTAATACGGGCGACACCGACGAAGAAACCTTCAATCGAGCTTGTCAAACGCTTCTCATGCATAATCTTGCGCATCTTTGCTACAATAATAGCTCAGAGAACGTTGAGCGAAGGCAATTTGCCATTGACCAGTGGGTGCACATCCTACAGATTGACCAAACTCCCAGCGAGAGGTTCGTCTCAATCACCAAAGGCTTCGTTTGTACAAAGCTCGCGAACGTCTGTTTTCACGAGGCGATGCGGGATGCAAGCACTGCAGCTATCTACCTGGAACAGTTGGAGCAATTGGCCACATTCAAGCCCACATATGTTGATGAGGAGGGCCGTTCTTCAACCTATCCAACAGAACTTGTCGCACGATACCACGCACTTCAAGGAGACGACCAAAAGGCTAAGGATGCCCTGCGCACGCACATTAAACGCAATATCGACATCCTCTCTGACGATGATCTGTCAAATGACTGGCAGGGATATCAGGGCTTGACGAGATATCTCATGTTCGCGGGCCAGGATGCAGACTGCCTCGCTGCTTGGTGGTTGATCGTTCCATATGAGGACGCAGATGTCAATGCAGACTCCTCGCCAGCTGAGCCAAGGTATCCAGGACGCAAGGGGCCTTTGTGGGATGCTTGTGATAACTGTGGTGCTTCATTCCAGTACGCAGATAATATTTATATGTGCAGAGAGTGCGACTATGTGGAGTTTGACGAGGCCTGTTATACTAAACTACGCAAAGGGACCCTCGAGCAGAAGTTTTGCGACAAGAATCACGAAATGCTGCATGTTCCCCCGTACAATGCCGCTGAGCACCAGAGAGTAGGCAAGGGTAACGTCCTGGTTGGCGAAGAGATCATCCCGGTTAGCGAGTGGCTCCAGCGCCTCAAGGAGAAGTGGAATATTCATTCGTGATTTTAAGCACGTGAGAAACTTGTCACTGTTAAACATGTTTTTGGTGCTAGCTTTCTGTCTTTTCCTTTTTCTTGGTTTCAGGCGTGTCGAAGTGGATTTGACTGAGGAACCCCACGAAGGATTACCGAATGTAGCATAACCATACCATGTCAGTCTTTCATTAAGATCAGTATTCACCATTAGATTTAATATATTTAAATCAACCTTTAATGCTAAATATTTCTAGTGATTAAACCATCCATGGATGTACTTGCAATGCGTTAGTCAATTTATATTAGGATCAGTCGACGGTTGCTGCATTATCATAATTCTTAGCAGGCCCCCAGATCATAGTGGAATATGTGTATAACACATGAAGTTCCATTTCACTTCGCGCTTCCTTGGCCCCACGATTACGAGATGTCTAGAGAAGTAGGGGCTCACCCAGATCTTGGCTCAAACTATACGAGATGGATCTTCAGGGAATATTACTATATTGGGGCTGTTGAACCTGTCGATTACTTAATGCGGAGGTTAACTCTAACTCTAGAAATAGACCTAGGGCCATACTGGAAGAAGATAAACATCTTCACAATAACGATATTTGATCTGGTATTTTCCTAGACATAGTATATTAGGAGAGTCCTTGTATTAATAGTACATCTATAGACCTATACTCAGCGAGTAGCATGGCCTAGAGATCATCCTAAAATAATGTGTTTTGCTTTGAACGCACCGTCGTAGATGGGACCCAGAACGAGAATACGAGGATCTCTAGATGATCTATTCCTTGATCTCCACACCCTCCGCACCTCCATCTTATCGACAATAGATTATCTACCGATCGCCCGTGTTATCCACCAAGTAGGCAGTAATAGTTATCGTATTCGGCCTTGGAGATGAAATCATTGCCCTATCGATGATGCTGATCTCTCGTGATGGTTTCTATTCTGGCTTCAGCATTGGCATTGATGGGGTTACATCTTTCACTTTATTAATAGAAGACTCGATGCCATATAGGAAGCTATATAGATATCGTCTTATCCTCGCTTCTACACTCCTGATCATCCTCTCCAATACAACCAAATATCGATCTCGATCTCAATCCCAAAGACACAATTCATATCTGCGTTTTCAACTTCTTTATTTGACCATCCAACCGTTCAAACTAGACCTTCAACTTCCGAAAATATGAAGTTCGCCGTCACCGCTATCGCCACTATCGCCGCTGTCCTCCCCGTGGCCAATGCCTGGATATTCACCACATGCAGCGGGCAGTGGGACGGCGAAGACAACAAGGGCTGCACCAAGTCCTCCTGCATGGGCGGTGATACCATTGACTGGGAGAATAACTTGTGGTCCGATTGTGTTCTACGTGTCTACAGCGACGGCTCCTGCAGCAACCAGATTGGAATTGCATCTGATGACTGGAATGATCACTCTTTGAGCAAGGGAATGGGTAGCTTCCGTGTTTCGTCTTGTGATAGCTAGGCTACTCATTTTGACCGTGATGAATATGTATGAGAATCAAGGGCTACGGTGGGGGTCTGAAATAGGATGGAGTTATAAACCCCTTCTCGTGCTCCTAGCTTGCGTGCTGCTCATCTCAATTCACAACCGAGACTCTCATGGGTGGACAATAGAGTCTTAGGAATAAACATGTGTATGAATTTTCCCAAAGACGCGGATGAATTTTCCGGAAGACCTTTATAGGTTACTAGACTTCAATATCATCATGTTGTGCTTCATGATCTCATCTACTGGCTTGTAAACTTCAACACTAGGGAGTCACCCGTGGACATGACTTCTACTCCCGATTGGACCAATCACAATACACTTTGGAAATAGGGTTAAACCTCGGCCTTGAACCTGATTGGCTGCCTTCTACCAAACTTTCCCGTTCCGTGTCACGGCTTATCTAATCCTTTGGCCAGGCCGGGACTAATCTTGGAACCTTGGAACCTTGCGAGTTCTAATCTAAGCTTATACGGAGGACTTTGTAGGAGCTTGCGGGCTGCAAGTCCGCCCTGCTCAGCTTCTTGCAAGGTTTCTTTCTGCACTCCCTTTTTGAAGTCCAAAGGCCCGGCCTTATTGATGATCCTCCGCCTTCTTCCAAGGAGGAAGGAGATATTTTGTCTTTAGCACGCTTGCAATCAAGATCTCGGACCTGCCGCCAACGCAATGTCACGTCCACTCACCCCACAGCATGCTCAGAAGTATCATGTCAAATTTGGCCCATCCAGAGAGCGAGAATTCTATAAGTAATTTTACCACCCATGTAACTGTTGTACTCATCCATCGACCTTGTGATCCATAACACTCGACCGAAGGTCTCGTAGGCTAACCGTGTGTCCTGCTTCCCCAGGTATTTACCGCCGTACCATCTCAAACCACACGCCTTGCAACACATTGGGCCTAATACATCACCAAAAGAATATGTCGCTCGGTCCTCGGCGGACCCCGTCCTGACGGCATTCGCCCAACTGGGCACCTTACGACTGGATGCGCATCGTTCGTTGATCTCGCTCTTCGGTCGAAACGAGCAACACATTCTCACCGAAGCCACTCAAACCTTGAGCTTGCAGAATGACGGCAATCATCATGCACGAGATGGGCTCTGGGTCGGGAGCTGTACTATGTCATATGACCGCAGCCTGTGTAAATCGGTTATAAATTCCACGCCAAATGTGTCAAACGCGAGGGACAGAGTCTTTGTTGTCCCCGATCTTGCCGAAGATAACGCGTTCAAAGACCATCCAGCTGTGACTACATTCCCAAACATTCGGTTTCTCGCATCGAGTCCTATCATCAGCCCGAAAGGCGTGGTGATTGGAGCCTATACGATCTTGGACGACCAACCTCATGAGCCTCTCGATGCCGTGTCACTCCAGTTTCTGGTTGATATTGCAGCTACCGTCATGGATTATCTGGGAACTATTCACTCGAAATCCCAATGTTTCCGCAGTGAGCGCATGATGGTTGGCCTTGGAAGCTTCCTGGAGGGAAAGGGCAGTCTACGCAACTCATGGGTCCTCGACACTGACGTTCCTCAAACCCCATCTGCTGAGATGGACCGTGCAGAGGGACATGTCGATCGAGAACAGCAAGAAAAGCAACTTTCACGCAACGTGACTCAGCCTGTGGCTCAGCATGGCACACCAAGCCACCTGCCTTTTCGTCCGTACAATCTTCATATTCCTAGAAGCAAAGCCCTGCAAGGGAATAGGGAGAAATACCAATCACTTTGCGACTCGACCACCAGCAAGAGAGACGCCAAGGCCTTATTGAAACTCAAAGAAGCGTCTCAAGCAGCCATGACAATCGGCAGTGATCAATCAAGGCAGCAATCACCGAAGGACGATTATACTGCCAAAGTGAATAAAACATTTGGACGTGCAGCCAATCTCATCCGTGAAAGTATCGAAGTTGAGGCGGTTGTCTTTTTCGACGCCAATTTTGGCTCTCAGGAAACTTTAGTGGACAATGCAGAGTCTGGCACGGAAAGCAGTAGTTTTGAAAGCTGTTCTTCGGGCGATGAGGCCACATTCAGAAGCTCCCCCCACCGTTCATCGTTTGACCCAGAACAGGCTGAAAGCTCAGGCAAAGCTACGTTGAACCCGTGCGAGATACTCGGATTTGCCACTTCGAATTCCTCTAGCGTCAATGATCAGTTGATGGACGACAACAAAATCGCATTATCAGAGTCATTTCTCGGGGGCCTTTTGCACCGATACCCTCGAGGGAAGATCTTCAATTTTGGCGAAGATGGAACAATCTCATCTGATGATACAAGTGATGGTATAATAAAACGATTTTTGCGACGTCCTGGGGCCAAGAAGTATAAAAAAACACGGAAGTCGCTTGTGCGCCAAGATGCCCAGAGCTTGCTTCAACTCGCCCCTGAGTCTCGAAGCATCATCTTCTCGCCTTTGTGGGACTCGCACAAGGGTAGATGGTACTCGGGGACTCTGGCGTGGACAAAAGCACCCCACCGTGTCTTCACTTCGAATGATGACTTAGCATTCCTCTTGACATTTGGAACTAGTGTCATGGCAGAAGTGCACCGACTTGGTGCTCATTTCGCCGATCGAGCAAAATCAGACTTGCTCTCAGGACTCAGTCATGAACTTCGATCCCCTCTGCATGGCATTTTTGGAACAGCGGAACTCTTGAATGACACTGTTATGGACGCGCTACAACGAGGATTTATTCATACGATTTCTTCTTGTGCATACACACTACTAGGCTCGATCAATCAACTCCTCGAGCATGCTAGTATCAATGATGTTCGATCACACTCTGTCGCCAAACCCCCCGGTGGTGGCATTCAGGAAATTCCCGTCGACCGGAAAGCGGCCGCAGCCCGCCGTTCTTCACATTCTAGAAAAAGTGATGACGACACTTGTGTCGAACTTGATGCTACCTTAGAAGACGCAGTTGAAACGGTCTTTGCTGGTTATTCCTTCTTCAGCAGTTCACGATCCCCTCTTCGGGGTATTGATACCCCTTCTACATTGGATAACAAACTTCTCCATACACGTGGTGGGGTCAAGGTGGTTTTGAACATTGACCACGCCCACAGCTGGAAATTTTCAACACAAGCCGGGGCTTGGCATGTCATCCTCACGAATATCTTTGGGAATGCCTTGAAATTTACGCAAAGCGGTTATATTCACATCTCTATGAAGGCCTCTCCAACGAAATTCGGAAAAAATGGCGAGGTCACAAGCTCAGCAGTCACAGTGACTGTAAAAGACACTGGATCCGGGATTGACCCGAACTTTCTGAAAAATGGATTGTTCACTGCTTTCTCACAAGAAGATAGCATGACAACTGGCAATGGTCTTGGATTGAGCATCACACGACGAATAATTCTATCGCTTGGTGGTGATATCCAGGTCAACTCCGAGAAAAATGTTGGCACTGAAGTCGTGGCGACTGTGACCCTTAATCATGTGCCTGCTCTGGACAGCCTTGACAAGCTGAATGTTCCCTCTCCCATGACCATGACGCAAAAGCTTGCATGCACGAAGACCATTGGAATATTAGGTCTCGGAGCCCCTGAATTAGACATAGCTCTATACACATCGTTACAAAAGATGTGTCTTGATTGGTTCTCCATGGAAGTTCTTTTAGTTGGGTCTTCACAAGCACAATTCGCCCACTGTGACCTATACATCTCTACTTACGAGTATCTGGACATAGGGAACCAGGAGATCAGGGCTATTGCGCCCAGTCCAGGTTCTCAATTTTCTTCACCTCTCATCATAATATGCCCGTCCCCGAGGACCGCCCACGCGCTGTCTGTCGGAGCTCAGAATCGTGGGGATGCAAATGTGTTCGAGTTCATTAGCCAACCATGCGGACCGCGCAAGTTGGCAAAAGCATTGGAAACGTGTATTAATCGTCAGCAACTACAGTTTGATTCGCCCAAGAGCGAAGAAAACATACCGTATGGCCCAACGAGTTTCCCAGCCTATCTCAGCACCAATAAGCCTAAAATGGACTCGTTTGTTAGCCGGCCGTCGAATGCAGAAGTCAGCGAACAAGCCACCATCAAAGTGGTAGCAGATCCTGAAAGATGCAGTCAGCCATCGACAGGCACGCTCGAGTCGATGAGACTCTCGCGGGGAAGTTTTTGTGACTCTCTTTCTCCATCCGAAGAAGTCGCTGCCACGAGCCACGATACACCCATCAAAAAGCAGAATGACACCGTATCAAATCTTCCAACAACCGTTCTTCTTGTGGATGACAATGATATAAATCTCAGAATGCTCATTGCTTTCATGAAGAAGTTGAACTGCGATTATGTCATTGCACAAAATGGAGAAGAAGCCCTCGAGGCTTTCAAGGCCAATTCATCTGTTATCGGGATGATTTTTATGGGTAGGTTTTTGATAAATTAAGCCGAACGTCCTTTAGCAATCTAATACTCTTGGCAGATATCTCCATGCCAATTATGGACGGCCTGGAATCTACTAGGCGAATTCGGGAGTTTGAGAAAAAACTGGAAACCAAATCCCGTGTCACGATTGCTGCCTTGACTGGCGTTGCGCAAGCCGACACCCAACGCGATGCGATTGGGTCTGGTATGGATTTATTCCTCACCAAACCCATACAGCTGAACAGTCTAGTGCCAATAATCAAAGGCATAATGCCCCCGACCCATGCACTTTGGCAAGAGTAGTACTCAATGATTTAGCCTCAACTATTGTGGGAGGCATTTGCACTCTTGGGTGTAAGAACATCATCCACATACGACTAACCTGGCTGCTGAAGCCCCGCAAGTTGCTCATGTCAACACCCACGCTCAATCGGCTTGTTCTATATTTGTACATATAACGATATACGAAGTAAATTACAATCCTCCCATTCATTATATACAATTCTTATTCCGTCATTGAAATGAACACTTCGTGTTCGTGGTCTGTTCTTACCGGGTGGAGTGATAGTACTGACTCAGAAGGTTATATTACCTTGTGGAGAGGTGTTGACTCTCTCGCCCCAGAAGCTTGACTCAAGATGGAGAGTGATTATGATTTTGGATCCTAGATATGTAGACCGAAAAAAATGCTGCTGGCGATGTTCTTTTTCGGGGTTGGTTTGAGCAGTTTCATTGGTAACAATATCTGTCTGCTGGATATCCATAAACTTATTTGTGCACAATTTTTGAAATACAAGGCAAAATTGACCCAAATGTTTGTATTCCAAGGTTCCTTTCACGTATTATCTAAGCATTTTAGAAAGAACCTTGGAAGTTAAATGATCCTAGTGCTGCACAGGGCTATAATAGACAAAAAAAGTCCAATTCATACATAATGTCATAGCTTTATTAAATCCAAATATCTGCGCCCCGTAACACCAATAAACAATAGCTATCCCGGCAAAGAGTCTAAATATTCACCTCCCTAACAGACGTAATAGGCAACATATCATCCTTCTCCTTTGAAGTCCACGTCGCATTCTTACCCCACGAACGGGAGAATCTCTCAAGCGCAGCTGTAAGTGCGCCCATCTTCGGTTCTATATACCTCGTCCATTGCTGGACAACATAGAGCAAGAACACAAAAAACATGCTCAGAATAATCGCGAGTCGGAATGGGCCCGGTGTTGGAATATAAGACTCCGGGTCAGGTGTTCCGTCTGCTTTTAAAGCCGGCTCAAAGCTAATTGACATGGGCAGATACAGAAGATAAACCAGAACAGATCTCATTAGCGGTCCGTGGACGAGATATAGCGGGAAGCTGATCGATCCCAGCCACAATAGCACGGGGTGCGAGAGCATCCGTCGCATGAGGGGGGAAAGCATGGCCCCAAAGCATATCATCTGCGCCCCAAGACTAGCGTAGTATCGGCTGACGTTGGCATCTTTTGGGAAGATTATTTCGGCAAGCGATGCAAGCTGGGAAGACCATTCGGTTTGGTCGGCGTATTGGTCGGGGTACGAGCAGATGTAAAGGCCCAGGGTGACGAGGCCGTAGGGTAAGAACTTGAAGATCAGGTGTGGCCGGAGGGCCGAGAGATTGTAGAATGATAGCTCCGCTAGTATCATGCCGGCGAAAATATTTGTACCCACAGTACCTGCAAGATATTATTAGCGTTATATTTAATGTTGCAATATCACCCCAAACATACCATCCAGGGTTGCCCAGCTATAGGTGTATAGGACCATTTGCGCACAGAGGCGGAAAAGTGGCGTGGTATTTACCAAAGCCAGTAGGGTCATGAACACATATAGAGAGCCACGGAAAAGGGGCAATAGGGCCCATTGCGGTTGGTCATAGGCATTTTCTCCATACATCCAAGTTCCCGCTATCTGTCGTATCAGATCCACGATAGCAGCGACCAAAGATGGGCTTTGTTGCGGGCTGGTTGCTCTCAACCAGTATGCATCTACCCTTCTACCCAATTGGAAGGCACCGAACTGACATAAAAGCCAAGCTAAAATTGTCATCAGGGCAGCAGGGAAAACCAGTCTCCACTTGCGCCGGAAAGCGCCTGTAGACAGCGTAGTGAGAGCATCGGCGGTAGCTCCTCGTCGAGCTAGCTGGAGTGGTTTTAGGGCATTCACAAATCCGAGTAGCACCAGGAATATGGCCACCCAAGCCTGGCCCTGTATGACCAGTCTAAAGAATGGTCGTTGAAACAAAATAGAGTTTCCTGTTTCTGCGAAAGACGGCGGGATCAGATATGTCGCAAAGGAGAGACAGGTATGGCTAGCGACCACAAAAAGTGCGGCAATTCCTCGAAGACCCTATAGAAAGAATCACGCTAGTGAGCGACAGTTTCACAGCATGCGGGGGATTAGAAATAATACTTACATCTGCCCAGCTACTGGGACGGATGTAAGATGCAGGTTGCTTGGTCGCCGGGTCGACAATGGCCATATTGGGCAGACGGGTTCATTGCTGGCAATAGTATAATGCAGCAGCTGCAGCTCCCCTGGCACATATACATAAATCTTGTTAGTAAATCATGCCTTATTCCGGGGAGACATTTTCGAGAAATAAACTCTCAAAATACGAAAACGTCAATGTGAGATCGAATTGGAATAGTTGACAGTTGATATCCGCTATCCGAAGACGGAAGGGTTCGAGCGGGCTAACCACATTCCACGGCCATGCGCAGATGAATTGCGATGAATTGCGATGAATTACGATGAATTAGGAGTTGTAAAAGGCAGAGAATCCCAGATATTAATTTGAGATATTCAATTGGTCTGGAATTCAGGGGTTATGTACGGAGTTAACAAGAATAACCGGGCGCTTACAACATAGGGGAGCTTGGCATGTCTCTTTTCACATTCGTTCAGATATTCTTTTTGGAGGGTTCTTTTTTTCTCGAGATATTTCCCCCTGAATAGTCTTGTAAGTAAAATAAATAAGAAGAATTAGCTCCAAAATATAGAGTCAAATGCATATACAACGTATAATACATATAATATATGTGGCTATAAAAGTCTAGAGTTCCCGATCGACACATGAATTTCCGACCTATCGATTTTTTATACAAAGATCACAACAATGCGGATGTTATATGTTGTAGATAATAATCAAATAGATATAGAGTAGATATCCAACGGTTTAATCCACTTTATATTGTGAATATAGTGAATACTATGAATATCATGTACTGTGTAGTCAATATGCCCCTTTGTCCATATTACGTCACCTGACACTAAACCTGATCAGGGTCTTGTTGATTTCGTTTCAACTGCGCCTTTTCTCTCTTTTCTTTTTTTCCACAGTCCTCTGGCAGGCTGTCTGCCCAAATTTGGTCTCTTACTTTTTGTCTTTCGTTTTTCCAAATTCCTCAATTCATTGTCTAACACTTTTGACACTCCCTTTTGTTGAAACCCTCCCTTTGTCCGGCCCGAATATCCTATGATTATCGATTGATAGCTCTCCGTCAGCGATAACAAATGTCCAGCGGGAACTGGGTGCGACATCGTGGCCATGGTCACAGAAAACGTAAACCCTCGATATCCGCCTCCTTCGGCTGATTTCGACCTTCCTGGCCGGCGCAGAGTTCCTCACCCACCACGATTGGAGTCTTTAGTCGACCCACGCGCGCGAACTGCAAATTCCACTCCGAGGTCCTCACCTCACTCCCCTCGCTCTACACATCGCCAGAGATCGCGTTCGCCTCTTCCAGGGCCTCACAATCCCCATGAATACCCGTGGCCACCCACTCCGCCTCACCATGGCCCATCGCAGGCCATGAGGGGCGAATGGAAAACCCCTAGACCTAGTGGTCGGCCTCAATTCTACGCCACACCACCTGAAAGCAATCCTCCGAATTGGCCCCCGCGAGACGAATACGAACGGCCGATGCATCGGAAACCTATGCCTGCGCGAGGGGGCCTCCGTATCTCCATGTCAACATCCAGGTTGCATAATAGACGCCCAAGAACCCAGGAATCTATGGAGCGCCGCCCACAGGACTTGAGCCCCCAGGGACCATCTCTGTCACGCTTCTACACAAACGGGACCACCGATGAAAATCCTCCCCGACCAAGCGTCAATTCATCTGAAACCTGGCGCTCTAGCACTGAACAAGCAAGCGGAACAGAGCGCAGCAGTGTTCTGACCAAGAGCAGCTCGATCACCGATCTTTCACCGGATACCCCCGATGCGCCTTATGGGATGGACAATGGGATGAGTGTCGAAGACGCGATTTCCATGTATCTTGATGGCTTCAGCGACGTGACCGAAGAGCCTGGCTCACCGAAATCCCACGCAGGGAGTAAAGCGCCATCAGTAACGCCTCCACCATCGCGCGATTCACACCTAGATGAAGCACACCCACTTGAATTTTCGTCGCTGAGCGACATTCCGCCGATACCCCCGATGCCAGAATCTACCATCTCGCGAGACACAAGGCCAGATTCTTTGTTTTTACCAAACTTGACGTATTCCGAACCCACACCCATACCACCCATACTCCCAGAATCCGCGCCAGAGCTCACGCCGCTGGAACCTGCACTGCATGAATATCCAGAACCCGACCCGTCGGACCCTGTTATCCCAGATTCTCCCCGCGAGGTAACTCCCTCCGCATCGCCGGTAGCCGAGGCACCTGAAGTGCATCCCGCACACCAACGACAGGCCTCGAAAAAAGTATTTATTCCCGGATTAGTGCCGCCGCTACTCCGCTCTGGAAACGGCCCTCGAGACGATTACGGATTTCGCAAAGCCACTCAATATGTAAGCCTGGATGAATACGAGACCTGGAAAGGACCCTACTCCAATCATGTGACACAACGGAGAGCCAAATGGTGTGAATTACTCAAGGAGCACGGGCTACCCACATCACAGCCGACAACATTTCCCCCGCAGTCTTCGAAGGTCAAGCGGTTCGTTCGCAAGGGAATTCCTCCAGAGTTCCGAGGTGCGGCTTGGTTCTATTATGCCGGCGGGTACGAGCTTTTGAACCGGAACCTTGGCCAATATGATGAACTTGTTGCGAAGGTTATGAGCTCGCCAAGTAACGATGACAAGGAGCATATCGAGCGTGATCTCCACCGCACATTCCCTGACAACCTCCATTTCAAACCAGAGGCTCCCGAGCAAGCGCAACATTCCGGGAGCAGCAATCCGAATTATTCCAATGTCACCACAGAGACGCAGATGATTCAGTCCCTACGTCGGGTTCTGTATGCTTATGCGCTGCATAACCCGAAAATCGGATACACCCAGTCTCTGAATTTTATCACGGGAATGCTGCTTCTTTTCCTCCCCGAGGAAAAGGCATTCTGGATGCTGCATATTATTGCTGCAGACTACTTGCCCGGAACCCATGAGATCAGTCTGGAGGGTGCCAACATTGACCTCTGGATTCTCATGGTCCTGCTCAGAGACTCCATGCCGGGCATCTATTCCAAGATCGCTGCCATGGGAGGAACCCCGTCCGGACGGGGCAAAATGCCTCCCTTAACAGTGAACTCTCGGCTGCCGGATATCACACTGGGACTGACCAACTGGCTTATGTCGGTATTCATCGGAAGTTTACCTGTGGAAACCACCCTCCGAGTCTGGGATGTTTTCTTCTACGAGGGCTCCAAGACTTTCTTCCGCGTGTCTTTGGCAATCTTCAAATCATGTGAAAAAGACATCCTCAGCGTAACAGACCCTATGGAAGCATTCCAGATCGTCCAAACCATCCCTAAAAAGCTGTTGGATGCCAACACGTTGATGGATGAATGTTTTGTACGTCGGCATCGCGTCGGACAAGGTCGTATCGAAGAACTCCGAGCTCAACGTCGGACGGCTATCCGCGAAGAAAAGTTGCGACGATCAGTAGCCTTCGGCAAAGGTCAGCTTCATTCGAAGACGGATGAGTTCACCGGCCGAAGCCGCACGCCAGTCCCGGGCATCGAGCACCGGGTCGTTGATTCCTGGCGTAACTTGAAACAACATGCATTTCGATAAGCGAATGACCACCCTGGTGTCCATGTCTGTTAGGTGTCTTTCCCAGGCCACGGTCCTCCGGGTTATGCCATCTCCTTAATGTCTGTAATCATAATTGTGAAGTTGACGGGGTTTAGCGAGGGCGGCTCTTTGTGTGCATTATAGGCGTCTTGGCTTCGAAAGGCGAAATGGGGGAATCGAGCATTTAAAGCATTTATTTTCTTGCATTTGTACATAGGAATTACAAACACATCCAAGTTCCGTGCCAAGCAGGCAACCGACTTGGCAACTCACAAATTTTGAGCAATCCACCTTGACATTGGTAGCATCCCTATAGGGCTGTAATACCAAGGTAATAGGACAGACAATATGATACCACGAAAGCTGGGAAAACTATGATTCGTCGCTCGAGCCCCTTGTATTGCTTTCTCGGGCTCTGGAACTTACGATTACAAATTTCCTGCGTGTCTCCATTGTCCTTCGCCCCATATTAATTCCTTTCAGCTGTTGAGCCAAGAATACTGCCTCCACCATGTCAATCGCTTCAAGCCTCGGTTGAACGTGCACTACCTGGCAGCTGGATTTTCCTTGATACCGCCCGAAACCGTCGATGAGTTTTGTCAAGATAGGAGCAACCTGGTCTTCAACTATGGTGTCAGTATTGTAAAAATCTTACCTGAAGTGGTCGTCAAGATCGGATCTCATGTTAACTTTCTCGAGGCCAAAAATATGATATATATTGCACAAAATACAGGGATTCCAGTGCCCGAAGTATTCACCTGCTATACATACGGCCCTATTGATCGTGATCCTGATGACTAGAGAGGTCTTTACGATACCTACATCTTTATGAGTTTTATTGAGGGCGACACGTTGGACACAGCGTGGGACACTTACGATGTCGCTACTAAAACCCGTATCTCAACACAGCTTACGGGTTATATCCAAGAGATGCGCGTTTAGCTAGTGAGGGCTATATTGGTTCTCTTGGCCATGGACCCGTTGCTGATCATTGCCTGTCGACTTCTCTTGATAAAGGTATAGCTATATATATATATCTAACAGCTCTCTTTGAAAGGTCCCTTTAAATCCGAGGAGAATTTTAAGATTTCCCTTCTTGATACCTATCAAAAAATAGCACCGAAACGTCATATCGGAAGTTTTCTCAATGGAATGCTTCTTGCATCCCACCGTACTCTCTTCGCACATGGTGACCACCGGCCTCAGAATATCATGGTTAAAGATGGTAATGTGGCTGCTATTATTGACTGGGAGCTTAGTGGTAGGTATCCTGAATACTGGGACTTTGCAAAGGCTCTACTTCTACTCATTTGGGGTTGGCAGAGTGACTGGACGGACTATGTGAAGCAAATTCTTCAACCGTACCATACTGAATATTTCATGCACCATTTCCTGATTGAGAAGTTGATGATATAGGTGGAATTGCCTTTTTTTTTTCTCCTAAAAGCGAGAGTAAATATAATTTGGGAGTTGACAAGGTTGTCGAAGAATTCGAAATAATGATAAAAAGTTAGAAGGGATAAAGACGTACCTAGGTAGGATATTTAGAATGTAGGTGAGAGATCGTGATTGAGCATCTAAATAGATCATAATAAGAGACTTTATTCTACTACTAATTTAGTATAAAATGATATCGAATTCTTCATGAAGATTGTCAGAGTTCTGCCCTGAGGTGTTATGGAGATGTTATGGAGATGTTCTGAGTCCCTCCCCCCCCGCTCTCCAATTTCCGAGGGTCCAAATCCCGGGAGGGTCCAAGTTACATTTTTGGATTTTTGCTGATCCATGGATCCCCTTTCTCTGAGGCTGAATGAGATCAAAGCTTCGTCAAAACATATAAAGAGCTCCGAGGATTTTCATTTATTTTAACAATTTAATAGGATTAGAATCTGTACAACTTAACAAAGATCACAAGCTAAACTGGATTTTTTGAATTTTACTAGCGTTTTTAGTGAATTCTTTAGCGTCTTGGATCGACGATCCCTAGGGCTGGTTGATCTTTAGGTTCGATCGAGATTTCCGCTCGGCTGTTTGGTTCGTGTCGTCACCAGTGTCAAATGCGGTAGGTTCCTTGCTTCCCCTTTCTTTTTCTTTTCCTTCTTTTCTCCATTTGGATTTTCCCCTTCTCTGAGCTTCACGCAGATATGAGTGGACAAGCTTCGAGCTACTATAACGAGGGTGTCCCTCAGGGTCAGCCTCCTCAGCCAAACTATGGTTATGAGCAGCAACATGGGAACTATCAACAGCCAAATAACCCGCCTGCACCATACCCGCAGCCAAACTACCAACAGCCAACCTATCAGCAACCTGCAGCCGAGGCCAAACCGCCGCCGCAATACCACCAAAATGTCCCAGACTCCGGATACAGCTTTGACCAGGCGTTCAAGATCGAGAAGCCCAAGTGGAATGATTTGTGGGCAGGTCTCTTGGTGAGTTTGTTGTCACACCGATGAGAACATCTAAAGCTGACTTGTTACACAGTTGATCGCTGTCTTCCTCGGATATGTCGCCGTGTCAGGACTTACCATCCACAAGTATGCCACCAACAAAGGCTTCAATGGAGGAGGAATTTATGACTCGGCCAATGATTTCTCGCTGGATACCAACACCCTCGTCCTATTTGTCTTCGTCCTTGTCGTCGCCCTAGTTTTATCTTTCCTCTATTTCATGGGCGCAAGACACTTTACCAAGACCTTCATCTGGGCAACAGGTATTCTCAACATTGTCTTCGCCCTCGCAACGGGAATCTACTACATCGCGCGCAAGCAATATGGTGGTGGAATTGTGTTCCTCCTCTTCGGCGTCTTCGCGATCGTCTGTTTCATCAGCTGGATCCCGCGTATCCCCTTCACTGCCTTCATGCTACAGACCGCCATGGATGTAGCCCGCGGCTACGGACACATCTTCCTAGTCAGCGCGATAGGTGGAATTGTCACAGTTGCTTTCGCCGCCTGGTTCTCCGTCACTATGGTCTCGATCTATGTAGCCTACGAGCCCGATTCCACTGGCACCAATCCGTCCTGCGCAAACGGTGGCTGTAGCAGAGCGAAGGTCATCGGCCTTGTCGTCTACGTGACCTTCGCCATGTACTGGGTCAGTGAGTGGATCAAGAATACCGTGCACACCACCGTCGCGGGTGTCTATGGTTCGTGGTACTTCTTCAGCAAGTCAGCCGGCGGCATGCCCAAGGGCTCAACTCGCGGCGCGTTCCGTCGCGCGACTACATACTCCTTCGGCAGTATCAGTTTTGGCAGTCTGATCATCGCGATCATCAACATGTTGCGACAGGCATGCTCTATCGCGCAGCGACACGAGGCTGGACAGGGTAACTTGGTTGGCAGTATTTGCATTTGGATTTTGGGGTGTTTCATCTCGCTCCTGGATTGGCTCGTTACTCTTTTCAACCGCTACGCCTTCTGTCACATCGCGTTGTACGGAAAGGCTTATCTCCCTGCTGCCAAGGATACCTGGAAAATGATGCGCGACCGAGGAATTGACGCTCTCGTGCAAGACTGTCTCATGGGCCCGGTTTTGACTATGGGCTCGACCTTTGTCGCCTATGTCTGTGCGCTGTTGGCCTATCTCTACCTGCAGTTCACAAACCCTGCCTACAACAGAGATGGTAACTTCACTGCTGTGATCATGGCGTTCGCTTTCTTGATTGGTCTGCAGATCTGCCAGATCTTCATGACTCCCATTGGAAGTGGTGTTGAGACTATCTTCGTGGCTATGGCTTGGGATCCTCAGGTCATGATTAATGACCACCCGGATATCTACTACAAGCTGGTGCAGCTTTACCCTAAGGTTCAGCAGGCTGTCCATGCTTGAGCTTTCTAGAGTCGCAAGGCAAGGGCCTTGAAGTTCGACTGCAACTATTTAATCGCTATGTCCATGGGCGGAATCTATATTCGCTTTTTCTCGCCATGTTTACGAATGTTAAGCACAAATTGGTGCTCGCTAATTAATTGAAGATAATTCACGATCAATAAAATTGCAAGACATGTGTCATGTATCATAATCACTCAAGTTCGAAACTATCTGAAATATCAAAGAAAAGACTAATATAAACTAAAAACCCAAGGTCCAAGTAAAACAAGAATTCCCCTCCCAAACGATCCCTCAAAAGTCCCCCTCAAACTACCTACAAAGCAACCATAACCGCCATAACAGCCGCAACCCCTAGGGCCGCAACACCCCCATGCACGGAAGCTCCTGCAGCCGCCGCGCCCTGGAAAGGCGAGAAACGAGTAGGATCAACACCAGAAGGTCTAGCCGAAGGCGTGGCTCCAGGACCAAAAATCACAGATGACGAAGCCGCACCACCCATAAATCCATGCTGACGACCAGCGGGTGTCGACGATACTGCCGCCACAGACGCCACACTACTAGCCGCTGGGACATCAACAGGGATCTGGGAGACATGCATAGGGCTCTGAGCAACAGGCGTGCTCTTGCAGCTGCAGTCGGTGCGGGTCTCGGTCACGTAGACGACACGCGGGACGGCAGCTTCAGGTGCGTAGGCGCGCTTATCGTTGACCAGCTGCATGGGTCTGCTTGCATGTCGGGCTGGTGCGGCTTCGTGATCGCTGTCGCTGCTGCAGAGGGTGCTGGCTAGGGTGCTTAGGTCCAGGCCTGCGCAGGCTGGGTTGGTTGAGGTTGTCAGGGCTTCGATGGCGGATTTGTTGGCGCAGAAGCATTCTTGAGAGGTTTTGGAGGTGCAGGTGGTGAATTTTGATGTGTCAATGTGGCCGAGGGCGGCACTCTTAGGGGTCTTTAGCTTTGTTTATTTAGGTTATGGGTTGGGGTTTGGTTCTTACGGCGCACTTGATGTAGTCTTCGGTTGATCTGGCTAGAGCGCCGGCAACAAGGACTGAGGCGGTGATGAAGGAACGCATTTTGGATGTTTTGTGGTTGTTAGAGAAGAAGTAGTTGGGAGATTGTGAAGGAGTTATACTAGAAATGGAAGTCTAGTATAGTATATTATAGAACGGAACTATGGAAAGAGAGACCAGCGAGAGATATTGCTTTATGTACAATTAGATTTTTCTATCAGTCATTTTCAGAGTAAACATTCGCTTTGACATCACATCCCTTCATCCCTTCATGGTTGGGGGTAATGGGGTTTATGACGTCCAGGAATCCTGTTGATGGATAGTTCCCGATATAGAGACAGTGCTTGTCCTAAGAGATAAGCTTCAGATCGCATTTTTGGTCTGACGCCTGCGAGAACCATGTACACTTGATCCCCTGTTTATCGTACTGGAATGATGGAAGAATGTGCCAGTTGCCACGTCCTTGTGGCGTTCCTGGTTTATCCCTAGGTCCCTTATACTCCGAAGAATGTTGGGTTGAAAGATCAAGGGACTGTCTCATTTTTGTGTTTCATTGATCTTCATTGTGTTAAAAGAAGGAAATCTATCGTCGAGTTGGAAGGAAATCGAGATTATCTGCTTGTATTCGAAATGGACATTGAGTTAGGGCTATAACGGTAATTGCATCGTGATATTCAAGGAGTCGTCCCGTAACGTCAAAGACTCGGACGTCTATCACTCGGACGACTCTAAACCGCTATCTAAACTCAATCCTTTTTTAAGGACTTGTACGAATGCCATCTTGTTATTTTATCTTCAGTGTACCTAATGTGTACAGATGCAGCATTAAACAAACACATTCAACTTGAAAAGTCAACAGGCACTCAAGGATGATACAATTTGGAGATACCAAGGTTCAGCTGTATTTACTTAGGCATCAAATTTCTAGAACAGTCACTTACACCCTAGTTTTCGACCTTGGTGACCGCTCTGCCAGCAAGTAGTTTGTCGCTGAACAACGAATTTATAGTATGATTAGAATTATTTACGAGCAAACGTATCTGCGATAGGTATATCTCATTCTATCTGATCAAATCATCCTACTATTCCTTTCTCAGTGACTTCCTCCGCCCTTCTCTCGACGTGCTAGTTCCCTGACAATTCCCTCCTTCGCAAAGTAACTGTAACAAGTTGCACCATTCTCAATCTTCCGTTGATGATATTTGAGTGAAGGGGTCTTCATGTTCCAGAGAATCTCGCATATATCCCAGGGCAGCTCCTCTGACGATGTGACATCGGAAGTCGATGAACGAGATAGGTGATTTTGGGAACGTTTTCTTTTCGACGAGAATGCTGGCATGAGTTCCGGGGGTCGTTTTAGCGATGAGAAATCGAGGCGTGCACGCGATTGAGAGACTTGGGGTGAAAGTTGGTTTCCAAGGTTGAAGCCCCCGAGATTAGGCTGTGTGATTTGCAGTTTGGGCAAAGTTTGGAAAACCAGTTGGTCATCCTCATCTGCTTTGTAGAACCCGGGGGCAATAGGAATATTTCCTAATTCCCAAATAGTGGATGTCTGTGCTGGTGGAGTCATGGGTCGAAAGGTCTTGTAGGCTGTCTGTGCACCGGGCGGTTTCGAGGGCAACATGATAGAATAGTGAGGGTTGAAATGAGAGAGGTATTCCGGAATCTGAAATCCTTACCTTAGTTAGTGTGAACTGATAATAGATTGGATAGAGGAACTAACCGAGCACGCGCGTACCAAAGCGGAGGCCCTTAAGGCTGTGAATATGAGCTGAGAATGGATTAGACAGAGGAACTGGCTAAGTACGCGCGTTTCAAATCGGAGATCCTCAAGGCTGTGGGCGTGAAGGGAGAATAGGTGGGAGGGTGCAAACGATCAAGCGAAGTGGCATTTGATGGAGAGATGTCCAAGTGACGGACGGTCGATGCTATGGATGGTCCGAATGCTAGAAACGTTGGGGGAATTGTAGGACGAAGCATCTCCAAAAATAAAGGCATGAGGAGGGCCATCAAAAGTAATTCACTAACAAACAAGTAGTACTGGGTGGGCCAAGTGGTCCATTAGGCATAGACTGGGCAGCTCACAGAGTCCATATGTCTCCTGTGATATGGAGACAGATATAGGCTGGAAGAAACGGGCTCACGGCAATAATTAGGAGTATCGGGTGGTTATCACCCGCCAACCAGCGCTCCAAAGGCCCTGTTCACGGAGCCATCCTCCATCCACACATTGTCCAATGGCATTATCCAGCTACCGAGTGAGATTCATTCGATGAGAAGTAAGATCTCTCTATCATGAAGGTCTGTACGTGGCGCTATCACGGGGTGCTGTTGGTCCCAGAGTTTGGCTTTATTATACCATTCTACAGCTTCGTATGTTGGGAAGATTGGGATGACACCCGGAAAGTGTGAGACCTCTTCCAAATTTGAGGCAGCTCCCCCCGTGACGATTAAAGCAGAAGGTGAGAGGGGGGAGAGAGAGGGGAAGAGAGAGATATATATATATTTCAGAATTGGTGGGTTGCCTACCTGTTTGCTTGCTCTTTGTCTGGTTTTGGTTGCTACTGATCTTCATATCGTCACTACAGGAACAAGGCGTAGCCCAACATAAGGAAGTCTCTATTTAAAGAACTAGTCCAAGCATATATTGTCGTGAATGTCCTAAAAAAACTCCCGTAGACGACTTTGATCACTAGGATGTAGAAAAAAATTCATAAAATACGGTTGCCACTGAACATATAAAACGAAGAAATGAAAAGAAATGAAAATTAAGCAACTTATTTGTATACTAGTCACCATTGCCGCGAAGAACTATCAAATTGGGTATAACTAAAAATCCAAACCACTAATCCGATCGCTTCCAAACCGTCCAATAGCGAAGAAAAACCAAAGATGACCAACATATATAGAGAATGATAAGTCGCAAGCCCAGCTCAGAACTTCTCACTGGTCACACAACGCGTCGAATTGACCAACAACCAAGCCAAGATCTTCACAATAAGCGTCAACCCTTTCACAATCAAATCCAAGCCAAAGAACAGTATACGCAAGATAGTGCGAGTAAGCCCGGGCAACTTCTCTCCCTCTCGAGACGAACTATTCCCATATCGACCATACTTCTCCAAGTCAAACTCCTCAACCACAACCTGCTTGTTTTTATTCTTCTTCGATCTTCGACTATTTTCCTGAGGCTTGGAAGGGGATCGGTTCCAGAACGTGAAAAGACCCTTCTTTCCCGACGCCTCTTTGGACTTTTTCTGCGCTGATTTAATCTGCGATGCCAAGTTCATGCTCTCTGCTGCGTCTTCGCGCTCAGCCACCGTAGTCACCAATTTACCCTGAAACACAGGCATCGAGTAAGGGCCAGGATTGTGGGAGGTGGGTGGTCTAGACGACTTTGGCGATCCGAGAACCATATCTGCAAGGATCGGGTTCGTGGCTTCGTCTGAGACGGCAACTGCCAGCATCGCAGCGATGAGAGAGTCGATGGCGTATAAAGAGGGAATAGTAGCCATAACAGCAGCCGGAGAAATCGAAAATGTTTTCGTAGCGAAGTCCAAGGATGCAAGCGGCTCGTCAAAGTCCGTGACAGGGAGTACGGATGTGCGTAGATTAGCAGCTTGCTGAGCGGCTTCCATTGCCGTTGAAGACACTGGGCCAGTAACAATGATTGTTGGTGGCTGACGAGGAGAGGCATCTCCTGACGGCGCGGAGACTGTGATGTGCACCATTCCTGAAGATTGCGATCGCACCGGGGAGAGTGGAATTCCGACAGCGCCCACAAGAGCGGGTGGGTTGTGTCTTGAGAGATACGGGTGTCTCAGCTCATACAGTCGTTGATGGCGGTTCCAGGAGAGCCGGCAGGACTCTTGTGCTGCGGCCCGTTTGAGCGCATCGGTTTCTACTTCTGCCGTCTCGGCGGGAGTTAGGTGGTGTTGCTTGCTGATCTCATCGGCTTGGTCTATTGCCAACATGGCGGCTAGTCGAGAGAATAATAGGGTCACGAGTCCGTCGTTGGGATGCTCGCGGCGTATGCGGTCTTCAAGACTCATAATCATGATTGGGACGTCGTGGTTGGGCCGAGAAGGATCGCATCTACTTAGGGCGAGTTCGTTTGTTGAATATGTTTGTAGTGTGTACAACGGGTTCTGGGAGTTGCCGAGGGTGAATGTAGCTGGCCCCGTCCTGCGATATGTTAGTATTGCGTATAATACATATTTAGAAGGCATGAAAACTTACTTTGTCATGCGTAGGTTCAATGTCCCAACAAGATCTCGCGTTCTCTGGCCGTTGGCCGTTTCCCATAGTATCTTCAGTTCCTCCATGGATGAGTATGTAACCTCCTCGGACTCCAAAGCACCAGTTGGGAAGTTGAGCACACTCGCAGGTACAGTCTTCGGCCCGAGAACATGATCAATCTCAGTATTTGTTGACAGCGTAAGCTTAGGAGGCTTCCGGGAAGACTTGACGGGCCGTGGGGCATCTGGAACCTGTGGGTGATATGCCTGCTGATTGAAAGGCAGTTTTGGATCGAACTGGGGGAACATGGATCTCATCGGGACCGAGGTAGCAGACGATTGCGACGATTGCGGAGAGACAGTTGACGCCGTAGTGTGATGGCTGCTACTGCTGCTGCTTTGACTAGCATGTGAATGCAAAGGCTGCTGGTTCACTCCCTTGGCTTGACGATTCTGACTGTGCATAGATTGAGGGGACTTGGAATCACGGGATGCTCCCGCCATAGCCGGCGGGGATTTGGATCTTGAAGCATCTCCTGGTGGTGGAGGTGGAATACCCTGAGTGTCTTCGATAATCTGAAGCAGTAAGGATTCAGTCTTGCTAGTATCCTTGATCTCCTGAAGAGGGATCGAAGAGGCCGGCTCAGATGTAGTTACTGGTTTCTTCCCAGCTTTGCGAAACGGGTTATTAGACCGATTTACCTCGGGCGATGGGGGTGGAAATAATTGAAATTGGTTCATCTTGTCACTCATCTTCAAACACGGAGGAGGCTATAAACAAAGACAGAGCGCGAAAGCCGGGGGTCATGACTGAGATATACCCCATTCTCACCGAATATGCGCACAAGCCCGACAGACCAAGCAGAGAACATGGTTTGTCGAGATGTGTGACAACCCTGCTTATACGGTGGGCGCTTAACTGATTTGGGGTGTGATTGGCCCCCATCCTGGGATGGGCACGTCCATCTGCAGTAGCGGCGCTTCAATGCAGCCTGGTGATTGGTTTTTGGATCATGGGGAATCTATATTTATCGTGATTCGGAGATTATATTGGCTGGTTATTTTTGCAGTGAAGAAGTCGGGGAGTAAGCTCGTTTGTCCCTGTTGACCGTGTTGACCCTGGTATCTGCATATCACTCGGTCTGTCGGCTCCGGGACCTGGTAAATGGATAAATTCAAGGGAAAATGACATGATTTGACGAATAGCATAGGATACTGATTAAACTCTATAGAAGTGCTTAATCGATGTTCCCATATCGTACAGGATGAAATCTCGTATCTATTTCGCCACCCGATTGGACGAAAAGCGTCCTCGGGTGCTTTGAAGGATATACCACATTTGCAATAGTTCGATTTTGAAATGAATGATAGTAGTGTGGAATAATATATGCAATGTAATGCTATTTGAAATTCTTCTTGATTTCCTGTACAATCGGGGCAATTTACATGGTAGAGCCCTCCAACTCCTCCAGGCGGTGCATATCCATATCCTTCTCCAACAAAGGAATCACGTAAGGGTCGAAAGTCTTCCAGTAAGGGTTGTTGAGGTGGTATTCCTGCGACGATTCCTGGACGTAGCGCTCGACGATGGTGAAGTCCTGCTTGTCGAAAACGGACTGCATCACGAACCAAGAGAGGGTCTCCTTGTCGTTCGAGTAGACGTTGGAGGCCTCAACAAGCTTGGCCTTGAGTTTGGAGATGGACTCCTCGTCCGGCTTGGCGCGGAGGTCTACTGCTGTTAGCGTGGGAAATACACATGGAGCATGTATCAATGACAGGGGTATCACATACGAACGACGATTGTGTAAACCATGATGAATGTGTAGGGTGCGGGGATGGATAATAGAGGGGAAGTGAGGGGCAACGGGCTTAAGACAGTTAAATATTTAAATACTTAAATACTTTTGACATATTTAGTCAGTCATCGGTGAGAGAAACCATCTTTTCAAGGTGGATCTGTGTAAATCCCCGAGATTTACCCGTGGGGATCCCGGCTTCGGCATAAGCTTATTTCTCTACACATGTTGAAATCTTGGAAGATATATAGCTTTCACAGTCAATTCACATGAATTTCTATATATTTTAATGATGTTATTTACATGATACTATACAATTACTCGTGTTTGCCTTGGTCTTGACCCACGGCCTCAGTGTGGACACTGTGGGTAAGACCCTCCGCCATAGAAATCGCACCTTCCATGTTACCCTTGTTATACAAAAATAGGCCTTGGAGAGCAGCTGCGCTGGTGTTGATAGACCGATCAGCCTTGTGACCCGATTCATCTTCAATCAAGCCAAGCTCCTGAAGCCGATCCAAGAAAAGTTTGCGATAAACCCCGTCGGTATCAATCTCTTCATAGAATCTATCCCATAGGCAAGCGACCTGGTAACGAGTCACTTCGCCTAAACGGACAGTCATATCCACACGCCCGGGACGGACCAACGCCTCATCAAGTCGTTCAACGTGGTTGGTAGTAAGGAAGATGATGCGCTCCTCTGCACTAGCAACTCCGTCAAGTGCATTCAGCAGTCCCGAGAAAGTCACATTAGCCCCGCGATAGCCATCTGCGTCGCTTTGCTCGCGTCGGTTCGAGAACGCGGCATCCACATCTTCCAGCAGAACCAGCGTTCGGTTTGGAACAATTGTGAGCAGATGATTTAACCGGTCGTCGGTCAAGCCACGCTCGCTCAGGTTCAGAATCGCAATATCGTAATCCAACTCGCCCGCTAGTGCCTGGATGAAAGAGCTCTTGCCGGTACCCGGAGGACCGTATAAGAGATATCCTCGTCGGTATGGAATTCCACGGTCATTATACCATGATGAACTTGAAATGAAGTCTTCCACATCTGCCACAACCCGTTCCTTGACTCCCTCGTGGAGAACAACCGACTCCAATGGACGCTTCCGGCGCGGATTTCCAAATGGTTTCCACTCGGTGCCCCAGCTGTTATAGATTGTCGTCTTGCCTTCGTGGCCCTTTGCGGCATATGCGTGAGCTTCGGTAAAGAGATCCTCGAAGATGTGGCGTTGAGAATAGAGGGTGGTGAGGGTAATTGTCTCCCATGGCTTTCCGGTCTGGATATCACGGGACTTCGACTCGCGCATACGATTGACGAAGACAAACGCATTCTTATACCTCAAAACGTGTTTTCCAGGCCCGGGAATCAGCGAAAAGTGTGTGTGAATTGCTCCATTCGAATGTTCCACCTTCTGCGTCTGGATGGAGAGGTGGCGCATGCCGGGTGTGAGCTTTTGGAGGAATCGGTCCATGTAGGTAGAGGTACTCGCTGCAGCCTTGCCTGCATTGAGTTGTGATTGTTGGTAAAGAGTCATCCAGTGTAGGAACCATGGATAGGAGTCATCTTTGATGCTGATCTCGACGTCCACTAGCATCCGCCGGCGGAGAAGAGCGGCGCCATGTCGGACGCCTTTCTGTGCTAGAGTCAATCCTGCTCCGAGACCTGCAAGGCCGAATCCCTAGCAAGAAAACAATATTAGCACATCGTTTCTGATCGAAACACTTCTAAGTCTCATACCGCTGTGAACAAGGGATTACTCGTTAGCTGCGAGAAGAGACTTCCGTCGCCTTTTTGGGCCGACTGTAGGGCCTGTGTTCTCTGCTGCAGAATCAGGTCGCCCGCAGACGGCGCAGCGCTAGGGACCGCATTTGGCTCCATACCAAATCAACAGTGTCGTGAAGATCGCGAATGTCGAGAAGATCGATAAGCACGGATATCGGAGTTACAACGGGCCGAGTATTTAAGGTACCCACGGTCATGTCACAGGGCAATCCATGGGAGAATCAACGATTGAGAACATGCAGAACTACAACCTTCTACGGTTGGAATATACAATATTACCTGATGTCTATGTTTTCAGTATGGGGGCAGATGCATGACTTCGCACCCCGGTGATCTCGGTGTTAACAGCGTCGGAAATGGCCCCATGTCGGAGATATCGGAAATAAATACCTTTGTGCATCTCACATTCTTCTGCCCAAAACGCCTTCGTATTCTGTATCTAGACAAGGGGGCTGTGTCCTAGAGCTTTAACCCCTCATGCGACCTCTTTTTCGTTCCCCGTTTACTCGGTGGACACAATCCCGACGCGTTTTTCATCCAGCAATCCGCAACATGAGCACTCCAACCACTGCTGCAGTGCTATATGCGCTGACTGTGTCGAAATCCCCGCCTAGACCTAGCCCAGAGGATGTTTTGGAGAAAACCCATCATGCGAAGAGTGGATTCAAAAACCCGTGGGAGTAAGTGAGCCTCTGTGACTTGCTGGGTTCTCGATCGTTCGTCGCATAGACTAATCATGAACGTTGTAGATCTTTCCGCGATATGGATTCGAAAGATATCATGCAAATGATGATGTAGGTGATTTTCGATCATCGAAACAAACCACTCTCTAACGCGCGAAAATGCAGCCTTCGTCGATTGAACGGCAAAGCGAACACACCTGATACCACTCCGCCAACTGTCACCGTTCGCAAGCCCGAGTTTCTTCCCAGCCGAGATACCCCCAAGCTGCGCGCAACTTGGCTTGGGCATGCATGCTATTATGTGGAGTTCCCAAGCGGTCTCCGAGTGCTATTTGATCCAGTGTTCGAAGCGCGTTGTGGGCCATGCTGCGGACCATATTCCCTAGGTCCGAAGCGCTATACTGAGCCTGCATGTCAAGCCAAAGATATCCCTGTCATCGATGCAGTGGTTATCTCCCATAATCACTACGACCATCTCTCCTACCCAACCATCTCGGAGATTGCAAAAAGACACCCCAATTGCCACTTCTTCGCGCCACTAGGTAACAAGTCCTGGTTCCACAACTCGGGCATCAAAAATGTGACCGAGCTGGACTGGTGGGATGAGAGTGATATTGCAATGTCACCCAAGGAGGGAAAGACCCCTCAGGTTGAACCAGTAGGCGAAGCTTCCGCTGCCGCAGAGATCAAGGCGCGTATCAGTTGCCTTCCTTGTCAGCATGTTACTGCCCGCACCCCTTTCGACAAATACAAGACACTATGGGCTTCCTGGGCCATTGAGTCTGGTGGTAGCAAGGTGTATTTTGCTGGGTATGATAAGCTCCCCTACACTATCCACGCCATCAGAATGTTACCTTGCTGACCTCCAATCTAGTGATTCCGGCTACCGGGCAGTGGACGAGCTACCAGAAGGGGAGGATGATTGGGACCCCAAGTACAATTTCCCCATATGTCCTGCCTTTGAGCAGGTAGGCGAGTTCCGTGGACCATTTGATCTTGGCTTGATCCCTATTGGCGCATATGCTCCTCGTCATATCTTCAGTGCAGCACATTCTGACCCCCATGATGCTGTTCGCATATTCAAAGACACCAAGTGCAAACAGGCATTGGCCATGCATTGGGGTACTTGGGTACTTACTGAGGAGGATGTGCTTGAGCCTCCTAAGAAGCTCAAGGAGGCGTTGAAGAAACACGATCTCGCTGAGAACGGTGTTTTTGATGTGTGCGAGATTGGGGAGAGCCGTGAGTTTTGAATAAACTCCGCTTCATACAAAACTCCACTTCATGTATGATAATTTCATAGCCTGTGTTAGCATGTGCTTATCCTTGCTATTTGTATGTATGATTTTGCATCTGAATATTGCCATTCACGCAATAGCGGAGTGGTCCTGTATCTTTGGTTCATATTGTTTTCGCTCATTTCCATATTCACTCTTATTTCAGTGCCGTAGGGAATAAGTTAACCAACTTGGGGCTTGTTGGTTATCCCATTTTTCCTCATGCTTACCCAGGTCCCTATGTAAATTTTGTTGTTAACGAACGTTCCTTCCTTGAATGGCTCGTGAATTTGGTAAGAAAGCACCTGACATTACCATGAGAGACCAACCATTCTTCTCGACCACTTTTCTCAAAATGTGGCTGGTCAGCCACGGGGTAACAGTTGGCGCCTTTGACTTTGTTTCCACTTTCTATACCCAAAATGTTTGAACTACTCCCCTTAGGTGTAAGCCCACGAAATTCTATTGGCTAGATGCGAGGGCCAAAAAAAGGCAAATGCATACAACTTCTCTCAACGATTACATGAATATGTATAACAACACATAATGAAATAGACCGTATGTGACTGTATATCTTGAACTAACTATAACTTTGTGGAAAGTTGGAGATGTTTGCCTGGTTTGTCAGGGACACACGCTAGCCTCATATGGACTAGTCCGAGGGAGCTCCCACTTCGCCTGGAAATTTGATGGAATGCGGGCGAACAGCGTTGAAGTCGGAACTCTTGGATTGTCATCTTCGTGCAATATTTTTTTTGATATTCACAAGTGATAAAGGCCGTCTTTTATCTACTTCCCACTCAAACTACAATAAAACACCGCCAATATGCAGGCTCCGGTGGTGGTGATGAGTAGGTTACCCCCCATCGAGTTGATCCCCTTTAAGTGCTAACAAATCATCCAGACACCAATTCCGGTGAGCGCCAGGTTGGCCGGAAAGCACAGATGTCTAACATTACCGCGGCGAAGACGTACGATATTCCTCGATCCTCCGATGTTCTCCCCTGCTCGCTGCTAATTCAATAAACACCAGTGTTGCGGATATCATTCGGTCGTGTCTCGGACCCAAGGCGATGTTGAAGATGTTGCTTGACCCTATGGGCGGTATTGTGTTGACCAACGATGGCCACGCTATTCTGCGAGAGATCGAAGTGTCGCACCCCGCGGCCAAGAGCATGATCGAGCTCAGCCGTACCCAGGATGAGGAGGTCGGAGATGGTACCACAACAGTCATCATCCTAGGTATGACAAGATGCATTTTGGAAGAGTCGATGATAAATGCTGATATTCCGTAGCCGGTGAAATGCTCGCCCAGGCCATCCCCCAGCTCGAACGCAACATTCACCCCGTCGTTATCATCCAGGCTTTCAAGCGTGCCCTCGCCGATGCCCTTCAGATCGTGGAGGATGTCTCGACACCCGTTGATATTCACGATGACAAGGCCATGTACAGCCTTATCCAGTCCTCCATTGGAACCAAGTTCGTGTCCCGTTGGTCAGAGCTCATGTGCAGCCTCGCTTTGCGCGCTGTGCGAACTGTCTCCTTTGATGTCGGTAGCGGAAAGCAGGAAGTCGATATCAAGCGCTACGCCCGTATTGAGAAGGTTCCCGGTGGCCAAATTGAGGACTCTGAGGTGATCGACGGTGTGATGGTCAACAAGGATATCACGCATCCCAAGATGCGTCGCAGAATCGAAAACCCCCGTATTCTTCTGCTGGATTGCCCCCTTGAGTACAAGAAGGGCGAGTCCCAAACCAACATCGAGATCTCCAAGGAGGATGACTGGAACCGTATTCTCCAGATTGAGGAGGAGCAGGTCAAGCACATGTGCGAGGCCGTTCTGGCTTTCAAGCCTGACGTTGTTATCACTGAGAAGGGTGTTTCCGGTAAGCAAGCGGTGTGATTCGGGCTATTGATTGAACGTTCTAACCATCGAGATTTACTAGATCTTGCACAGCACTTCCTGGTGAAGGCCAACATCACAGCGCTCCGCCGCGTGCGGAAGACCGACAACAACCGTATTGCCCGTGCAAGCGGTGCCACCATCGTCAACCGTGTCGATGACATCCAGGAGTCCGATATTGGTACCGGTTGCGGACTGTTCGAGATTGAGAAGATTGGTGATGAGTACTTCACATTCATGCGCAAGTGCAAGTCCCCGAAGGCCTGCACAATTCTGCTGCGCGGCCCCTCCAAGGATATCCTTAACGAGGTCGAGCGCAACCTGCAGGATGCCATGTCTGTTGCTCGTAACGTTATCTTCCACCCTCGTCTGTCTCCCGGTGGTGGTGCTACTGAGATGGCTGTCTCCGTGAAGCTCAGCCAGCTTGCCCGCTCCGTTGAGGGTGTCCAGCAGTGGCCATACAAGGCTGTTGCCGATGCTATGGAGGTCATTCCCCGTACATTGGCCCAGAACGCTGGCGCCAGCCCCATCCGTGTGCTTACCAGTCTCCGTGCCAAGCACGTTGAGGGCCACAACACCTGGGGTCTGGATGGCGAGTCTGGCAACTTGGTTGATATGAAGGAGTACGGTGTTTGGGAGCCCGAAGCTGTCAAGCTCCAGAGCATCAAGACTGCGGTCGAGGTAAGCTCTCTACTATTTTCCCATATGCACTACATTCCACTAACATCTCTCTCTCTAGTCTGCATGTCTCCTTCTTCGTGTCGACGACATCTGCAGTGGAAAGTCCGCTCAACAGATCGCCGGCGGCGGCGGTGGCGGCGAGGAATGATCGATAGACGAAAAAGAAAAATGATTGGACTCGAGGTCCGTACATAATGTTACACGATTTGCCTCATGGCTGTCTTCCTTCTGTATGAATATCCTAGATTCAAAAAAAACCAAATCCAGATGGGTATCTTCGTATCGTACACAGCCAGTTCTTGAACCCGCCTCGACTAGTCCTCATCGTGGAAAATAACACCAGGAACTTCCTGCTGGGCCACCTGGCCATCCACAGCGCCCCCATCCTGGTCTTCCATGGTGACCATCGAGCCCGGGGCTGCTGAGCTCTCCACAGGAGCATTATCGTTCTGATCACCACCACCCTTCTTGCCACGCGCATTCTTCTTCTTCTCCCTCCTCTTGCGATTCTTCTCCGTCTTCTCATCATCCTTGCGCTTCTTCTCTTCACGTTCTTTCTCCCAAGTCTCATTATTCTTCTCGGCATCCACCTCGGACTGCATCATCCGCAGTCGTTCATATTCCCGCCGCCGACTGGCCTTGTACACGTGGAATTCGCCGGAGCCCGCACCGGCCGAGGAACCTTGCACATTGGTGACGATCTCTGGTGGCGCTGAGAGAGATGCCACGGTGCGCGGCTTCAGGGCACCCGGTAGGTGCAGGTCTTTACTCGGGTCTTTGAAGAGTGTCTGGATTTCGTTGGCGACCTCGGAATGCGGTGTCACAGCGCGCCGTTTTGTTGGCCGCTTGCTGCGTGGATCCGCACTTGTGGGGATGGATTCTGGGCCTGGTTCGGACATTGTGCGGGTGTTGGGTCGAGGAGAGGTGATGCGACCGCGTGGAATCGGTGGGGTTTGCGCGAGTGGGAGGAATTGGTGTCTTCTCCTTTGATCTGGTAGTGGAAGAGGACTCCCTTTTGGCACTAGGAAATGTTCACTGTGTGTTTTGTGGGTTTTTGATTGCTCAAGTGCAGCGAGAAAGGCGAGTCGTAGGTAGTAACAAGCTCGAGATGTAGACTTGGGCAACCTTCAACTATCAAAATAATCTAACCGCATTCGGTTAGCGGCATAAGCACATGGCAGATCACCGTTTCGAAGGGGTTTCTTCTATATATTATTTGGCTGAGGATACTTACTTTCATGCTATTCAAGTTGCTGATCATCGGCTATCTTCCAAACACCGTAACAATGATATCCAAAATGGCCTTGCGAAAATTATATCGGTGTAGAATGCTAATTCTATACATTTATCACGTCCATCCAATGGGTCTTTCCCCCATTTTATTGGATTCTTGAGACTGATGCCCATAGTATCTACACCTGTAGAATGAATTTTCCGAAGGATTAACACCCCAAGATCCATATATAATAATTTCATCATACAATCCACCCCGGTCAACATTTCCAAGCCGTGGGCGATGGCGCTTCTGGTCGCCTATTTGTACCGTGAGAACTACTAGTGCTATGATATGTTGTGATACCTTGATTATTTTGCTCCACCATGACTACAATCTTGGCTGCAATGATCATTGCCTTTTGAGCTATATGTTGCAGCATGTCGTCGACGACACAGATATGTTTCTTAGGGGAAAACATGCTGTTGGCACAGTGGTCTAACCTAATTAGGAGAAGTTCTTCTTAGCTCTCCATATTCAATAAGAGTGTCCTTCATTATGTTATCACCATAGCAAAATACATACAACATTAGGTGACGGTAAGACTGCTGCAGGGAGTGATCGGTTCCCAGAGTGCAGGGTGACCCCTCCGCACATGAAAGGTACTACATGTATCGCCCGAGTTTAGGAAGTCGCGACTATGAAATTGTCAAGGGCAAGAAATATCTGTGAAAAAGACATTTAAAAAAACATTTACGAAGACTAATTAAAAAGACGTATACTAGACAATAGGTAAGTGTACAATAAGAAGACTTTTGATTGGCCAGAAAATGCTTATTCAAAAGGGGGCAACGCAACAAAGGAATCCAGACGTCATTTCTTTGTTCTTTGTTCTTTCCACCCAAAAGAGAATATTCATATGTCTCACTATTTACTGTGAACAATGAAAGAGTATAAGTCAATACTCACATGCAAAGTCAAGTGACATATGCCTTTTTTTACCGCTTTAAATAATGTGTAGGACCCTATTAATTTTGCTCTTACAATAACTCCAATTAGCGGACTTTTCTATTTTCGGACATCACCTTGTGCAAATGGTTCTCAGTTTCTTTGTTCGTCTCTTTTTTTACTACTGACGCACATATCTGTGCGCTGGTACTACCAACTTCACTTCACCCATAACCTCTCACATTTGCAACTCCTTTTTCTCCTACTTACATGCTTACTACCATCGGTCAAAATGCCGTATCGCTTTGGTGAGTGACTTCATATCATGTTTTCATGTCTTATTACTGGTGTTCCCTTGGTCAATGAATGCATGTCTATTGCACCAAGTGAGAATGCCTGGTTACACAACTTAAAATGTGGCGTTGTGCCCCGATTCACGGACATATTCATCATATATGCTAGCGTTTCCAACAAGATACTCACTTTCCTTGAAACTAAGGAGCTATAACAGCCTCCATGACATCACAGCTAACTTCATGATCAGAGGTTGCCGCTCAAGGCCGCGCTGGCTGCAAAGCCCCCGATTGCCTGGAAGAGAAGGTCAAGATCTGCAAGGGTGAACTCCGTGTCGGCAGCTGGATCGATACCTTCCAGAGCTGGTCTTGGCGCCACTGGTGAGTCCGACTTTGCTAAGATACATGGTGGTCTTGGAAAAATTCATGGCTTCTATCCCTGAACGAATGGCTTCAATTACTGACCCTATCTAGGGGTTGCTTCACCCCTAAGCAAATTTTGAACGTTAAGAATAACATCACTGGGCTCTCCGAGGAGCTTGATTTCTCTCGCCTTGATGGCTTCGATGAGATCAGCGAGGACCTCCAGGAGAAGATTCGCAAGGCTATCCAAGAGGGTCACGTTGAAGATGACGAATGGCGAGGCGTAAGTTCACTTTCTTTAAAATAAGGTTCAAAGACCGTGGATCAATCGATTAACACTTCCTAGGATGTTGAATACAACCGCCCTGGACGTGTCGGGATGCGCCAGAAGACTCGCAAGTCCAAGGTCAAGGGCGATGAGGTTGGTGGATTGCATTTTTTATCCTCATGTCACATAAGATACTGATCTCACCCCAGTCCGAGGAATCTGAGCAGTCCTCTCCTGTCAAGAAGCATGATCTGACCGACACTGAGAACGTTGAGGAGCCCACCAAGAAGAAGCGGACTCGTGGCAAGAAAGCTACCGATGATGATGATGCCATTGCTGATGCTGGCATCGCCGACACTGAGCCTAAGGAGCCCAAGAAGCCTGGCCGTCGCACTAAGAAGGCCGCCGAGGACCAACCCGCCGCTGAGACCGATGTCAAGGTCGAGCGTAAGAAGCCTGGCCGTCCTCGAAAGACTCCAAAGAAGATTTCCGAAGACGAGGGTGCCGATGCTGACACTGAGATGGCCACCGAGCCCACCGAGCCCAAGAAGCGTGCTACTCGCGGCAAGAAGATCGCCAAGGATGAAATTGTCTCTACCGACGTTGAGTCTAAGAAGGAAACCACCAAGCGTACTACTCGTGGCAAGAAAGCCACTACCTCTGTTGTCAACAAAGAGTCCGACGAAGTTGAACCTGCCAATGATGAGCAGTCAACCAACAAGGCGCCCGCAACCCGTGGAACCCGCGGCAAGAAGGATGTCTCCTCTGCTGACAACAAGACTGGCCCTACCAACGGCGGGACCAACAAGTCTATCACTCGTGCCAAGGCTGTCAATGGTACAAATGCCAAGAATGGCACGAAGGCTACGAAGGGAGCTAAGACCAGTGGCTCTGATGCTTCCAAGGACGAGCACGCCGATGAGCTGACCGAAAAACCTAAGCGTACCCGCGGTGCCAACAAAACCAACGGTACCAATACCACCTCTGAGAACAAGCCGAAGCCAACTCGCAGCCGCAAGCCTGCTGCTGATAAGGTTGCTGCCAACTCCGACGCCACCGAGCAGAAGCCCAAGCCCAGTGCATCCGATGCTTCCGATGATGAGCACGCTGATAAGCCGACCCAGCCTAAGCGCACTCGCGGTGCGAACAACAAGGCTAACGGTAACAATGCTACCGCTGAGTACAAGCCAAAGCCAACTCGCAGCCGCAAGCCCGCTGCCGACAAGGTTGCTGCCACCCTCAACGCTACTGAGGAGAAGCCCAAGACCAGTGAATCCGATGCTTCCGAGGATGAGCACGTTGATGAACCGACCGAGGAGCCTAAGCGCACTCGCGGTGCCAACAGCAAGACTGTCGATAACAATGGTACCGCTGAGAAAAAGCCTAAGCCAACTCGTAGCCGCAAGCCTGCTGCCGACAAGGTTGCTGCCGCTCCTGACGCTACTGAGGAGAAGCCCAAGACTAATGGATCCGATGCCTTTAAGGATGAGGACGCTGATGAACCGGCCGAGCCTAAGCGCACTCGCGGTGCCAACAACAAGACTAACGGTAACAATACTACCGCTGAGAAAAAGCCGAAGCCAACTCGCAGCCGCAAGCCCACTACCGACAAGGTTGCTGCCAACCTCGACGCTACCGAGGAGAAGCCCAAGACCAGTGGATCCAAGCCTGCTGCCACGGAGGTCACTGATGAGTCCGCTGATCAGACTGACAAGGAGCCTTCCGAGGCCTCCACTGAGCAACCCGTTGAGGGCGTCGCCTTGAAGTCTGAAGATGGTCCCAAGAATGCCTTCCCCGAAATTACCGAGGAGCCTAACGTCAAGACTGCCAAGGAGTCGGTTGAGGGCGCTACTGAAAAGCCCGTCGGGGACGACAATGCTAACGGGGAGGCCATCGAGTCTTCTCTGGAGGCAGTCAAGATAGAGACGCCGTGTGACGATGACTTCTAAGCTTGCCTGCTCTTCGTGCTAATCTGCCTCACTTTGTGTGGAGGGCCTTACACCCTTGCACTCTTGCGATACCAATTCTGCTTTTTTTTTCTTTGCGTTCCAACTAGTCTTTATCCATCGGATCCTTTTGTGTTTCATGCTCTCTGTTCTAACACCCCCGATGGATGCCAGCTGGAAATCTCCCATTCGCGTTTTTTTCTAATTCTTCCAATTGTTTTCATCCTTTTTTTCCCTCCGGGTGTGAGATTCTGTTTCCCTTGAGCGATGGCTGGTTTGCACAGGCGCACGGTCATATTTTTTGCATTTCTGGGTAGTTCTCACCATCGATTAGCCTGCGAGTTGACATAACAAATTCAATTGTTTTTTAAAATAACTTTCAGCTGTATGTCTTGTAATACCAAGGACCCATTTTCAGTCAAGGTCGTTGGGAAGGTATGAATTACTTTGAAGATGAGCACTACTATGATGCTCTTGTCGGCACGGCTTGCGAGAATCAACCCTCATGAGGTCGTCAACCGAGAAATTACACTTAAAGGGATATAATTACTCAGGTAGAGACAAAAGATTTATTGAATAAGAATACCTGCCCTGATAAAAGCTAAATATGAGCTTGCACGGTCGCCCTTCTCATTCCCCCCAACGACGAAAGAAGCAAAAGCCATTGAAATCCTGCTCTTGTGCAAGACGAAATGTCTGGAACTCCGTAACGATAAAATGCAAATGAAAACCACGGAAAAAAGCTGAATGATTAAGAATAAAAATGAAACTCCGAGACTGAAACCTGTAGAAACGAAAAAGAAGCAAGCAAGCAAAGATGAGAAATCCTATGTGCTCATGTGAGCTGAGAAGATACTATGGGAGACAGAGCTCTCTGCGCTGTTCCCACTCAACTAGACAGCACATCATAGGTTTCCCAGGCCGCGGCTCTCAAGAAGCGCACGGGTGTTTCCATATAACTCCGGGTTATGGACATGAGCCAGCGTGCGAAGATTGAGCACTTTGTCTTGAAGCTTTGGATGGGCTCGCAACAACGACCAGAACTGATCACTGGCGTTATATGTGAGCAAATCAGATGCCTCGGCAATGAAATGAATGAGCCATGATTGGAGGTAATCGCAATCCGCCTCATCAAACTCGGTCCGGCCGGTAAAAGCAAGCGAAGCGACCTCGAGGAGGGGCTTGGATTGGTATAGCTCTGGGTAGCAGTTCCAGGCTACCTGGAGCTTGAATGTAATTCGATATACCAAATCCATCAGGCCAAAACGGCGGGCTTGGAGGTACACTCTTCCGAGGACGATAATGGCGTTTTCCAGATCGAGGCTGTTGCTTACCCCGTTCAGTTTGAAGTTCTGACCAATTCCCATTTGGTCTCCAACTAGGCGGAAGGTAGTGCCATTGTTGGAATCTAGGGCTGGGAATGGAGTGGGATGAGAGAAACCTGAGTTTTTAAGTATGATCAGGCGAGGCGGGAATTCCCCATCGGCTAAGTATTCGCGAATCTGTAGCCGTTCGGGCTGTTTTTCGAGAGCCACGGCGCCTAGAAACACATCTGTGATCTTGGGGGCTTCACGCTGATTCAGGAAGACATGCTTCAGAGCCTGGCTGAGGGTCAAATCGTAGATTGAGAACTCTGGAATTGGTTGCTGGGCTGCCACATCTGCGCCATTAACGCTTGCACTAGCACTGTATAATGAAACGTTTTGGTCAGTGGAGGCGCATTGAGAATTGAAATCAGAGCTTAACGAACCTAGTATCATTTTCCACCTTAAGCGCCCGGTTTTGGGTCATTGTAGTTGGTGGGGAAATGATTGCCGATGAGGTTGGGAGAGAAGAAGTGGGAGGCATCAGAGGGGGGCATGGATGGAATTGCCAGGTCATCCCCAAGCTAGAGTTTTCTCTATCTGCAAAGGGGCTTGGTTCGGACGAAGATGCAGCAGGATTAGTATCTTGGAACAACCCCAAAGTCTGTCTGAACTGAACGCCCTGCGAAGGACGCGGGTCAGAAAATGACCTGATAGTTGCTTGCTGATTAGATGAGCTAGGTGTAACATCAGTAGTAGGCTCCACGCGATCTGTTGGGGCCTCTTGATTCTCATCTTCAGGATCATCTTCATCTTCATCTCCCTCTTCGGATTCGGAGTCACCATGGCTTTCTCCGCAGGAGACAAGGCCCTCATGGCCACTGGGTAAGACAATACGGAGTTCCTTGCCTCTTTTGCCCTTGGCGCCTAGTTCCTGGAGAGACATGTTCTTCCAGAACTCCAGCCCGGGCTCAGTTCGGATGATTTCCATCAGATCGTCCCAGATCTTGGCATCTGGCTCTCTCTCGGCGCGCCGAAGAACATTGATGGTCTTTTCGTTGAGTATATAAATATCCTGGAGACCAACCCATTTGCTTCATGCATGTTAGCTTCCAATTCGTATAGATCAACACGCACACATATTGTCAGAAAAACTGAAATGCAGATCAACAAGCATGAACAAAAGCCAACGGGCCCACATATACATCAATAAACACACAACTTCGAAGGTCTTTTTTGGGTGCGAAAAAAGAGACCAAACTTACTACATATTGCGCCCCGGAAGATACATGGAGTACATGCGGTCTTTCAGATGTGTCACCCAGGCACCCTCAGCCGGCTGGGCACCCACAGGGCGGCGATTAATGTGTCGGCTTGGTCCGAATTTATCAGGCAGGACGACACCAATCCACACGTCGGATTTGTATTGCCGTAAGGAATTCTTGTACCGGACGATAAAGGTTTCGCCGGGCTCCAGAGCACGGGGCTTGCCTAGGTGCCTCAAGCCAGTGGTCAAATAGGTTCTGGGGCCCATTTTGGTCGAGCTGTTAGGCGATGAGGTATCTGAGAATTCACTGTTCTTTTGGGAAGATGACTGCTGATATTGGTCACCGGAAGCTGGAAGTGATTTTCAGTGTCAGTAGAAAAAGGCTTCGCGAAATTGAAAGTCTTTTGAGATACTGAAAGAAGTATAGTTGCCACTGATCTGGTATTCAGTTGTAGAGGCAATGAGTCCGAAAGACGATACTGGGTACTTGGGTTGGAACCGAAAGTATGATGAAAGGAAGCAGCAACTCGCAAATTTGCAGTATTGTCAAATTGTTGGAGATGGTTGCAAATGAATAGTACGCTTAATGAAATTTGAAGAAAAACGAAATGGACATCTGAATGAAAATTGAATGGTTGGCAAGTCTCGCAGGTATGATTCGTCTATATTTTGGTGTCTTGACCAAATCAGAAAGTAATGAGGCCTAGATAACTTACGTTGTATTGTCTTCGTCGGAATATGTAGAAGCTATAGGGTCAACGAGGAGAGAATATGTGCCGTTGAAACTGCCATCAATGTCGGGAACAACGCTGAGCTCCAGGTCTTCAGTGATGCGGTGGTGTAAGTGACGAGTGAGAGCTTCTTGTCGCAGCAAACAAAGGGTTTTTTTTTACGGCGATCGAATTAGTGATTGATCGAGGTTGTCGTGACGATAACTCACAAGCCTCCCTTTACTGAGGTTGTACATGATATTAATAGAAATCATATCGTTGTAACAACGAGACTCCTGAGTCTTAGATATTGCCTAGGTCATCTTGGGGTTCTGAGATTCACTAAAGGAGCTCGAATATGGTTTCATTGGCGACCAGGGAACGAAACTAGGCCTAAATTGATATAGGGCGGATATCACCTGTCCTTCAATTATAATGTGCTACGGAGAGGCTTCTGTTTTATATGAATAAATTTGACTTTGTTCCCGCAACAATAAACAACAAGCGATACAAACGATTCTCAATGACAATTCTTGATGTGATTTGAAAATTTCCCGGAGATCACGAAGTTTCAAAGGGTTTCGGGTATGAATGTTTGTGTAAAGGTACGAAATTTCTGAAAAAAGATTCCTGCGGAAAATATAAACACGAAGTCGCTTTCATGAAAAAGACAAGACGTGGTCAATTGCGATGGGACAAGTCTGGAGATTTAGCCTCTAGAAGCTTTATAAGATTCGGTGCAGTGGTGGGCAACTCCTTGTGACAGGTTTATAGGGTAGAAATTTGAAACCTACTATAGAGGGATTATACTGCTAGATCTCTAATATTGAATCTATGGAATCCATGGAATGATAATATATAACAAATAGATGTAAGACATTGTCATTTTGGACGAATAAGGCCTATTATATAATTTTATTCCATGTCTGGAGGCACTCGAGAATAGTTCTGAAAAATATAGCAAATCAACACCGATACTAATAGCTTCAAATTCATTTATCTACCATATAATCGCTTTTACTGTCTATTTGACCCTACATATATCACATCTTCTCGCCATTGTCTTACAATTTTAAACTGTACTTGCTCTTCGCCCTCAATTGAGGGCCCCATTTGAAGAAGATCCATGGCAGTGGAACACACAGCGCAGCAATACCCCCAAGAAGCGTACTTGCCCAATTGATACCCAAGGAATCAAACAATGACAATGCAAATAGCGGAAATCCGAACCCAAATAGCGAACGAAGAATTGAGCTGCCCGCATTGACGGAGGCAGAACTGTGCACACAGTCAGCCTAGGGTTAATTCACGCATCACAATGCACTCACTAAGGTAGGTAGATGTCAATAAGATAATTGAGCAACTGCTGGAAGATGCAAAACAGCCCAAAGCCGGTAGGAACGCCGGATAGCACTGGTACAATCCAGTGCACAGAAGCTCGGTACCCCGACGACCCAAACCAAAGGACTCCCACCGCAAATGTCACACTACCAATCATAACAGGAGGGAGGCGCCATTCTGGGATAATCACCCCGTTGTTTGCCTTTAGCTTGCGGCGGTAGGATGGTTGCGTGGAAATCACGTACGCCCCGCCTATCAAGATCCCCAGCACCAGGCCCAGGTAGGCGAGTCCGGCTACACCAGGACTGAAACCGTGTACATTTTGGAAGACCAGTGGGTATGCCGATAGAAACAGATACATCAGCCCGTAGATAAAGGCGAGATAAATTGAGGAGAGGCAGATTAGCGGCTCGGTCAACAGTAGACGGAGGGGCCGGGCGAGGTATGTGACTACCAGCGTCCTTCTGTCGAGAACAATCTCTTCATGCTTCGCATGTAGGCTCCAGTCTCCAGTCGTATGGCGTAGTGCGATCGCCTTTTCCGTCAAAAGTACAGGTGCGTACGTCTCATCCAGCCAAAGCATGTCAAGAACAAACCCTGTAAATCCCATAATGCTCCCCAGCCATGCGGTCCAGCGCCACCCGAGGGAGGATGCACATATGAAACCACCGGCTGAAGGTGCCAACATAGGTCCCATCAAGACGTTTATGCAGAATAAAGATGTGGCTGGGCCTCGGGCCGCTCCGTCGAAGATGTCGGCAAATACCGCAGCGGCTACGGTCATGGGTGATGCAGCGAACATACCAGCCCAGAAGCGGCAAATGATGATCGTTTGTATGTTGTTGGCGGACGCGACTCCCAAGGAAAATACCGCAAATCCAAAGATACCTAGCAAAATGGGTAGTCGCCTTCCTTTCAGCTCAGAGAAGGGAGCCCAGAATATTGGACCGGTAGCAAAGCCCAGCACATAGCAGGAGACCCCCAATGTTGCCGCAACATGGGATACTCCATATTCATTGGTGACTTGAGTAGTTGCTGATGAGAAGAGTGATGAGTTGAAACCCACAGTAAATGTGGAAAATGCGAGTGCCACGGAGACGGCGCACCTATGCAAATGATTATTTATTAGCTTGAGGAATAGATTCCGTTGCAGGAAATGAATACAGACTTTTTGTTCAGCGGCCAATTGAAAGGGTGTGTCGGGTCGGCTGGGCCGTCGAACTCGACTATGCCATTTGAGACTTGATAAGAAACCTGTCCATCCATGGAGGTGTCTTTGCCATATCTCTCTTCGGTATGATGCGTACTTGAGCTCATGTTCTTTTTCTCCGCCTCTTGTGACTTAAAAAGTGACTTTAAAGGCGTCTCGTCATATCGAATAGGATATATGGCTTTGTCTAGGGCTTTATAGCAAGCATCTGTTGTCTATTTTAATGGAGATCGGTTCCACTCGGCTTATCATAGAGACAATGCCGTTCACAACCCGATCGGCTAATTCACTCAAGCAGAAGTTCCATGTTGCTCGCGATATTGCTCCACTCCTCGTCTCTTTTGTTTTTGCCAATCTATTTCTAACGTGCTTTTCTTAAGCGAGCGGCACCCCGCACAGGGAGTAAAGGCGATATTCTATAGTTCCATATCTCAACGCTAGTGCCTTTTCTTGTGTAACATACTCTGATTATAATGCAGCCTTTTAGAATGGGCTTTTTGGTACGTTGATGAAGTTTTAGGTCTTCGGGATAAGAGTTGGTTCAGAAATCAATATCCTGTCTATCCACTTCATGCGTAATGATACTATGGTTTTTTGTGGACTGATATAATCTCAGCACCAGAAAGGAAGCTTAATTTGATCATTTATACTTTATAGGAATAATACCCATCTCACTGGTCGTTGAGTTCGTGTGATAAAAATTCATTTTATAGTTTATTTCATTTCTTTGCATCACTAACTGTAGTAGCCTTTATTTACTCTCTCTCTCTAAAACGTTCCAGCCAAGCATTGCCATGGCATGGGCGGCAAGAATAGCTTCCTCATGGGCTTGGTCGGTGGCAGCTGCTTTCGCAAACTCCGGATGGTGACCTGGGATATCTGGAGGGGTTGGAATGCCAAAGACTCCGTGGAAGCTGGGGACCTCATGGGAGACATTTCCTAGGCAATAATTAGCGAATCCGTGGGCAAAATTCATCGAGACAGAGAGCAACATACCCATGTCAGTAGATATGGAGGCTATAGTCTCCTGTTTGGCCAAAACTGTTCGTCCTAGAACACTCATTTCCTGCGTGTAGAGGTCACAGAAATCGTTGTTGAGAACTAGCTCTTTATAAGTGGGAGCCCTGGGTACAATTGTTAGCATGGTTTGGAAAATAGTTGAACTGGTGAATAAACAGAAACCAAGGAATGCATACATGATATAATTGACTTGACAGCCAGTGGCTTGTCCAGCGCCCTCAAAACAACCCTTGCATCTCGCAAGCAGGTCATCCGCGCGGGCGGCAGTTCCGCTCCGAATATACCAGTTCATACGTGTATAGTCTGGGATCACATTTGGGACCTTCCCGCCGTCCTCAATCACTCCATGAACTCGCTCATCTGGTTGGATCTGCTGTCGTAGTATGGAAATACTATTGTAGCTCCCTACTGCGGCGTCCAAGGCATTGAGTCCACGCCATGGATCACCTCCAGCGTGAGCGCCCCGGCCCCGATACTCAACACGAAGCTTGTGGCTAGCGATAGTTTGGAACCCGGCTATCCCTTGGTAACCCTCGGGCAGGCCGCACAGCGAAATAGGATGAGCCATGATCGCTGCCTTAATCTCGGGGTCTTTGAATGCTCCTGCTTCGATAAGCTTGACCTTCCCACCCCCACCTTCCTCTGCTGGAGTTCCAAGAATGCGAACTCGACCAGGTAGCCCCATCTCCCGGACTGCCTTTGCAAGGCCTAGGAATGCGGCTAGGGAAGATGTAGCGATCAGATTATGACCGCAGCCATGGCCAATCCCTGGAAGCGCGTCATATTCGGCACAAAATAAGATGACTGGTCCCCCCACGGTGGTGTTAGTTTCTGCCTCGAAAGAGGTCTGCAAACCGTACGCATGTCGCTTTACTGCCCAACCTCGCGACTCAAGAAAGGTGGTCAGCGTATCATGCGCATAAACCTCCTCATACGCGATCTCTGGGTGACTGTGAATATCCTTGTTGAGTTGTCGTAGGGCTTGAGCCTCAGCATCAATGGCGGCTGCAATATGCCCGCGAACGAGGTCTAGTGAAACGGAGCCCTTCATGGTGATAATCGGTGGGAATGAATTAATGAGGTCCCCTCAAGCATTATTTTGTTTAAGTACTCTTCTTTATCTTTACAAATGTGAGTACTACTGCCAAGCTTGGAATTTAGTGGCAATTGGTTCGAAAGATAAGCAACTATCCAAGTCGTCCATTTTAGGTTGATATACACGATATACAAAACTATAACCCGACAACCTTGGAATGTCCTGTTATATAAATCAATGGACTCTGCTTTGCTCTATGCATCTAGATCGGCATACTACTACAAGATTTGATATCTCCTTCTGATTTCTTCTCACTATACCAAGATTCACAACAATGTTGGACTCGAAGAAAAACGCTGAAGATGCCTCTACCAAAGAGCCCATTGATATAGAGATAACCTCTTGTCAAACCAACACCACTGAGGAGTCACCTCGCCTTCTACGGAGAATCGATGCATTGTCAGTTCAATTCAAACATTCTTTCCCTCATTTATTAACTCTGATGGTTTCATTCATTAGCCTCCTTCCTGTATTGGTAGTATCCTATATGCTGCAGTATTTGGATAAGAGCACAATGAGCAACGCCGCCATCTTAGGTTTACGGGAGGACCTGCACCTTTCAGGACAGGAATACTCCTGGGCATCTAGTTTGTTCAACTTCGGCTACCTAGCAGCCTCCGGACCGATCGCGGTTCTCATCGTGCGATTTCCCGTGGGCAAATTCATGGCTCTTTCTGTGTAGGTGTTGCTACCTTAATTAGTCGTTCACTACGATGAGATCATATTCTGATAATCAGCTAGTGTCCTCTGGGCTATAGTCCTATGCTGTATGGGAGCGACCCAGAATCCAGCTGGTCTTATGGCCACGCGTTTCTTCTTGGGGTTGACAGAGGCTGCCGTGGCTCCGGGCTTCAGCATCATTACATCGATGTGGTACAAACGGTCTGAGCAACCAATCCGACATGGCGTGTGGTTTCTGGGGAATGTTATTTCGGGCTTATTCAGTGGCCCTCTGATGTATGCTTTCGGGCATATCAACAGTTTCCCCGCGTGGAGGGTATATATGACTCATCCCACCCTTCCCGACCACCTCGGGAATTGAGTTTCAAAGCTAACATTAGCTCACAGATTGTATTCCTTGTTTTTCGAGGCATCACAGTCGCCTGGGGCATTTGTCTGTTCTTCCTTCTTCCAGATACCCCCTCCAATGCCTGGTTCCTCTCGGAGACTGATCGAGTTGGCGCGGTCAACCGCGTGAAAGAAGATGTTACGGGAGTCAAGCACACAAAGTGGAAGAAAGAACAGATGTTCGAAGCTCTCACGGATCCAAAAGTGTGGCTGGCCGTGCTGATCATGCTGTGTGTTAATATTCCCAATGGAGGAATCGGAAATGTACGTCTTGTCATCTAATATTTATACTCTAACAATCACGGCCATATCACTAACATATCTCTATCCAAAGTTCGCAGCTATTGTCATTAAAGGAATGGGATTCTCGACTAACAAGACATTCCTAGTGAGCATGATTGTCACGGGTTTCCAAGGGTTTTTCGTCATTACCTCTACGCTTGGCAGCACGTATCTCCCCAACACCCGGACCATTTGGATGGCTATCTGCATAGTCATTGCTCTTGTTGGCGCTGTCGTCATCCGCCAAGTGGACAACTCGCACATTTGGGCGCGGTACTCGGGCTACTGTCTTCTTTCCGCGTATACAGCTAATTTTCCACTACTGCTCTCTCTGAATGTCGCCAACGTTGCGGGTATCACCAAGAAAACCACGGCCAATGCAATGGTAAGTCTTCATACGTCCCTAGAAGCCCATTGAAACAGATTATCTAATAGATACTTCTGCTCTCACAGTGCTTTATCGCGTACTGCGTCGGAAATATTATTGGACCTCAGTTGTTCTTCGCCGACGAAGCCCCAAGTTACCCCTCAGGGTTTGCGGCTATGTTGGTCTGCCTGGGTGTGTGTTTTGCCCTGATAATTGGAATGCGGGTGTATCTCATCTGGAAAAACACACAACGCAGCGAGAAGTTGGCCGGGACGCCCGTGCAAACTGACAGCACTGAAATGTACATTTCAGATCGCACGGATGGTGAGATGCTGGAATATCAATATGTATACTAGAAGTGGTATCGGAGCATGAGGTCTCAAGCTCAGGGTCATGTCGAGCTACATCAATTTTGTTTACCTTCCATATGTTGTTTCATCTCTAGTTTTATATAGTAGCCCGTATATTTAGGCCAGTCTAGGGTAGGCAGTCCTTATAAATCCTGGGCTGTTTGCATTGGAGCTAACGGCATGAGATATAATGTGTGACTCGGCTCCATTTCAATAGCTTGCAATGACCAGGGGACTACATTGATTGGAAACGCAATATCGCTATAATGTAGTAAATATCTATACGGGTTGCCTGTTTGAGGTGGCCGAATTTTTTTCATTTCTATTTCTCATCACCATATAGGCGCGTTGCCAAATTAGTGTCAATGGCATGACCACTGTCGCAAACAAGAGCAGCAGGCTAAGTGCAGATCACATAAGACTGTGCCAAAAGAAAACTCAATCCCAAGGAGTGTAGAGTAGTTGAACGCAAGTCAAGATACGCCGTGGATCCGATTAAAAGCAAATAAGGTTGGTTGTTCGAACCAAAAGGGCGGCCAACCTCGAGAGAAGCGAAGGTCAAGTTGCTGTAAAAACGCAGACCAATGCAAGTTTGTTGTCAATGTGTCATTCTGGTGTAAACATGCATTCCCCGCTTGTTCAATTTCAAGATCTAAGTCGCTCGATCCAATACGGAAATGTCACAACCGCTTAGAAGAACCTCGGCGAACGCTTGGTGCTGGTAGACACGAGTGTAAGCACTCAGGGATCGGCATCGAAAAGGACAGTCAGCAGTAAAAGAAGGATACACAGAGAGCTAGGGCGAGGGAGAAGGAGAAGGAGAAATTGAATCGTACCGCAGCTCCGAGAGATCATCCATGTGGTTGCACATTGCCACAAACAGGTCGAAGAACAACTTGCCCCCTTCCTCCATCTCCATCTGCAAGGTTCCGCTGCTCTTAAAAGTTTTGCGACTGCGGATGATAAGAGCCAGATAATGAGCGCGCAGTCGGGAATCAGACTCGGGTGTGTTGTCATATGCATATCGAGCGGATCGCAAGATCACGTCGGCTGGAATTCCACTCTGAAGACCCTGCTTTCGGAGAGCAAGGCGCTTGAGTTCTTCCAAGCCGTACTTCTCAGCAGCACAGTACACTGTCGTGTCTCGGAGAACGAGATCTCCCACTCCCAGGTGGAACATTGTTGGCTCGCTCGATCCGCGGCCACCGGTTTGATTCGGATCCTGGGCGTTCTCAAGTGACCAAGAGTTTCTTTGCTTTCCACGCAACAAGCGCGGGTAGTAGTCGCCCTTGTATAAAAACTCGAGAACACACGACAGAACCTCGGGTTCTCTATCTCAAGTATAAGTTATTGCTCAATCGAAATGGGTGGGATTGTCTCACTCGTCAGGCAAGGTCAGTTGTTTCGCGCCGTCTTCGGAAAACTGCTCCTTCAGAGCAGAGTTGAAGAACGGTGACACGGATAGGACATCTTCATGGGCGGCGAAGAGACGCTGGTCCCGGCCAACAATCATAGTGATGATTGGGCTGGTAAGTGGGCTATAGGGATACATTATCAGCACATGAATTAAGGTAGATATTTATGGAGGAGTGCAGGTCCGAATTTATAATATAAAAAAGCAAAACACACCTCCCCATTAAGGGACTTTCCACTTTCTGCTTCATCTTCTCCTTAACCAGCTCGTCGTACTTCTTCTTGGCGACCTTGACGGTTTTACCCGCACGGTCCTTAGATACGAAAGAGCGCTTGAACATAACGGCACAGATAAACCCTATAACTGAGATATGCCCGTAGAATATGGTAACGATTGAGGAGATTAACTTGTATTTATTGGAATGAATGATACGAGTTGGTCGAAAGATAGACGAATTGACGCTGCTGGTCATGCACACGTAGCATGTGAGTCTCGGAAGCTCCCCACAGAATTCGTCCCCCGAGGCTTAGTTAAAAGACGAGGAATACGTAATTCTGGGATGACTTTGCATTCGAGAATCTGAAGTGACTCTCTTAGCGAATATTTATCGACTCCGGCAGGCGTGGAAGGAAAGAAAAGAAAGAAGAAAGGAAAGCAGGAAGAGAGGGGTTTAAATGTGGGGGTCAGGTGATATCAAATGTGACTAGAGACGAAGTCACCTGTTGAATGAGGCTCAGGCTCAGGTGAAATTCCGTGTGGCTGACCCCTTAGGGAACCCCGAGGGCTATGTATGTTGGCGCTAAAATCTCACGTCATGCTAGTCCGGCTAGATACGCTAAATCCGAACCTATGAAAATATACATGGCATTTCCGGAGAGCGATACTAACTAAAAGGTATCCATATTCTTAACGGGCCGTGATGGAGTGGGGTTGACGTCAAATGATATATATTTGATTGAAGCTGATCATGTTGGATGACCAAGCATCCAATATAAACAAGTAAGTATACAAACTATGCAACTATTAGGACATTAGATGATATATTAATTATCCGAGATCGCTTTGTCCCCGTAATTAGCGATCCGGGTCGAATATTCCTCCATTATATCGGCTTCTGGCATTTAGCTCAGGTAGCCACAGCCAGCAGTAAGCATGACAACGCCGAAGCTTGCGAAGTGACCGACAGTGACAGCGTACATTCCATTGCCAGCAGAGCAGGACTTGTCGCGCTGACCGTCGCACTTCACGGTGCTAGCCGCGGTGCCAGAGCTGTAGTATTCCTGTGCATGATTAAGGTCGTAAGCGATTGAACATTAGTATGAAAGGAGTTCGATATAGGATAACTCACGGTTCCGTAATGCTTGAAGTTGACGAGCGCGCTTGAGTACATGTTCTGCGATGTATGGTTAGCCACTGTAATATAGCGTCTCTAGTTCAACCATAGCTTACGGGAACACCGTCGAGAACGTTGTTTCCACGGTTCAGGGTACCGGGCTGCGAAGTAGCAAAGGTGGCCCACGCTTCGTTGCCGATGGGGAAGGCATTGAGTGCATTACTAGTGAGCTCCTTGCCCGGGAAGTTCTGGGCCAGTGCAACGTGGGCAATGTAGGTGAGGGCACCACCGAGGGAATGTCCAACCGCCTCCAAAGTGTAATCAGGGTACTTCTCAACAAGCGACTTGACCTCAGCAATGATGGTGTCGTGTACAGAGGACCAGGGTCTGTGAACACCGCGCATGATCTTCACATCGGCAGGGAAGGTCACTCCCGAGAGCTCGGGAGTGATGAGAGCAATGTCAATGTCATTGATGAAGTCGGCGACTAGATTAGTTAGCATGGTGAGCCAGTATTAAGATGAACTGATATTTCCATACTAGTAGTCGATCCCCTCATGATGACCGAGATCTTCTTCTTCTCAGTGGAGTATCCAACGAAGCCCTATTGAAATTAGTCATTTGCCAACGTATAGAGCAAATACCACGCCTACATTGGTGTCAGTCAGGAGGTCATAAATCCTCTTGGTAATTGTGACATCGAAGGCCTTTCCGATGCAACCGGTGTAGACAGCAGAAGAAAGCTTTGCTGCGCGGTGCAAATCAGGGAAAGCAGCGCTGGCTAGAGATAATGTTAGAGCTACCTAGCCGGACAGAGATGGGCTGATGAATTAACATACCAGCAACCGCCCTCGACTCCAAAACAGGTGCAGAAAGAGCCTGGGAGATCAAGGAGACTCCGACGAGCAAAGACTGGTAGTTGAACAACATCTTGAAACTATGTATGAGGATATTATAGAATGATCTTTGAGAGAAAGGCTGTTGGAGCGTTGTCTTTGGATGAACGAAGGCAGACTTTCTCGGGCTGTCTGGCTCTTTAAATAATCGTTTAGATACCCCTCAAGCACATCCCCAGCTATTATCAATATAGTTGCGCCCTATATGCAGAGAAGGAGACTGAATGTGGCGCCAGGTGGGTTGCGTCGGGGATGACATCCCAAACAGGCAATGCAGAGGATGGAGCCAAGAAGTCATCATGCATGGGAATGTATGTTGTACTCCGTCCAAGTGAACCCATTCGGCGAATTCCCGTGGATTTGTCGGGACTTCCCGTCTGGTGACAATAGCTCCAGCAAGTTCAAGTACTACGTGCTATAGGCTTCAACGCCTCACTTGATCTTCATACGATATGGGTCTAGGGCGCCGAGACATGATGTGCACCCAAAAGCCTCGTTGGCTAATCAAAATCGCCAATGGTTACCCGTGAGCCATTTTGGCAATGTTGATGTCTCGAGGCACAAAAAAGGGACCACAGTACGGAATACATAACCATATTAAATTTTGACCGCCTGGTTCCCCGTTACCCACTCGCACAAGACCTCTAAATTAACTCCTGAAGATCCCATTTCTATATAACAAACTATAAATGCAACGAATAGGTCGTCGTAATAATCAAATCAAGAGTTATGGTATAAATACGTCGAGCACTAAAAATTCAAAGTATGGAGAATATGAATACGAAGTTAGCCGATTATACTCCGTACTGTGAAGTGGTATTTTTTAGTCCATATTAAATTCTAGGTCTTTAAACCGAGAGCAAGTCAATTTAAAATACTCGGCATACGAAAAGAAGGAAAGGAAGTGGGGGAATAACCTTTACAGAATCGAAGGTAAGTATACCTTATAAACAAGCCCCACTTAGTCACACTATCATATAATATAAATTTGCACAACATATGTGGAGGTAGGCGAATAAGCAAACTAAGGTTTAGAACAAAGACATAAAGAACGATCCTTCAGCATGTGATAGCATGTGATCTTGGCAATTTTTTTAGATTTCTTTTTGGATATCCCCCTACCCCCCAACCTCGATATTATTAAAGCCAGAAGAGTAAGAAGAGTTAGCCACGCAAAATAGGATATAGGAGCCGAAAAATATGTAAAATTTGCAATGTGGCTTTTCATGTATGGGATATATGATAGGAGGATGGAAACTATGGAGTACTCGTATTACAAACCGTGCGGGGCAAAGTCTCAGCTGCAAGGTACTATCCATGGATATAGCGGATATAGCGCGGTGACAGAATTCGTACTCGTACCGTTGTGTGGGGCAAAAACATGAGCAACCAAACGTGAACTTGGCAAGGCTAGCGCCAGAAACGGCTACAAGATGGGCTAGACGAAGTAAAATATTTGCGGGGAAACGTGGCAGAGGTCATGCCTTTGATTCAACCGCCTTGGCCTTTCGACTCCAGAATATATTAAAGCTTCAACTCCGATCGACGCAAATTGATGAAAGATCGTCATTATATTCCACCAGAACTAGAAAGGATCATACCGGCTGTGTTAGTTAGGAGATATCGGCGTCCGTAACCGGGGATCCCGAGCTGAAACCGGGCCTTTTTCCTACCCGTTACCCGTGGGCATTTTCCTCTTGTTTCCCTCTTGGTGAAGCTTTTATTCTTGGACCTTGGCGTGGTATTCTTGAGCGTGAAATTTTATGTTGAAGCGAATCAGTTGACAGTTTAGAGTTCGGCATCTGGGGACCGAGGTTGGCTCGTGTTTTGGGGAGAAATTAGGTAGAAGATGCAGGATGTTAAGTTAATTAAAATATGCAGCCATCCCTCAATGCAGAAGCGGGGTTCCTGTACGAGGGTTTGATCAGATGGATCAGATGGTCACGCTTCGGTATTCTTGGCCCATTTGTTCTCTGCTAGTGCACAAAGTGCATGGTTGCCAGAGCTAAAATGGATACATTCGATTCCAACGTATGTACCTAAGAGCTAGGACAGTAGTTAATGATCTAGTTTTAAGGTTAGTAATTCCCAATCAACGAAAGCAGAAATCCATGGCGCAGTCTTTTGTCTAGCGGGATTTAAAATACATGTGACTGGAGAACCACTGTCTCGGTTTTTCAGGCACCGATATACTGCAGACGCGTCGCATGGTACCTTACATTAGTACATTATGTACTCCGTACTACCTAACTCCGTATGTTGTATGCACATAGGTACAGGGTTTGTGTGGGGCACATGGGGAAACGAACGCGTCGAAAACTCTATCTAGCACACACCGGATGACAATAGTATTGAGACCCCGTCTCTTGGCCTTCGGTTTCCGGTGCATCCGACAACCCTCGAAAGTGAGTAAAACAACTGCCAAGATGAGGTATTGTTTTTTTTTTATAGAAAAAAAATCCCTAATCCGGTAGTAGGCTCAGCTTAACTGAAGAGCTGGCGTGATAATATAAGTAGACAAGCCAAGCAGGATTGTCGGCCGACCGACGGAGCTGGTTGATCCTACCATGAATGGCCAATAGCTGATTGCACGGATATCAAAAGATCAGCTGGTCAGGAAACTCCCAGCCTTGGCTCACCTGGGCATATCCTTGGAACTTTGGAGCCTTGGAACCTTGGAACATAAGAATCTTGGAACATTGGAACGGCCCCCCGTCTAGTCCTATTTGGACAAGGTGGCTTAAATTAATCCTATTTGGGCCGTTTGATCCGGTCGTATACAACATACCATAAGGTGTGAGAGGCTGCAGGGAACCCTTTTCCCATTTAGACTTACAAGTCAGACATCTCCACCTCATTCTTTCACGGCAGATGCGGTGTCTAATGCGGTGTCTGATCTTGTCTCATGTGCTCTTTCGCTGCAGACAAGGTCTTCGGTCAAGCCGTTTTTCCCTGTCGGAGAGCTTTCGACTTCACGTTATTTTCTAAAGAGCTATTCTTCGCTTTGATCCCGTCCTTACTTCTGTTGATGGGTGCAGCCACGCGTCTCTGCATATTACTTCGCCGACCGGTACATGCTCGACGGGGACCATTATATGGCTCATACTTGACTAGGGTGTAGTTTCGGCCTTTGCAATTCTAGGCCTCGTCAGGCTCATTCTTATCGCAACTAGTCAAGGCGCTACAGCACCCCTTTCCGCTCCGGCTGTCGTGCTGTCCTTGCCCGCCGCGTGTGGGATTACCATTTTATCTCAATATGACCATACTTGGTCCAACCGTTCATCGTCCTTCCTAGCCTTCTACCTATGCCTCACAGCTCTACTCAGGTCTGCCATGTCCCGTAAATACCGGCCTCTTGGAGCATATTACAGTGTGGTAGGTGCGACTCTTACTACCTTGCCGGTGCAATTGTCCATGGCGGTACTCGAGAGTGGACGTTTGAGAGTTCTAGAAGATACAAAACTGTCTCGAGAGGAGAAAGCTAGTTTCGTGTCTCGAGGTCTATTCCTATGGCTTAATCGCCTTCTACAGATCGGCTACAAGCGCACCCTGACCACGGCCGATCTAAGACCGATCCATCGCAATCTCTGTACATCACAGTTAGATATTCAGTTTTCAGAGACATCTACAAGACACTCGTGTTTGCGTCATCGTTCTTTTCACAGATCTCATAGATAACACGTAGGTTTAACTAACACATGCAGTTTCGTATTTCGGTCTACCTGACCGAACTCTTATGTGTCAGGTCAGTACCCGTTCATCCCAATAATCCCTGGGCTGTATCTCACTGGGTTCCCCTTTGTACAGCCGTTTCTCTCCACCGACCTGATACGCTATCAAGGAGATGACTCTGCTCCCAATAATCAAGGGCATCGTCGGTGCGTCATTCCTTGTCTATGAAGGAAGTGATGTGAGCTCTACAAACTACAATTGAAATGACTTTCTAATCTAACAGTCGATCTTAGATTTCGAGAGGCCGGTATTTGCATTTGAACTACGAATCCGTGACTTTTATGTGTGGAGGGCTTATCGATATTGTCTTCAACAAAGTGATTCAGTTGCGAGAAGACAAAGAGAACGAGTCAAAGCACTGACTCTGGTGAACAGCGATGCTCAACGAATCTCCACTATTCTAGCATTCCCACACGAGCTTTAAGCAGGAGTACTAGAGACTGCGTTGGCCACGTAGCTCTTATGGCAACAAAACGGGCCATCAAGCTTGGCGGTCGTAGAGATGGCGCTTGGTATGTTGTTTTTTTCCACATCAATATCCATGTGTGGCAACACGTCCTGATTTTCCTGTATAGCTAGTACCGCATTATCTACTTTCATCCAAAAATTCAACTGGAACACAACAGCAGAGATGTATGAAAGCCACCAAGAACCGAGTCTCTACCACACGGAAGATATTATTATCCAGAAGACGGTCACACACGGGCTGACTCCCTCTCCGGACCACGTGGACTTTTGCAGTCACTGGGCATTACCGTGATTGAAACAAACCATGATTATACGCTATGATATTCGAGATAGACTGCTGGGCGGCAATACTTTACAATGTCCGCCAAATTAATTAAACTAAGCATCTAGTCTCCTGCGACTCACCCGTACCTTCACTTCAGCCAATGGTATCGATACTATTATTCCTTCGGAGTCGATAGCTACAAAGGCTCTAATATTGTCGGCTACTAGCTAGGATTATACACTATGTTGCAGGTTCTACCACTCATCATGGTGGCGATCTGGCTGGGGTTAGCAATGTTTGCTTTATGTCTATACCATCCCTTGTTGTTTTCTTCAAGCTTTTGCCTTAGTCATATGATGATGAAAATTGTCCCTGCATCTAGATTTGGGGTTCACCGTCAACTACTCAGGACTGTAAATTCCACTTCACCAGTACCACCGACTCAGGAGTGCTCAATCGGTTCACTCAAGACCTAATGATGGTCGATATGAACCTACCTATCCATATGTTGAATACCAGAACGAAACTACGGGAGTGTATGACTGAGGTTATCCTACTCTCCGTAGCAGCAGTCTATGCCCTCACCGTGCTATCAGCTGTGATGTTCATTCATTTCCTCATTCAGTTCTTCTATCTCCGCACTTCAAAACAACTGCATCAGCAGGAATTGTAGTCCAGGCAAGCCTCCATACCAAGGTCCTCGAGACATGTACAGGCCTGAGGATTATTCGTGCCCATGTTTGGCAAGATACTTGGCAACAGTGGTTCCTCAAGGACCTAGACAGATCGCAACTTCTACTTGCTTTATACAATCCAGTGCTGGCTACAACTTACATTGGATCTGCTCGTGGTCGGTCTTTCTGTGGTTGTAGCCGGTATGACCGTGATACCCGCAACCAAAGAACCATCGGAGCCAACAGTGTTGCATTTCTGGACCTCACCACGCTAGGCAGCACTCTAACCAGGCTTATCAACTTCTGGGCCTCCCTAAAGGTTTCTTTGGGGGCTATTTATAGAATCGAGGCCTTCGAACAAAGCACCCCGCCCGAACTAGGAGACTCTAAGAGACGCACTAGATTCACATAGGGGCTGTAGCGACAAGAAAATATAGGATATTTCCGCTGGGTGCACGATCAAAGAAAAGGTGGAGAGTTCTAGGGAATTGTCCGCCTAATAGATGATGTAACTTTCTCCAGTGGTGGGGCTCAGTTGTGTTCTTTAGCTCGCACCATTCTAGCAGCGAGTCATCGGTTAGGTGGTATCATTCCGTTCAATGAAATGACAAGCGGGGAAGTATTATATCAAAGATCAAGCCAGGCTAGTCATCGACCCTAGTACTGACATGGCAAATAACCAACGAGTTCGAAGCTTGATCGAAGAGAAATTGCCTGATAAAACGACAATCGAGGCAGCAAATGAATACGGCCTGATTCTTGTTATGCATGACGGGAAGGTCATTCACTTCGGTAGTCCAGTAGAGGTCTTTTCCTCCTTGGTGGACCAGGAAGTCTTTTCTCGTATATCTAAACAGCCGCCAAGTCATGGATTTATCTCATGATTAGGTGGGCAGCATCCATATCCCCATACCTTTGCTACCTGTGGCGCCACTAGGATAATAAGCATGAACAAACCACTCATAGTAACATGGAAGGTACCCACTAAGCCGCTAGTGTTAACGTAGTTGGTCTAATCCTTGCAAAATAAACCGCCCCAATTTAGTGGCGGTTACAAGGCGGGTCTTATTGGTGTGGACAGTGGTACATCTCGCTTTTAACCCCACTATACTTGAATGAATTCAGTAATAAGCAATATGTCACCCGCATCATGCATGTTCCAATGGGATTGCGCCTGCATGTTACTATTTAGTGTGCGGCGCCAGCCGTCAATTTAAGACATCCCCATTGCCATGTCGCAATAATATCACCCCCATCGCTTCCCGACTCGCCATGACAGCTAGTGATATAGCTGGTTCGTTCTTCAAATATGTGTCAATCCCAGTCGCTGTTGCGGTTGGGTTATATGCGATCCTGCTAGGGTTACTCACAACGTCAACATTCCAATCACATGTCGTTTATCTACACACGATTCAGATGACATGGTTCAAAGACCTCAATGTCCCCGAAACCTTTGGGTTCATGAGGAACCAGGTCACTCCGTTTTCCATTAGAACGACGGACGGCGAATGGCTGTACGCTTGGCATATTCTTCCTGTGGAATTATATCGCAAGCACCAAATGCCTCTTATCAAAGAGCCAGTAGGCTTTGTATCCGACATCAAGTCTCGACTGGCATTTCAATTATTGCGGGAGGACCCCGAGGCTCGTTTGATTCTTCATATGCACGGCGCTGGGGGAACCGTCGCCTCGGGCTACCGGGTCCCAAATTATCGTGCGCTCTCAGCGGGCAATCCTGGGAAAATTCATGTTCTCACATTTGATTACCGAGGATTCGGCAAGAGTACTGGGATGCCATCTGAGACCGGGCTCACAATCGATGCCCTTGCCGTGGTGGACTGGGCAATGAATATTGCAGGCGTCCCTCCATCTCGAATTTTGATATTTGGTCAATCCATGGGCACGGCCGTGAGCATCGCTGTGTCCAAGCATCTTGCTGTACAGAATCCACCAGTAGTCTTCGCAGGCACAGTCCTAGTTGCACCGTTTGTGGACGTCGCGACATTAGTCTCAACTTGTCGAGTCGCGGGTACCATTCCAATCTTGTCGCCGGTTGCAAGGTTCCCTTTCCTCTTCAAATATCTTCAGCGATTTATTCGAGACAAGTGGCTGAGCAAGGATTCTATTGCGCAATATATCCGGGCTAACGAGCTGAACGGAGAAAAATACCGAATTATGATAATCCACGCCGAGGATGACTATGACATTCCATGGCACCATTCTGAACTTGTGTTTTGGCATGCGGTCAATGCTTCAATGCCGGCGGGGATCAGTTACGACGATCTTGAACAAAAGAAGCTCGACTCAAAAGCAGATCTGGGAGCTGCCGGGTCTATGATGGAATGGAAAACAGAGAATGGGGTCATTCACGAAGAAATTTTGAAAACTGGATTGCACGATGTGATCATGGGGTACCCAGTAGTCACAATGGCCGTGATGCGATTTCTTGAGGCGGCAGATCCATCATTCACGCCCTGAGTTCAATCGGTATATCATAGAACAGGCATAGATACGGAAAACATGATCATGCTGTAAAAAAACGAGTGGTCTTCATTTGGTAATATTTACTATAAAACACTAGCGGGTTGCACTCGTGAATATATATATACCAGCATCCCACTTTAAACGAAAGATACACACAATTGAGAAACTTCCACGAAGCAGATCTCCTAGTGGAAGGAGAACTAAAGCGTAAGCAACGAATGAACATGAAGCTCTTGTCTTAATTCAAAAGATTTTCGAGGATGTTCGAGCCAAGTCCATAGATGGGGCAAGTGTGGCGGTGCTAGTGATGCGGTGGCACATGCGGGGTTGCCAAGCCACCGGTGATATCATCACGAGGAACAGGCTCGAGCGAGCATGTGAGCGAAACAAAAGCTTGGTGTTAGCGTGCAAATTGGCGATCTGCGATATCTTCTGATCATCAAATCATTCCATCTGACGTATCACCTAGGCGCTTGGGAAGGTTGATCTATCACTAAAACTCAAAGCGCGCGCGTCCCCTTACCTTCAGTACGCGCCCGTCTCGTTTCGGCCTACTTTTGATTATCGTCTTACTTCCCATCAAGGGACACGAAAGAAGCCCATATTTCCATCGTTGGTGTCTTGAATATCTCGACTATGGCCATGCAATATCTCAACCAAATAAAGAACCTACGGCGTTCATCGCAAATGACCAGCGCTCCCAAACCTGTCCTGACGGCGGAAGATGAAGCCTACCTACGCGAAGTCACTGCCCAGCCTGAATCTGTGCCCATTACAACAGAGCCGAATGAACAAGCTACAGCCGAAAGCCCTGCTGGGGCGCCTCTGCAACCTGCAATAAATGAACAGGCCGAAAACATCCCTCTACCTATCTCGCCTGGGGAGGAGTTAGCAAAGGAGCTTGGCGAAGAAGGTAGACAAGAACGGAAGAACTCTCAAGCAACATTGACAAGATCAGCAACACCAAAGTCGGAAGTCTCAAAGCCTCCACAGAAGAAGAAACGGTGGAGTGCCATATTTTGGAAGAAAACAGAGAAGGTGGGTGATTTATTTACCCAGTAGTGTCCATTTTCGGATCTTTGCATCTAGCTTCAGCATGTACTAAAACACGAGTTCACACAAACAGGATAAAGATACCCCCGATGCAAACAAATCGCAGACCGAACCCCCGACACGTCCAGCCACATCGGATACGTCAACAAACGGGAAAGACGCAGATAAAGATAAAGATGCTGAGGACATGACAGATATTCTTGAGCGCTTGAACCTAGCGGCGGATAACAACCGTGTATTTTCAATTAGCGAGGAGACACAAGAGCTTTTACGCAAGTTCAAGCTCATTTTCAAGGACCTGATCAACGGAGTCCCGACTGCCTATCATGACCTGGAGATGCTTCTCACCAACGGCAATCGCCAGCTACAAGAAACATATACGAAGCTGCCTGGCCCCATGCAAAAGTTGATCGAGAAACTTCCCGAGCGTTGGACCGAGACTTTAGCTCCAGAGATGCTAGCGGTTGCTGCCGACCGCGCCAGCAAGAGTGGTGTCAACATGGAGAACGTGGGCAAGGCCGCTGCAGCTGCAGAGAAGATGGGAGTCAACATCCCAAGTTTAAAGGAACTTGTGTCGAAGCCAGCTGCTCTTGTAGGAATGTTGCGATCCATCATGACATTCCTGCGAGCTCGGTTCCCTGCTGTTATGGGCATGAATGTGCTCTGGTCTTTGGCATTATTTAGTAAGTAAAGCGCCACACCAAGTGCATGAGTATGTTTTCTGACTATGGCGATCTCCAGTCCTCTTGTTTGTCTTGTGGTACTGCCACAAGCGTGGAAGGGAAGTCCGTTTGGAGAATGAGCGTCTGGTGACGGAAGAAGAGATCACCAAGCTCAACCAAGATACCTCCGAGGGTCTAATTCGCCCTACTGAAACTTTGACGACAACCGCACCACCGGGCGCTACGCCTGATGAAATACGTGAAGGCGTTAGAAAGGTAGAGGAGGCCCGCGCCGCTCCTGTTGAATCTGCTGTACCCGCCGAAGTGGAGAGTGAAAGCCAACAAAGTACTCAACAAAGTACCCGGCCAGCGGTAGTCCCTACCCGGTCGAAATCACGTTTGTCTATGTTTGGTCGGTCCAAGACAGAGCCTGTGCCTAATACTGTCGCTCCTTATCCTGGCACTTGATCTCCCTTTTTTTGTCAGTTATGTCCAGCTCAATCTTGTTTCAATGTATGGAACCATGGTTATTGATTCAATCAACCAAGGAACCCTCGATTTGAGTGGGCGACCCAGAATCAAGGGATTCTAAATGAAACCTCTCACTCCGGGATTTGCCCATCTAAGACTTGGATTTATGTTATTGTAATTTAATTAATGTCGGTCGGTCTTCCGGAAAACAAACCTCGGATTTCATGTAGTTAACCGCTTTCCTTTTGATAGTTCCTCTTGGCGGTCTCCACTCGTTTCCTCTTCGGTCAAATATCCCGCATTCCTTTCTGTTGGTTCTTAGTGCTCACTGCTCCGGTGATAACACCAACAACCATATTCTCTCATTATAGGTATATATTTTGGCCGTGGTTGGGCCTTCTATCAAGTGTTGTAGAGAATTATCGCCCCCACCTCGTGATTCCTAGCGTCCTTGGGCAGATACGGCAACTTCCTCGCCGAACCTGAATGAAACAAACCATCTCTTTACGTTCGCAAAAGACCTCATTAGTTGCACCATGATCAGACTTCTTAATCTCCCAGAGGAGACTCTCTGCCTCATTGCGGAAAGCCTAGATCACCAGCGTGATCGCCATTCCCTAGTTCTGTCATGTCGTCGACTGTACACAGTTCTGCTACCAACTCTCTACTCCCAGGTTATTCTTGGTGACGTTAGCAATCATACAGTTGGCCAAGTCAGTCAATTTTTCAACGCAATCGCGCGACGTCCGGAGTTGGCCAGCGCCGTGCGAGCTTTACGCTTGGAGAGTTGGGACACCGAGGATGACAATGGAGACATCGACTGTGAATTCGAGTATGATGGGGAACTTATTCGCGGACTTGTCGCAGGTACCTGTTGGTCCAATCAACCGAACGATCAACTGCGGCGCGGAAACACCGATGCTTGGTTAGGTTTGCTCATCCCTCAGCTGAAAGGCTTAAGGCAAATCAGCATATGCTACCCGTATGGGACAGAATACGTCGAGAAAATGTTCTTGAAGGCTGCCAAAGAGAATGTCACAACATTTCCTCGCCTCACTGAAGCTTTCGCAGAATGGTATGATACGGAAAATTCCATCCCTGCAAGCTGCATGGAGCCGTTCTTCAAATTCCCGGCGATGCGCAGGATTGGAGGATCATATATCGTCGACTCCGATCGTGAAGGGGGAGAACCCCGCATCACACCCTTCTCTGGGGTCACAGATATTGATCTCGACATGACCAATACTGAGTGTGGATTCGGTGTGTGGATTGAATCTTGCAAAGCTCTCAAGACATTCCGGTTGAATGTTGGCGGAGAAATGATTTCAGAGGGACCGGATCTTGTATCTGCTCCTCTTCGAGAATCGATATCCCTTCACAAGTCATCGCTAGAGGCGTTCTGGCTCTGTGGCGAATCATACGAGCCTCCGGAAGACGACGACGGATGGATGGGATCGTTTGCTGATTTCAATACGATGAAATATTTACATATTTCTCTATCAATGCTTGCCAAGCTCAACGACGACTTTGAGCCCACGCAAGAAATCGTGGCACTATTGCCGCCGTCTCTTGAGACTTTGTATCTGTGTCACTGCCACAACGAGCTGCTCGAATGGGCCGTCGATCAAATCGGACGCTTGCTGGATTCGAATTGTCTGCCGCGCCTTACATCCTTGGGGCTTGAGGGTTATGGACCTTCAGAGGTCCATCAGAGTTCGTTGGAGACTATGCGCAAACTAGAGGAGTTGCACAAAAGATGTGCAGATGCTGGTGTGTTCTTTGCTACTTCAATTGGAAGTCACAGAGTGATCCCGAGTCATTTTGTGTCTCTTTGGCCTTGTTCTTAATTTGATGATTGCTGAGCGTGTGTTTTATGCAAAATGGCGCTGTTAGTGATCAGCGATGCGGGGGTCGATTAGCGTATATAATCTAGCAGATCACTTCAATTTCGTATTGGAATGGTGTTATACTCTGTATGCGCAGCCGTATCATCTTATCATTTTTTTTACATACTATGGGGCCAAAATAAGAAAAATAACCCCCCCTTTTGAGGGGTAGACATTTAAATATATGGACCTATTGATGAGCTCGTGGTCCCCACAATGAATTCCTTCGGGTATGGGTTGTCATGTCGAATTACTCCATTATCCATGGTCATTACCTAGACGCCACTGTAGGGACTTTGTTCTACCCATACTGTGTCGGAATCTGAGTCTTGACACTAGAATCACGTAAATTGTACGTACTGTATGGGAAAAAAATGTAGAAGTGGGGAAGGCTCCCAGGCTAGAAGACCATCGAAGTGGCCAAGTGGAGAATTGACATCCGAACAGTGAATGATCCGCCTCAATTGAAAAGATGCTAACGCTGGGGATATTATTGTTTCCCCCTAAACAGTCTGATTGGCATTGGAGGGAAGTAGAAATTTTTCCATCGCAGCCACTGCGGGGCAGAGAGATGATCTTGCATGCTTCTGAACATCAGGTGGCAGGGGCAAGAATGTACTCAGAAAGAGAGACAATCGGAAAGATCATCCGTTCTACATTTGCCTCTATTATTCTTGATCCGTAATGTTGTACGAAGTATATCGCACGGAGTTGAATATAGGGACCTACGTTGCAAGTTGACCAACTATAAACTATAGTGTTGTCCCCTCGCCGATAGGAAAAGATAAGAGAGAAATAGATCCATCTCATGCATGTTAGACGCGCCCAGCCTTAAGCCATGCTGTCCTTTTACCGCCTCTAATTTTAGGCCAGTTAGGCAGTTAGTTAGTCGATTGGGGGGCAAAAGTAAAAAAAAAAAAAAGACCTGCAGGTTGCCGGGACACGGGCAAAATTTGCCAAGCCGGTCGGAATAGAGTAGAGCGCTTTGCCACTCCAAAAGTGAAAGTGGCCGGATCTATGGCTCGAACCAATTAGCCCATGGCCTTGGTGAAAATTTGGGTCATTGTGAGGTCCAAACAATATGATTCATCTCAAAGATGTGTCATCGAAAAAATTCCCGATCCGAGGATGAATCATCATCGTGCATGCCTACGTGCACGGGTCAGCCCCTGCACCGTGTATATTCTAGTTTAACGTCCATGTTGTAGTGCAGACTGCTGTTCCGATGTGCAGTTTGTGTCAGCAATGAGTCGAAACTTGAGTCTGTAGTTTGCAAGCTTGACTGGAATAGTTTGCGATAAAGATTTTGCCGGGGAGGGTTGCGCCGAGGATCTTTAATGACGTTTTTTTGGGTTTGTTGTTGTTCGGACTTGACTCTGCCGGGATATATTCCTCGACAGCCCAAATAGCAGTGAATTGAAGATATGCAAGTAGTGCATACCATCAGCAGCAATAGAGCCCAATACCAATATAATCTCAATGCAACCACCTAATTTAAGTAAATGGGTAGGTGGATATCGAATTCATGACTTTCCCGTTGCAACTTTCGGCGATCGCTGATTGGCGCGAAAGAGTCGGTGAGCGGCGCCAACGAATGGGCGGTCGTGTTCTGCAGCCAATCAGAACTGTCCCCCACTTGGGGGAAAAAAACGACCGTCCTTCTCTTCTTCTTCCCTTTCTCATAGCACTTCCAACTGATCTACTTCCGATTTCCCTGAACTTATTGAAACCCCTCTCAATAAACTCACTACATACCCACTACATATCGTCAAGAATTCAGCCAAATGGCCTTCGTTGAGCTGTAAATGCCTCGCTGGGGAGCCTGTCCCTGCCGGCTCCCCAGTCCTGCAGCTCCGATCTTCAATTCTACTTGACGATATTTGTTTCTCTTTCGACGCCTCATATACAGGCGTTGGAATTGCCCCCTAGCAAACTCCCAGAAGGAGCACTACAGCGTCCGCAACGGACTGCGGGTGCTTTCGTGGCTACGAAAAAAAAAACCACTTTGGACTCCTCCCCTCCACTCCGCTTCTCCGATCTCCTCCACTCCGTCCCACCTCTCTTCGACTCATCCCCTTAAAACGGATCACCGCTTTGAACCTTACTACAAACATCCTCCCACTCAAGGAAGATCTACCCCTCTTCCTTCATCCCATCATTGGATCCTCCTGGAACGGACCGGATCATTTGAACAACAAGCAAGGACCAAAGAAGTCCACTCCGACAGAATAACCCCTATTCATCTATACGTGTCTTTTACAAAATGCCTCAGAGTGCATACTCTTCCAAGCGGGCCCCTAAGAGCTCCGCCAAAAACGCCCACCCCCGCCCCTCAACCCCCGAGTCCAACATCATGCGGAACCTCGAAATGTCACCGAAGGCCAATCAGTCTCGAAAGTTATCCAATGCTCAGCCATCCGATAGGAAACGGAGAGCGTCATCATCATCGGTCTCAAGTGTTTCTTCAGTCTCGTCCCTCGACGATCTGAGTGACGAGGCAGATGATTCAGAAGAAGATGCAGACGACGAGCAAGAACCAGCAGTTCGGGCCCCGTCTTATGGTCGTCGCCGAGACAATAAGGCGGGGCGCCAACCTACAATCAACAAGAGAAGACGTGTCCTGCAAGACAGCAGTGACAGCAGTGACGACAATGACGGCAATGACTCAGATGATAGCTCAGATGATGTGTATGCCGGTGTAGATTACATCACAGATGCTGAAGATGAAGACCAAGACGTCGAGAAGATGGAAGAAATGATAATCGTGGAGTCTGAGAAAACCCACCGGCCTTTGCCCAGCTCTGGATTTGCTGATGATGGGTGGGCTATCAACTCCTTCGACGATCACATGTTCCTACCAGCTGCATCGTTTTTTGATGAGGAACATCTTTACAGTGCTATGGACACCTTTGGAGAGCCTCAGGTGACTAGCGAAGCCGCTGAGACACCAGTCGCCCGCCGAGTTCACTTCGAGGAGCGATCCGATTCGTCCTCTGATAGTGATTCCCACAGTGACGACGACATACCCGGTGATTTCTTGCAGCAAGACAGCTTGGACCCACAGTTGCGTCGTATGATCGAAAACGACAACGAAAATTACCAGAGAAATACCCGCCGGCAATCGGAAGAAATGTTCGGCGACGCCGACTACGGCCATGGAAGCATCTACCATGTCGAGTCTGAAGGATCCTCCGAGGGCAGTTTGAGTGGTTACGAGAGTATGATACTTGGTCATTCGTATTGCATTTCGGTTTTGCTAACCTGTTTGAAAAGGCGACGATGGTGACACCACAGACGAGGATCTCCCCCCACCAGCAACCATCACCCACCCTCGATCCCTTCTTCGCCGGGATTCGTCCGACTCTTTGGCCCCTGTGGATGAGAAGAGTGACTGTATCCCCCGCCGCCGCGGGCCTATCATGGGAACCTTCGTAGCAGATCCCCACAAGCCAGTAGCCTTGGTCGACTGCACTGGCAAGCATCTCGTCATCATTCCCGCGTATGCCTCTTCTCGCCACGACTGGCTAGACTCCGCTGCCAACAGTATGCCTGGAACTGCCAACACCAGCCCTCGCCAGACTACACTTCACTTGGTTGATGAGAGCGATACGGATGCACTCGCCTCACCCAATCAGATTGATTTCAGCCCAATGCTGGCTTCGAGTGCCAACCTCATGATGACCGCCCTCGGCAACGATCTCACCCCGGGAGGCCAGGTCATGGGACCCCCTGAGGCATTCTACCCTTCTCAGGACTTCACCATCGACAGCTCGTTCGAAGAAGACGAAGAAGATGACCCAGAGTCTGCTCTCAACGTCGATGACTTCATTGACTTTGGCAATGGATCCTCCGATGAAGATGAGGACATGGATAAGCAGTTTGATGACGATGCCATGGTCTCCCCGATGGCCGCTACATTTGGCAAGTCCATGGGCACGCCTACCCCCAGCCGCAAGTCCGAGCCGCAGCCAGCAAACAGCGAAGAGCGCTTCCTCAATCACCTAGACAAAGGTATTGTCACCGCCTTCCGTCGCAACCACAACCGCTACCAGGCGCTCCTCCGCCTCCCCCAGCACCGCGAGTTCATGCCCGCAAACTCTCCCGCGCGCCCTGCCAGTGTCTTCCGGCACGCCAAGAACAACGACCAGCGCACTCCCACCCGCAAGCGCAAATCCAGCAGCATTGCAGGTGGCGAGGCTGTGCGACGCAAGCTGATGGATGCTCAGCAACGTCGCTCTCAGCTCCCCATCCCAGCACCTCTCTGAGGTTTCACGATTGCACGACTTTTGGATTTCCACCAAGATCATATGATAACCACGGCCACAATTTATTCTATCTGTTTCTAGTCGCTGGCAGACTCGATATTAGAGTCTTGTGCCTTTGACCCTGTCGACACCGCGTTGAGCACACAGGCTCTTCGCTATTGTCGTATTGCATCTTGCCACCAACGTGTCGTGGAGACGAGTCTACACTTCTAATGATTGAGTTAGAGCATGTTGCGTTAGCTTGCGAAAGATCGATGTTGGTTCTCAGAACCCAAAAGCGATCCATTTTGATATTTGATTATCTTTCCAGTCGTTTATTCTATTTTTTCTTTTTCTTTTCATCATCATGTCATATCTATTGATTGGCCATTTTTCTCCCTCGCCTGTCGCGGGGGCTGGGGATACCTTTGGATTTCTGGAGTTGAAAACTTGCGGGTTTGCTTTTTAACGAGTGATGGCTGATTAAGTTGCTGTTTACATTTACCTTTACCAATATCAAAAACATTCGAAACTATCACACTCTCTCACTGGTAATCATTAATTATTTAAGTCTCATTCATGTAATCGTGAAGCTCTGACCTCATGATATCCAACCCCCACCATCCCCGGACCCACCTAAACCTTATTCCAGTAGATCTCCCAAGGTCCGCAATTGGCTTCATCATCTCTATCCCATAACATTCCCCTTTCTGTCCTAAGTAGTCTTTGATGTCAAGACTAATGAAGCTACTACATCCACCACTGGCACCGAAGGTGAGTTCGTCTACGATCACAAATTTGGAGAGCCGAGCCTAAGAAGGCGAGAGTCTCATGAAGCCCTGCATTATTCATGGATCTAGAACCTCGATCTGCGCGGTATTACCGACAGTCCTCAGTTTCAGCCGCGACTATCACCTCGACATCATGGATCCCACCGAGCCAATTCTCAACTCTTTCAGTTAGAGCACCAGCCGTAGAATCATCAGACTCATGTTCATCTACCTCCTTATCCCAGCCTTTTGCAATCACAACCCATGAGTGCTGATATATTCCCTTTTCATTTGCCGGAAACCCATCTGACCGAAGCCAGCAAAATATGCCCCGAGTAGGATTACTTGATCTCTGATCTGAGTACAGATCATACTCACAATCCTTCGGTAGAGCGGGGAGATCCACAGAAGTAACCACTCGTTCCGGACAAGAGGCACACATAGAGGCAGGCGCAGACGCAGACGCAGACGCAGACGCAGACGCAGACGCAGACGTATAATGGGAACTTGAAAGCAACGAGGCAAACTGCGCCTCTACCCCCGTGTCCTCAATCCTCGACCCATCCCCAAGCTCCCAATCCCAACCCTCATATTCCAAAACATGACATCCACAACACAAATGATCTCGAAGCAGGATATCCGTATCACATACCTTAGTACTACCAAATGGTTTCCACGGCCAGACAGTCACATACCCATGGTTATAGCCTCCATCGGTGGGCGTCGCAAGAAAAAGCAGCCTACACTCATCCTCGCGCTGGACAGATTCTGCATCTTTATCGTAGATACCGGGTGGCTGTGTGACAAACGTAGTTGTTATCCCCATCCACGCCTCGGCTTGAAGTGAAGGTGCCATCCCCTGCATGCAGTGTCTCAAGTATATGCTACTAATCCCCATGATCGCAGCCCCGAGCCAGAGACTGGCTACGCGTGGCTGGTGTGCTGAAAGGCCGTTGAGAAGACGTGGGATGTTGTTTTCTTTCATAATTGGGTCTATTATTGCGAAGGCTGGGTTCATCCACGCGCTGACGAGATTGCAGGGTATGTCTGGGTTGAAGAATGTGCTTTTTATTGCTGGTAGCGTTGTGAACCACTGCGTGCTGCTTAGGGTCATGTAGTATGGGAGGAGTTTTTCGTGTTCGGAGATTAGAGCGGAGATGGATTGGGGGCTTCTCGGGGTTGAGTGGTGCTCGGGGTTCTTGGAGGATCTTGCGATTGGGAGAGTCGGTAGGTCACGGATGAAGATGTCGCGCGTGAAAAATGATGCTGATAGTGCTGCTGTGCATTGTGCGTAGATACGGTGGTGGTTGCAAAAGCGGGTGAGGTATTTGAAGGCTGTTGTTGATGACGGAGGGCTGTAAGTTGTCAACTGGGGATGGATTTCTGGTTTCACTCGCATTGATATTGCCCCGCCCAATGAAACGGACCATGGCGACACGAATTCTTCAGCCTCGTATTCCACCGAGATTTCCCATGCTGGTGTTCCAGAGAGTACAGCGTTCCACCAGACGATCTCGGCTTCGCTTGCCTCTGGAGGTAAATCAACCTCTATCGCCTCCGCTTGAGCTAACTCCTCGGGCTCTTGGCAGATTTTAGACGAGTACTTCATTGAACATTGATGCGTCTCAGAGCGATCGAGCAATTCTGCCCATTTCGCAGATAAGATGTATGCCCAAGCTAAGAACAAAACGGCGATGTGGTTACCCTCATCATAGCCAGTAATACCACACACACCGGGCCACTCTGACAGGGCCACATTCCTGGAGAGCTCTACCTCTTGGGCTTCTGCAACACCTAGCGGAAGCCTCAAAGGTATGACCTTAGGCGGGGTAATGCAATCCGCACCAGCTCTGGATGTCCGCCATCTCACCTGTCCCTTTATTTCAAGATCACCTCGGCTTTTAGCACAAGCAAATGATAATGCTTTGTCTGCGGGAATCAACCCGTCGCCGAGAAACGCAGGCGTGTCTTTGAGAAGGGATTTGAGGTCGATGCACTCCAACGGCAGGCGGGTATCACTAGTGTTGAAATGGGTTGACCACAGCTGATAGCTCGCGCGGAGTGTGTATTCAAAGGCTTCTTTGCTTGGGCGGAGGGCGTCTTCCATGTTTAATGTATATACTTTGAAAGGTTGTTGCGGGGGAGTGAAGTGGGACTAGAACGTGCGGCTCAGTTCGAGGTTCATGCTGTTCACCGCTAGTTGACGCATCATGTATATTTATTTCATTGCAAGGAACATCTGTGATGAACATTGCTTCTGATTTCTAGTTGGACTTTCAAGTAAGCATCCCATGGTGGAATTTGGGATATAAAGTCTTTAGTGTAAGAGGTCAAGTTATATATTCGAAGGTGTCGCATGGGTTTGTCAAGGATTTTCCCACACAGCTAGGGGATAATCTTTAGTCTATCACGGAGAATCCAGTTAATCAACAGTATCTCTGCCGACCAGGCTATCATATTTCAAGGCAGATATGCTCAATTTTGAAAGGAAGGTTGTACTTTTACAACATCTTCCATGGTTGAGTTACATACAACCTGTGGTGTACATGAGTATCAGTTAAAGAAGCCTATGAGTCTTTGACTATCTAGGCTTGGGTACTAAATGGAAGTAAACGCCACCTTTTCCCTGAAGCCCGCTACTCCGTACGGAGTACTCTGTAGACATTTACAATGATGTTCTACCAACCGGATAGTTAATGGCCTGATACAAGTATACGAAGCTAGGGATCCAGTGGCTACAACAAGTAGAATTGAATATGACTAAAAATAACACCATTGAGTTGCTATCGGCTCGCACTTTACCGTAGATACAGTCATGTAGTGACTGGTTATCTACGGAGGTCTACGGAAGTCCTCCGTACTCCGTATAGCAAGAGGTTCTGATCAGGACTATTGAACGCCCTATGTTTGACCTTTTAACCACATGTTTTGTATAAATTATTGAGGGGGGACATATGTTGTATTGCCCCTGATTAAATATAGGGTCCGGAGTAGCTAGACATAATAGGAAGTCCACACCAGTCTTGGCATCGGACGAGCACTGCATATGGCCAAGAAATCAAAAATTCAGCCTGGGCGCAGACGGTTCTCGTGCACTGAATCGCATATGCATAGTGACATTGAGGTAAATAGATTAATAATATTAAGACCTTGAACAAATCAATATAATTGTCTAGACTCCAGCACCTCCAAGGGGGTACAGCGTAGTATTCCCCATGCGGCGCTAAAAATCTCATTCGTGGATATTTTTAGTTGAGCGTTTCACGTTAACCCAGATTTAAGCCTGCAGACAAAGCCATCGTCCGACGCGCCGAGAGATGGAGAGTATTTACATTTCTGATTTCATTTTGAGAAACTAAAAGAAAAACAAAACAAAATTAGAAGATTAATGCGATGGAACATGGTTGAAAGAAACGGAATCTCGGCACTTGCACTCCGTACACCTCGAAGCCAAAGTCACACAACTGTTCTTTGCGGAGTACTCCGTAGAGACTAAGCTAGGGGTACCTGATTCGGGCTTCGATTGGAGAAGTAATAGGAATGGCATACAGAGTATTGCATGTCAAGAGCCAAGAGGAGGAACGCTAATAAACAGCCCTAAAGCTGTCTAGACAGGTTCGTTGGCGCTCGGCTTCTTTAGTGCGATCCACATAATTCAGGAAAAGGGTGAGACCGAGCGTTCAGGTACCCGATTCGACCCTTCAGGGGGTTGCCCCTGGGAACAAAAGAAAGGGAAAAAAAACAGAAATGAAAAAAAAAAAATCGATTTGGTGAGAGAAGCAGTACCGTTGACCCCAAAATAGTACTCCATACCCTTTCTCTGATTCGTCCACTCCGGCGCTTCGAAGGCGCATGAAAGAGCTTGTATTCGAGGAAAATTATGAAGATCAACAATAAGCACATGGTGTCACGCAGAAAGTGGGAGATGGGCGCCAAAGGTGTTTTTGTTTTTCTCACCGGTCGCATTATTCGAATTAAGAGTTGTATTTGGTATTTTGAATCTGTGACACCGAATCAGAATAGTTGGTTTCGGTTTAAGGGTAGTTCAAGCCACTGAAAGATATGGAGATAAAAGACTGAAGTCAAAGAACTGCACGTGGATTCTGGTACCCCCTGTATTCTCTACCTGGACCCTCTACCCTCTCAATTCTCATATGCAGGTTTCCCTGATCAAGCGCCTAATATGCATGCCCTATTTTTATTTTTACTTGACAATATTCATTGGCTGATAGATTAATGTCGACTCATCTCACAGTCACATCCGATGGATGAACTGATGCTAAATGGGATTGGACCCGGGCAAGCGCCTTGGTCAACGCCCCCAGTCTGCAAGCCCTGACTGGCTCTTCTCCACCTTCTGCAGGTCGTTCCTGCACTAATCGGCGCCGAGCTCTAGATGGATCCTAAGCTCGCACTCTTTTCAGCCACTACCGTTTCATCTGTACCTTCACATACCTGCCGATTGGAGAGAGGTTCGCTTTTCTCTGACGAAATGTCTTACTAGGGTCCTTGACGCCAGGCTATTTTGGGTCAGCAGAGAAATGCTTGCTAGCTGCGGCCAAACTCTTTGTCTGCAGAGGTTCATGGCCCTGCATTGGCCGATTGTTTAAAGACCGCGACCCTTCCCAGATCTGGGACTGTTCTCATTCTCGTCATTGTTTGATTTCCTTTTGGCCTTTTGCCTATCTTGGTTCGTCCCCAACCAAAGACGCTCATTCAGGGATACGCATTTCCTTGTCCCACCATCTTTCGTTTGATATTGGTTCAATTTTATTGAGGCTTTTTTGTTATTGTCGCCCATCAACAATACTAATAGAAATTGCTGGCTTTGCTGCCTATACAATTGTGGCTTATATCGCAATATCTAGTGAGGCCTAGCTTTCTATATCGCAGCCTACCTAGCCCGAACCTTTATATCACTTCATTTTTCTTTCTTTCTTTCTTTCATCCATACTTCTCTCTCTCTTTTTTTTCCCTTCCATTCTATCTTCCTCTCACGTCCCACTTTCCTGTCACTCGTTGCCGACATCCTTCCACTATGAAGGTCACTTCGGCTATTGCGTTTTTCTCTCTTCTGGCCTCTGGCCAGGCCACCGGATCGGTATGCCTCAACCCATGTCTTTTTCTTCTTTGATACAAATTCTAACTTGAATCATCTTAGTACTGGGGCTCCGAGAAATCCTACTCCAGCCCGGGTAGATCGTCTAACAAGTGTAACACCCACCAGAGCAAGGGATTCAGCTGGACTGACCTCGCTGCTGGCTCTTTCTCCGAGTATGGTGGCTTTTCCTTCTCCGGTTTCACTTGTGGCAATGGCTTTGGTTCTAGCCTGGGAAAGCGTGGCGTAAGTGATGCGTGTCTATCTTTCATCTGCAGATACTGACAATGACTACAGACCCAGAAATGTATTTCTGGTACCGTCTCCAAGGGTAGCTCCTCTAGCTCCAGTGCTGTCTCCGGCTCCCGAAGCTCCGGTTCTTCGGCTCCATCCTTCGCGTGCGGCTCAGACGAGAGCGGTTTCTCTGTGACCAACTTCCACGTTGCCACTGAGAAGGATACCGAATTGCACATCATCTACAGCATGCCCGATGGATCGACTTGCAAGAACACCGCTTCCTGCAACTCAGCCGGTACTGTGGTCACCAACGACCAGTGTGGTGGTGCTAAGTCCGTTCACTTCGAGCTGCCCGACGATAGTGAACATGAGAGCTGCGGTTTTGGGATCTACAGCGTTGGCTTTGACTGCACTCCTGGTTCCACAACCACTGCTCCTGGTTCCACGACCACTGCCCCTGTTACCAGAGTTCCAGATGAACAAATATCTGGGTCTGCTACCCCCAGCTCTATCGCTGTGCCTTCGGTCTCTGTACCAGGCTCGGTTGTGGTTCCTCCAGTTACCACCTCGGCGGTTAGCACACCTCTTCGGATGACTACATCGACTGTGTTCACCACAAGCTTGATCACTATCACTAGCTGTGCTCCGACTGTCACTGATTGCCCTGCTGGATCAGGATCAACCACTGTGGTGACTTCCACTATCGCTCTTTCCACCACGGTCTGCCCCGTCACGGAGACTGCTCCTGTCCCGGAGACTTCCCCTGCCGCGGAGACTACTCCTGTCGCTACAAGCTCGTCATCCATCCCTGCCATATCTAGCCAAAGCGGTGTTCTACCTGCCAGTTCATCGGCTGGTGTTCCTCCTTCTAGTGGCACATCTGTTCCCGTATCTTCAGTTTCGGCTTCTTCTCCCGTTTCCACTGCTACGAGCGAGACCCCCGCTGGAACGTCCGCCGCCTCGACCCCGCTCATCACTACTCCCGTCCAGATGACTACCTCAACCGTGTACACCACCAGTGAGGTCACCATCACCAGCTGTGCCCCCGATGTTGTTAGCTGCCCCGCAGATTCGACTACAGTAGTGACTTCGACCATCGCTATCTCGACCACTGTGTGTCCCGTCACCGAGACTACTGCTGTTGCTACAAGCTCAGTATCTGTTCCCGTCGTACCCGGCCCGAGCAGTGTTCTCCCTGGTAGCTCATCTGCTGGTGTTCCTCCTTCCAGTGGTACATCTGTTCCCACTTCTTCGACCTCGGCTTCTATTTCAGCTATTACGAGCGAGACACCTTCTGGAACTTCCGCCGCTTCAACCCCGGCGATTACCTCCCCAGTCCGGATGACTACCTCAACTGTGTATACCACCAGCGAGGTCACTATCACCAGCTGTGCCCCTGATGTGGTGAGCTGCCCAGCAGACTCGACTACAGTAGTGACTTCGACCATCGCTATCTCGACTACTGTATGTCCCGTCACTGAGACAACCCCAGTTGATGTCGGCTCCACACCTGTACCTACCGGAACAAGCCCAACCGGCGTCTTGCCCGTTAGCTCGCCAGCTGGATCATCTACCCCCAGTGGCACTTCCGCTGCTTCAACCCCGGCAATCACCACTCCAGTCCAGATGACCACCTCCACTGTGTACACCACCAGTGAGGTTACCATCACCAGCTGTGCCCCCGATGTTGTCAGCTGCCCAGCGGATTCGACCACGGTTGTGACTTCGACTATCCCTATTTCGACCACTGTGTGTCCCGTCACTGAGACTACCACAGCGGATGTCGGCTCCACACCTGTGCCTACAGGCACAAGCCCAACCGGCGTCTTGCCCGTTAGCTCCCCGGCTAGCTCATCTCCCCCCAGTGACACCTCAGCAGTTTCTACGTCGGTTGGGACCTCCTCGGCTCCTGGCGTGACCTCTGATGTGTCGTCCCCTGCACCTTCGTCTCCTGCTGGCACTACCCCCGCCCCTGGCGAGGCCACCACCACTGTCGTTACTTATGAGACTGTGACCACTTGCCCGGTGACCAACACCGTTACCTCCGGTAGCTCTACTTTCGTGACTACCTCAAGCACCATTTCAACCGTCACTTTGACTACTGTCTCTACTATTTGCACTGAGTGCTCCGCTACCGCTACCGCTACCTCTGTTTCTGGTCAAAGCACAGTTGCTTCCTCTGGTACTCCTGAGGGATCAAGCCCTGTCTCTTCTTCATCTGCAGAGGCTTCCAGTCCCCTCCCCAGCGGCCCCGATGTCACTAGCTTGGTCCCATCCAGCGTGGGCGCTGTTACCACACCCGCGATTCCCCAAGAGTCGACTGCCACGGTTGTAACTTATGTCACCGAGACTACCTCTCCTGTGACTGCCACTATCACTTCTGGATCGTCGACTTTCGTCACTACATCCAGCGCAGTTTCAACTGTGACCTTGACCTCCACTTCTAACCTTCCTAGCTCTGTTGCGGCTGGAAGCACTCCCGCTCCCTCTGAAACCGGCGTCGCCTCTACCACTGCTCCTACGGGCCCCGTTGTCTCCATTATTGGCTCATCTAGCGTCGGCGTGAGCTCTACACCCACTATTCCCGAGGGTGCCACTACCACCGTTGTGACTTACGTGACCGAGACAACCTGTCCTGTGACTGCCACTATCACGTCTGGATCGTCAACTTTCGTCACGACATCCAGCACAGTGTCAACTGTTACCTTGACCTCCACTTCTAATCTTCCTAGCTCTGTCGCTGCCGGAAGCACTCCTGCTCCCTCTGAAACAGGCGTCGCCCCCACCACTGCTCCCACGGGTCCCGCTATCACCAGTGTCGTCGTATCTAGCATTGGTGTCAGCTCTACGTCCACTATTCCCGAGGGTGCTACCACCACCGTTGTGACTTATGTGACCGAGACTACCTGTCCTGTAACCAACACCGTCACTTCTGGTTCTTCCACATTTGTGACCACATCCAACACAATCTCTACAGTGACCCTCACCTCCGTCTCAACTATCTGCACCCAATGCGCCGCTACTGCTACTGCTGCCACCGAGACTCATTCTTATTCGACAGCCAGTAACACCGGGGCAGTCCCCAGCGGTGTCTCCCCTGTATCGAGCCCAGCTCCCTCGGCTCCCTGCCCCAATACCGTGCCCCAGTGCATCAACACTTGGCTCACCCTCGCTCCCAAGTGCACATCCAACAGCGATGCCTCCTGCTTCTGCCCCAACAGCGAGTTCACCAGTAAAGTCATCTCCTGCATTCAAGCCTGGGGCGCCTCCAAGGCAGAGATCCAATCTGCCCTCTCCTACTTCACCGGTATCTGCGCCACCTGGGTCCCCCAGAACCCAGGCATCGTAACCGCCATCCCCTCAACCATCACCCTCATTCCGACAGTCGCTCCTTCCGCACCTTCATCCAGCGTCTCTGGCGCCGGTGTCACAGCCACCGCCGTCATCCCCATCACCTCCGCCCCCACTCCCCCCTGCACTACAATCACCTACTCGACCTACACTGTCACTGTCCCGCAGGTCAGCTTCATCACAAACACCGGCACCAGCTCAGGCGCCGCGCCAACCATCGGTCTGGTCCCAGCTGGTCCCAGCGGCGCCTCCCCAGCACACAGCGGCAGTGTTCCCCGTCCCGCATCGGCGACCTGGTTGACCTCAAGCGGGTACCCGTCCGCCAGTCGAAGCGCTAGTGGAATTACCTCGCCCAGCGCATCCGCATCCCCGGTCTTCAACTCGGCCTCGAGCTTGTCGGTCGCTTCCAGTCTGGTGCTGGTTTCTATCGCTGCTCTCTTCAGCTTGATGATGTAGACAGCAAACTAAACCACGACTCACTCGTGGATTTTCCTTTTCTTATCTCTTGTTACTACAAATATGCACAGTGCGGATTCATTTCGTGTTTTTACTTCGTGCTTGTCTTCGCGGCCCTTGAGTGGTTCGTCCTAGTTCCGAGGTGAACTATTGGCTGGGAATTGACTCTGATCGTCAGTCCTATGGGGACTTCTTTGTATTTTATCTATTCACTCCCTAATTCAACGCGATAGACCTCGCCTTTTTCCTAAGAAATTCTCGCTCGGTTAATTTCCGCTCTAAATAGTTTCCTTCGACTCTTATTATGTAGACTCTTTGACTATAACGATGAAAACTAGTAGTTATGCATTGGATAATGTATGTAATATCGTTCTTCAGAATACCGATTCGACAGTAATTGACATTGATGCGACAACTATCGGTCAGGGCTTTGATATCTAATGCGTGCATCAAATAAATCGATGGTGTCTAAGAAGACACAAAGTCATCGAAAGGGATATATAAGGGATCTCAGTATAAGTAAGGGGTATCTGAAACCCAAGTGAAGATGAGATGTTAGTAGGGATAGACCTGGATAGAATATACAGAGAAATAACCTGGGTTGGTATGATAAATCCAGGATATGTATATAGGATAAAGTAAAAGAGGAGGTCCGAGTTGATTGATCAAGGAAAGAGAATACAAGAGAAAGATTGAAAAGGAGGATGTTTATATAGACAAGGATCTGTGTATTAGCAAACACCACAAACAAAGAATTGTAGACAAGGAAAGAACCTGATATTGCCTTCGTCAAATAGGATTGTCCAGAACTAACACTTCTTAGAAGGACCATTATGTTCAGATTAAGGAAGTCTTTCATATTGCCAGGCATATCAACATTTCGCCGAAGGAGATTGGCGACAATTTACCTAAACACTCAACGACTACTGTATATGAGATTGTGGTTGAAAATCTCTGTTTCATTTTCCATTGTCTATGGAAATTCTGACTACCTAGCTTGTCTTGACATGGAGAGCCTGTTCAACAATCCAGGCATGAACACAGGAGGTTGACCATTTCAATTTTCTTTTGTCATTTTGTCGGATCATTTTCAAGTTTTTTTTTCTTCTCTCGTGTTCAATCCTTGTTTGATGTTCATAAGTATGTTTGGTGTACCCAAATATGAAGAGATTTTGTAAACAAAAACAAATGACGGCCCCTTGTCCCTTCAAAGGATAAAGTCTTTCGTCATAGAATGAAAGCTTGACCTTCTCGCAGGCACCAGAGGTGCTAGTTGTAATCATGTTCATAATGATTAGCGGGCCAGACCCTCGGGGCTTTCAAGCCACTCCATGTAATCCTTAATCCCCTCCTTGATGCCACGGAAACGCAGCACAGAGCCGGCCCGACGCAGCTTCGAGATATTGGCACAGGTGTAGCTCTGATATTTTCCTTTCAATTCGGTAGGGAAGGGAATAAACTTGATGTATCCCTCTGGATTGCCGAAATGGCTGGCAACTTCGGTAGCGATATCATGGAAGCTACTAGCAATACCAGTGCCGACATTGTAAATCCCACTGATCTCTGGGTGGTCCAGGAACCAACAGTTTAGACGGGCGACGTCCTGAACGTGAACGAAATCGCGCTTCTGCTGTCCCGCCTCGACCCCACCGTATTCCCCAAAGAGCTCAATGGCTTTGAACGACGTGCGTTTTTCGTAAAATTGATAGACGGTGCTGGGGATTGTATCAAGGTTCTGCTCTCCAGGTCCATAGACGTTGAACAGACGGAGTCCCGCAACTTGTGGCGAGCGCATGTCGGTGTTCTTGACGACATACTGATCAAACAGCATCTTTGAGTATCCATAGACATTCAGAGGGGCTTCTTGGAAGTCTCCCTCGACGAAAGAAGTGTTGTTTCCATAAACAGCAGCGGATGAGGCGTAGATGAAGCGAACTCCCTGGTCCTTGCACCAATGGAAGAGCTCCTTGGAGTAGGTGAAGTTGGCGTCGAGCATTTTCTTGCCGTTGGTCTCGGTGATGGAAGAACTTGCGCCATAGTGGAAGATGACGCGGGGTCGATGATGGAAGGTTTTGGTCCGAATCGCTTCACGGAAGGCAGTGGCATCGATATAATCAGCCACTTTGCAGTTGACCAGGTTGCAGAACTTGGATCCATCAGTCATGTCGTCAACAACCACGACATTGGTGACGCCACGGCTGTTCAACTCCTTGACGATGTTCGAACCGACGAAGCCGGCGCCACCGGTGACAACAATCATATTGTAAGATTCAGTTTGAAATGGAAAAGGTGATAATCATGGCTGGGGGGGAAAGGAAGAGGAAGTTCAGAGTAGTGACTGGGGGAATGTCCCCAAAGGAGAAGGAGCGACCAAGTGACATCCATCTGATGTTCAGGTGTTTGCCGGTGAACTGGGGAGAAAGGAAGGCTCAATGGTGTTCTATACATGACATTATAGGCTTTACCTGAAGCCCTTGCCCTATATTCGTATACGCAGTACTCCGTAGAATAAGGCTACATGAGAATAGTAAGAAACACTAAGTAAATTAATTTCACATTAATTTATTATTCAGGTACCTCAAAGCTTGGCTTTGTTTGACATTAATAAATTATAAACAACAACAAAACTTCTTCCTTGTCCCTTCTAGAAAAGTTCGATCTAGAACAAAAACACGGGGAAATATCGGCATCCGATCCCGATGGTAAATATCATGGGCACATCTATGTTGTAGGGGGTACGGCATCTCGCCTTCCAAGGTTGTTAAGTCCACCCGGAGCCACATCATCAATCTATTAGACGACACGCACAATTAAACATTTTCGGCTTTACAGGCCTCATTGGTACGATCTTGCAAAAACAGAGATATCAACCATTCAGAAACGAATGTTTCAATTTCCACAGTGGGCATGTCCACTCATCTCCAAAACGCCATGTGGCACTGCGCTTGGCTCATAAACGGGCTCAAGCCCGATGGAACTCCGATAGTTCAATCTAAAAACTGAAAGCGACCCATCGTTCATATGACCCAACCCGTGCAACTATCAGCCGCGTTAGCCATTCATTAAGTTCCCATCCTCTCAACACTTAGGTATGTTGTAAGCCAAGAATTCCCCCGCCCAAAATTGGTCCAAGGACTACTGCATAATCCTTTCCCGATAGTCTAGATTAGGGCGACAAGAAAATGAGATTGTGGGGGCGAGAAACGGTGGAGGCTGACGGGGGTCGTGCTTCATTCCGGTTCCTGACGGTTCCTTACGGGGGGGCTATCTACAACGGCGCTTGTCAATGCCATTATCGAGCGCCACCTTACGAATCATCTTCGGACAGATCCCGGCCTTTGAAGAAAATATAAATATATTGCCAAATGTTGGAGATAGGTACACGGAGAAATAGGGATCTGTCTCTCCGCAACGGATGCAATAGAGTACATACCCGTATACAACCATGCATATGGATGAATCGAGTTTTAAGCAAAGGGTATACAATTATTGGACTTCTCCTTGCTATTTTACCGCATTTGCCACAATAAGAAGGAATAAAGTACAATAGATCTACTGTAGTGCATATGACAGTCGACATGCGATCATGGCTTATCTCCTTAGTAAAGATAAGCCCAAAGCCCTAGATTGGCTACCAATGAGTTTAAGACATTTCTACTTGTAACAACCTTGGAAGTTACATGTCAATGCCCCTACCTAGGTAATACTCCGTACCCCGTACCTATGTATTCCGTACTTTATGGAAAGTCAACTCTAAACTGGAACTACCTTAAGATTCTCTAAGCTATTGAACATTGCCCTCCTTGCCGTCAAGATAAGCCCCCCACCAGTAACCGTCCATTATTTCTTGGTCCTTTCTACACTGGAAGGTGGAGACATGGACATTGACAGCCGCATTGTCCAGAGTAACATGGTTCATTATATTAAAACTCGGCTCTCCCAGCTATGTTTAATCTGCCAAAGCTTTCTGCAGGTCATGCCAGTATGTCTCAGTTCGAACACACCTCACTATGGTGGCCCGAAGACCGCATCAAATCTACTCTCGACGCAAAATATATCGTCAGTCGTCTGCGACAAGAGAATATCCCCCGTCTCTTTGAACTACCGGACTGGGGCGAAGGGTTGACCAGCGAAACATACATGGAATGGATCCTCACAAAGGCCGGCCGTGTTTTTATGATCCTTGATGCTATCGGCATTCCGGATCGGATTTTCGCGCTAGTCGACGAATCCTGCGACGATGATGATCTACCCGTCGCGGAGCATAGCGTCGATTTACTACACTTATCCCCAGACGGGGAAGATCTCGCCCTCGAGACGAGTTTCTTTCATGCACAATGGCGCTTCCTGGTTCGTGGTATAGCGGAGGGAGACCATGTCGTCTATACTGAAAATGAGGGTGTTCCGGTCGAAGCCGTACGCACCAATACCAGCAGCGGGATACACGGGCGTGATGATACGGTAGACAGGGTAGTCCTCGCCGGCTCAGTCTGTCGAGTCTACATGCGAACGCAAGTGCAAGTCGGCGGCGCACCACATTTCTTCTCATCTGACGAGGTTATCACTGAGATCCGCAATCTGAAAAGACTGTCGCACGAGCATATCGTCTCCGTCTTTGCGTCGTACCTCAAGGACGACAGCGTCTCGGTGCTTTTCACCGGCGCCACAGCAGATCGAAACCTACACAGTTTCTTGACAGACGAACCTATGTCCTTCAAACGACTAGAAAAAGAGCAACGTCGTCAGACCTTGATTACATGGCCCCACTGCCTTGCATCTGCAGTCTGCTGGCTGCATGCACGCGGCCACTCCCACGGCGCCATCCGCCCTTCCAACATCTTCATCGATGCAAACTTCCACATCTGCCTCGGTCAATTTCAAGCACTCGACTCCCTCCTCACCCCACCACATGTCAATGACCTCGAAGCATACAATTACTCCGCCCCAGAGCGCTGGACTCGTCCCGCAGCTCCGATCATCCAACAAAAGCCCGCACAGCCCTCCCAAACTCTCCTCCAATCGGGAGGACGTACAAAGCGCAGACAACGACCAGCGCGTCTAGCTCTAGCCCCATTAAACGAAAGCCCATCTGCATCTCCAGACAACACAAGACCAAACTCAGCGGCCTCAAAAGGGACAGTGGTCCGCCTCGGCCGAACAAGTTCCCCATCACGATTCTCCCTCGCCTTCTCATCCTCCTCTTCATCCTCCGAGGCCTCCTCAGCAGCCTCATCCACCCACACAGACGCAACAGCAACATCACCACAACCAATGAAACAACGCATCTCATCCTTCTGGTCGCGAAGAACAAAGAATACCCCCTCAGCCCCATCAATAATCTCAACATCCACATCCTCCTCCTCAAATACATCAACCTTAACATCCCCAAATCCCCATACCTCCCCTTCATCAACCCTCTTCCCAATCCCACCTTCCTCCCTCCGCCACTCCAAATCCGCACATTCCCTCACATCGTCCTACAAAAGACCCATACCATCTTCCTCCTTTGAACCACCGGCAGATCCCCACAACCCAGCAGACATATTCTCGCTCGCAGCAATAACCCTCGACATCCTCACAGTCCTGCACAAAAGAACCCTCACATCCTTCAGCACGCACCGCAGCGCGCGGAACAGGTCCGCAGGTCGCGGCGGCGGGATAGCAGATGCGTCCTTCCATCTTGCTAAAAATGGCGTGCAGGTTCAATCATGGATTGCGTTATTAGAGGGCGATGCCTTGAAACGTTGTCGACGGGATCGACGCTCCGATCGTGCTTTCTGGGCTGTGCCGAAGATGTTGATTGTTGTTCGTTCCATGCTCGATTTCGAGGGTGGGAATAGACCGCTTGCGAAACGTGTTAGACGGGGTTTTGGGGATGCTATTACCAAAGGACGGGGTGGGGGGGATAAAGATGGGATGGGGGTTTTGCATTGTGTTAAGGAGAAAAGGGAGAAAGAGGAGGAGAAGAAGAAGAAGAAGAAGAAGGAGTGGGGACGGAAGGGGAATGGAGGGTTGGAGGTTATTCGGGAGATGGGGACTGGGAGAAGTGCTCTTTCGAGGAGTGCTGTTTCTCTTGCTTCTTCTGTTCCGTTGGGAGTTTCTGAGGGGTCGATCTGCGGATCGGTTTCGGAGTTCGATTTTGGGTTTGGAGATGCTGGGAGTGAGAGTGAGAGCAACGTTGAGGAGGGGGATTTTGTTGATTTTGATATTGAGGAAGAAGATCTTTCGGAGTTTGAAGAGCCGGAGATACGAGTGGAAAAGGTCTCGCCTCAGCTGTATTTGCCAGAGTTGGATATGAACATTACTGGGATAGAAGGGTTGACGTTTAATAAGTAGACAGAGATGTATGATAATGTCTTGATGGTCCAATGACCGGGTTCTTTCTTTATTCAGCAACTAATAATTCGTTTCTTGTGTACACTTCATGCTTCGTGAAAGACAGACCTGGGATAACATAACCTGTATGCAAACACAGCACGCCGACTCCAATATATGATGCAGTGGCTCGGCTGAACTCGTCTATCCCAAATTCGTGATGCTATCAATACAATGGCTTGAGCCACAATAGTCAACGGTCGAGTAAGAAGAAAACAACGAAATCAAAGCCAGATGGCAACGACGCCCAGTAGACCAGACAGCACCAAGGATCCAACGAGCAGGCGCTCAGTAGCTGGCGAGCCGACGGTCACCGCGGGAGCAGCGCCTTCCTTTGTTGCCGATGCAGAAGAGGATCCGCTTGAATTGACCTTGGTAGCCTTGCTGTTCGTACCGGTCGCTGTGGAATCAGATCCCTTCTTAAAGGTCTGTCCCAAGGTAGGAAGCGGCGAGCTTGGGTCAACTGCCCATCCACCAGAGGTCGAGGCAGGGCACTCGATGGCGGTCAGGCTGGATGCGCTCTTGCGGTAGGCGGAAAGGGCAACTCCGGTCGGGTGCAGAGTAGCCCACTGAGACTTGAGGTTGTTGAAATCAGGCGACACGGGCGTCGGTGTGCCCTTGCGGGTGTAGCCGTCCTCAATGCTGCTCGCGGTCGCAGTCGCCGCGTCGACAGAAGGTCCGTAGCTAATCAAACCATAGTCGTTGGTCTCCTCAATCCACTCGTAGATGATGGATCCAGACCAAGTATCAGACATGTGATCACCAAAGATGGCAGCCTGGTCCTCAAAGGTACGGGGCGAGGGGGTGTTGCAGCCAGTCTCGGAGAAGAAGATAGGGATGGGGTAGTCAGTCGCGTTCTTCTGCAGACTACTGTATCCAGACTGCTCATAGCTGGACGCACCACACCACTCGTAGGCGTTCAGCGAGTAAAAGTCCAAGCGTTCGGATGCATTCTTGGAACAGGCCATGTAATTTTGCAGCATAGGTCTCAGATCGGCGATATCGGCTGCAGAGTAACCAACGGGAATCTTGCGATAGCCCTTCTTATCACGGTAGGCCTTGATGTCGCGAGCAGCTGCCAAGACATAGGGGGCAGCAGCCGAGCCATCGGCCGTGGTAAGTACCTCATTTCCGACCAAGACGCCAGCAGTGTTGTCGAACTTTTGAAATTCATCAAGTACCTCCTTGAAGTGATCAAACTGGGTCTGATTCCAGTGAGGCTCGGTCTGCGATCGTCAGCCGATGATCCACATGAGGAGAAAGTGGACCTACCTGTTCAATCTGGGTATTGAAAGTGTCCAAATCGACGAACAAGTGGATTCCTAGACAACGCTTGAGTATGCGTAATTACCCTAGGAAGTGGAATCAATCATACCAGCATCGGCGAGCGCCGACATACAGCCCTTGTGATCAGCATGAGGATCCACGTGGTACACACGGATCGCATTGGTGCCCAGCTCGGACATCCGGGCGATATCACGCTTACATTGGGCAGTATCGACAAGCGGGTCACTTGGGGTAAGCTGATAAGCAATGCCTACTCGAGTCAGTCTGGCAATATACCTACAGTGTAGGATTTTGAGGTACCCTTGATGTAGAACTGGGTTCCATTCTCGTAGAAGAACTTGGAGCCGACAGCCGAAATGGGCGAGATTGCGCCCACTGTCGTAGCCTGTAGGCCAGCAAGTAGCAATGGCACCGAAAATGCCAGTGATGACAACATGATTAATTCTGTGAGAATAACAGTGAAATAAAGGATGCGATCAAATAGCAATGGCCTGAAGAGAAAAGGAAAAGAAAGTCTCTCAACTCTTAGTGTTGACGCTCTTGCCCGGACAACGAAGGAATCAGGGCAAGTACAAACAAAAAAAAAAAGTTTACAAATTCAACGATTTTAAGGGGAACTTCCAAGGTTAACATGAAATACGTGAAACCTGGAAATAACACGGCAGTTCCTTGATTTGGAACTGTAGCAACCAAATTATCTGCAGGGTGTTTCCAACTAGCGTACTTCATTCCTAGCTTCATTTCCGACATTCCAGATAGTATTTCGTTTAGGTTTGAACTAAGCTTCAAGGTATCAAGGTACCAAGGTGATAACCTTGGAAGGGTATTAGAGTACACAATGTATACAACATATGTTATATGTTGTACTCCATATAACCGAAGTAGTTATGGGCTTAAATATTTGTTGATTATTTGACTGTACCTGGCCCGGTAGCCGTTGGGGCCTAGCCCTAATTCCCCATACAGATATCACACACGGAAACGGAGTATGGAGTACAACATATGGAGTACTCCGTAAGTAAATCTAGATTATGGAGTATTCCATGCATAGATACTTAAGTAGAAGATGTGCAGTTTCTAGTAAATATTCAAAATATTCAAATATTCAAAATTAACAAGTTCTAGGAGTCTGAAAAATCATCCAATATTGTTTGTATTGCCCCCTAACCCGGAAAACACCGAGTTCCACAACACACCTCGCCCCTATACTATAAATACTATCAAATACCACTATTATGTTGTACTCTTACCTTGGGCGGCTTGAGACATGTTTACGATATAAAAGCTATTTATTGTCGCTATTATGACTGTGCCACGATGTCGGACAAGTATTCCCCCCAATCTTAAACCCTGTCAATCACTGCTATTCTGGACTTGACCCTTATATCCACTCTTACTGGACATGGGAAAGATAGTCCTACCTTCAAAACCTGAACTGTAAAACTTAGCAGCTCATCGGCAGGTTATTTGATTTATTTTTATTTTTCTTTTTCTTGCAAAGAAAGTATGTAGTTATCTTCTTTGTTCACGGGGTGCGTTGGGCACATATCAGGCTAGAAAGAAATCAAGGATACGGAGTAGTTTGGACCCCTAATGCATATAACTTTTGAATATCTCACTAGCAGTAACCTAGCAGCGCCAACACGATCCTGGAAAAGTCTTTTTAAATTCCAGACTGCCACGTTACCCCACTGGGCGGCTTTCGGCGGTCACCACAGAGGGCTAGAACGAGGTCCTTGCGAGATAAGGAGGTGAGGTACTATGGCGAATATCTTGATATTGATGGCAGATGGTGGTGTAAAAAGGCCGTATAACATAGGTAGCAGGAATAACGTCGTATATATCTAATATCTATGTAATTGGCGCAGGCATGTTACCTCAAATAAAGATCTATAAACATCCCTAACATCCTTGGATGTGCGACAGTCCAGACTTGTATCCAATCTCCACTCCTCCACTTCATTCCGACATGTCCACCAATTATCGTCACCACACGCAGTGTGTTCGTCAGCTAGTGGATCCCTCCATTGGGATCGTCTGGGCTTTCCATTGGACTTGTCACCAAAAACGGGAGAGTCTGTAAATGACGTTTCCGCAAAGGGGGGGGAGAGCAACACCACCATATAATATCCAGCCCGCATCCGGTCTGAGATTATTTTCACTAATGGACTACTTCAACTCAGCCCTATCCTGTACCTGGTTTTATCGATTTCTCGACATGGTTCTATAATAGCCCCTATACTATTATACCCGATCACACGATCCACAAAAAAAAATACCCGAGATACATACAATTCGACATATCATCCACAATGGCATCTCCGTTCCACATCTCTCGGCACGAACAGGTCGAGCTAGAGCGCAATGAAGCCTTCCGAGTAATGCGCGAACAATTACGTCGCCAAGAATGCGGTATGGAGCGACCGAGTTTCTGCGCAGGCCACCGACACTCCTGCACCTCCACCGAACAAGAAACCTTCCGCCTCCACCGCGACATCATCCACACCCTTCTCGTCCCGCTCTTCCTAATCAACCACCAAGCCGAGCGCATTGCAGCACGCACCCTCCCGAGCCAGAAAGGCGCCGAGCCCGAACGCGCATTCCGCGGTGAAGCCCGCAGCGCCTTCGCCTGGCTGAACTGCATCCTCACCGAAGAACACGACTGGTACCTTACAGCCCGCTGCCCAGCCTGCATCGTCCAGCACGTGCTGCACTCGGAGCCGACCATCCGATTCGTCGCGGTCGCCTCGCAGCTCGCAGGTCCACGTTCCGGATTCCAGTGCTGGCTGAACGCCCTCGAGACCGCCGTCTGCGAAGATCCCTTCTGGGGCGATGCCTTCTGGCCGGATATTGAGGAGCGCGCCTCTCGTCTGACTGACGGCGTGCAAGAGCTCGTTCGCCAGTGCTATGAGCTCAGCGCGACGCTCGACAACCCGGCTCGGGTTAGCCCGTCTCTCGCCAAGACTCCCATGCCTGTCTACGGCAGTCGCTCCGCCTCCTGCACAATCCCCCTGAAGCCATCTAGTTTCGCGCGGAAACAGGTCCGTCTGACGCGGGAGGAGCAGAGATACCGCTCCTCGCTTTTGTGGAATTGCTCGCAGGAGATGACACAGCCGCTGGCCGGCTGCACTACTGCGACCCAGTCGCGGCGCCGGTCGCTGACCTCATGAAGGAGATATGTTGGGCTATGGTGGCGACTCCCACCATATGCATGTTTTTTTCAACTCTCAATCAACCGGTCTCTCAACCAACCGGTTACTTTACACACACCACCGACCGGGACTGTTTCCCAGAATCAGCCCTTCTTTGCCGATTGAAACCATTCGGGGTTCTACAAAGGTATCTACAGACCTTGGGAATCTACGTTGTACAGAGAACCCTATCGGGGATTTCGCGGATGTTTAATTCCCCGATTTCATGGGACACATGGTACTCCCCCAGTGTACCACGCGACCGAGACCAAATTCTCGATATGCAAGGGTCTCCGCGGATCTGGAGTCCGCTGTGATGATGCAATCAGACCCAGACCCGTGGATGATCAAAGTATCCATCTCCTCGGGTCGATGGAGATACTCCAGGGTTAGAATCGGTCGGTCTCTATGGCCGACGGGAATGATGTGATTTGTTGATCATGTCGGATTATAGTGATTATTTTGACAGTATGATAGTAAAATTTAAATCATAATCTACTTTTTTTCTCTTTCCATGGTTCCTATCAAGTAACGCGAATGCATGTAATATCAGTTGACGTGTACTCTTCTATTTGACTCTCGTATATATTAACCATAAAGTAACCGACTCCACATCGCATGTCAAATAAATTTTAAATTGCTACTTTGTATGATCCTGACGGAATACAACATATCTGGCACTCCAGAATTAATCTAATGTCGTGGCAAGACACTTTACGTGAGACGGTGGAGCAAGCCGGAGATGGGAACAGGGAAGTGAACCAGATCGAGGCGCACGGTGGAAATTAAAAACGGTCCCAATGTCGCTCAGACGATCGGGCTAGATCTGAATCTGGATATATGGGGTTGCCTGTCAGAGTGCCACTCAGATTCCAGAATTCTAAGATTCCAGGGTCTTGGGAATGCGAACTTGCTGCGAACTAGACATTGCATAAAACTTAGACTCAAGTATATATATGCTTAGAACTAAGACCTACAATATATAGAGATATACCCCGTATATAGAGAGAGAGAGATATATATATAGGTATATTGTAGCCTGTATGTGGTATGCGTTGGCAACGAGTATATGCCGATGCCCAACCCCTCTCCGGAAACGGAAGGAACTACATTCGTATGCGTATACCTCTCTAAGTACTCAGTACCTCATCCAGGCCCACGCTCCACATGCATTCTATGGTACTGGCGACTTGTGAAACCAAAGGCTTAGGCCGCATTAGGGAGGGGAGGGGGGCCGATATGTAAAACCATAATAGGGTAATCTTATGCTCGAGTCTGGTTCGGGTAATGAGGAATTCATTTAAGTATACTCAGATATATTTCAATAAGATTCAAATCCATTTTTTTTCTAAAGTGTATTCTGGTCTCAACTTGCACCCGAAAATGATCGTCGGCCCCGTGGAGCCAAGACGAAAGCCCATGGGTCGTTCTAGACTGACTTTCATTTTATACACACATTTCACAATTTATGTCCTCCGTAGACTTGTATCATTATAGGTCTATATAATTTAGTATTTTAGTTCTATCAGATTAATTTAAATTTAAATAGTTATACTCCATAGATAAATTATATATCCCTTACATCAAAAAAAAAAAAAGAGAAAAAGAAAAAGAAAAAGAAGGTAAAAAGGTGGAAACCGATGACTACATGACTTGGAAGGTCTAGACTGTCCTGACTTGAAGAGTCTGGCCCCAACCCTTGCCCCAGTGAGTGCCCAGTTAGTACCCGGTACATGGTCTAGTACCCTGCAGCCCATACTATGCTGAAGTACCCAATACCCACTCTGCCCTTCCCGTCAATTTCCATTCGATTCACGCCCTCTTTTGCTTCTTCTTCTTCTCTCATCCCTTCTTCTTTTCCCCTCCAAATATTCAATCATCCCCCCCCCCTCTCAACCTCTTCCTTTAACGTCGGCTCTTCATACCAACTTCCAAATTCCCATCTTACGCTTGGACCCGATCATCATCTTTCGATCATCTTCCGATCATCTTCCGACCATCTGTTGTGACGGATGATTCATGACGGCTGTCATCTCTTTCCGTCAGTTGGATAAAACAGACTGGATGACATCCTCATGCAGTGGACAGTACTGGCCTGTCACTCACACTCCTGACGATCACACCATGCATGTCCCACCAACAGTGAAACTTGACACCAGAGACCATCTCCCCCAGAACTCAGATACACAGGAAACCATCAACCCCGCTAGGATTCGCCGACGGGCTTCGCAAGGATCCCTCCGAACCAGACCGTCCCCGGTATCCCGCTTTCTCTCCAAGAGCAGCGTTGCCGTGAACTTCCCATCGTGGGATCAACGTGCCTCGCCCGGTTCGCCTGGTTCGCCTGGTTCGCCCTACCGTATAGAGTCTCGGACTCGGTCGGTCGATTCTCGTCTTCGTCTTTCAACCACTGTGTCTCGCGGGCCGAGGCCTTTGGCTGCTTCCCCGTCTTGGAACTCTCATTATCAGTCCGAATACCCCGCCACATTACCCCCCACGCCGCCAGAGGAGGACATCCACGTTGCGTGGAACCCAAAGTCCGAGATGATGTTGTTCGACACACACTCCCACCCGGGATCCATGGCTATGATGGATGACACTCCGAGTGTGGAAAATTCCTCTGCGACCGGTGCTTCGGATACACTCAGCAGCCCATCCGATGGGCTTTCTCATAGGTCCTCCAGCTCTGGAGGCAGCCCTGGGCCCCACGATGACATGGATTGCCAGCAGGACATTGGCTCATGGCTGGATCATGGAATCGACTTGACTGGTAAGCTTTCCACACATCCGTGCTCCCAGGCCAATTACTAACCCTTTCCAGCTTCATCACTTGCCCTCTGCAAGACACGAAGCGAGGCCGTCAAAATCGTTTCCCAGACCCTCCCATATCCCAGAACATCCGATCAGGCGGCATCCGTACCAAAAACAGACAGTGTTTTTTCCTCCATCGTGCAGGCCGTCCACAACCACTTGCAACCTGGCCAGTCACCCTATATCAATGTCACCCACGCAGTACCGGAGCAATTCAGCCTCTCGAATTTGCCTCACTCTCCTCCCAGCACTCCTCGTTCTCCGACTGCTGCCGAGGATTACTTTAACGCGACGGTTTTTTCCAGTGCAGCAGTTGTAGGTGCTTACCATGACTACCGTGGACCTCTCCAACGGCAAATGTCCCACGCCCCGATGCCTATTGTCCCTCCTCGCAGCGTCCACATCTCGGTGCTCGAGCGCTATCTCCCCCCAACCTCCGCTCAAGAGTACCGTGATCTGTTTTGCCGTACTCGTCCATCTTTCCTCGTTGATCGTATGAGCGAGCTATCGCCTAATGGCGGCTCTCTCCTCTTTGTATACCCGACCAAGAAAGGTGCATCCACCTTCAAGTCCCAGTACCTGGGCCCCATCCTCGACCCACTTCTCCGACAACTCGTTGTGGTGAATGAGTTGTCCGCAGACGTGGGCCGCTACCTCGGCAAGCTCTCCTCCGTCTCCCAAATGGACGACTTCGCCACCATGAAGGCGAACATCGTGGCACTCTGCGAATCCTTGAGCGACAACGATTCCTCCTCCCGATTCCACGTGGCCGATGCAGGCCGCGGAGACACCCACCTCGACCGCAGCCTCTGGGCCGAATGGTTCATCCACCAGGAGAAAGCCCGCATGAAGGAAGTCCTCAGTCTGTACTGGCAAAACGGCCGTCGCTCATCTAAGAGCGCAAGCTCCGGAGGCTCCGGCATGATGGGCAACAAGGAAGTCACATCTTCCGGTCTCCTGAGTGAAATCTGCGATGGCATCCGCAAGCGGCGCTATTGCGAAGACAATGAGCCTCGCGATGGTATCGAGCTTGGTGTCTTTGTGATTCGTCGAACGAATTAGATCATTGCAGCATTGCTAGATCTCTTTTTTTCTTGCTCTTCCTTGCTCTCCCTCGCTCTTCGAATCCTCACCCCCTTTTAATTCTTCCACCACCCCCTCTTCCGCAATAGCATATTTTAACAAACGGCCTTGACAAAAGATGACATGGGACCCATGGAGGTGTCCCCGGTGTTGGATATCGATTTTCCAGTGCGAAAGTAATTTTCGCACTTTGCATGACTCGCTTGGGGTTTCTATTCCCCGCGTGAACATTTTGAATGAACTATGAATACCCCGGTTGTTGGCGATTCGGGTTTTATGGATTTTTTTGGTCTGTCTTGATGATGGATATAGATATACACGATTTTAGTGGGAATATATCTGCTTTTAACAATATCTTTTCTTTTTCTACAATATTGGATATCACTGGACTAGGTATATGTTGTGGTCACGCTTATGGCTCCGTCAGGCTCTCGTTAGGCATCACCGAAATGTACACCTGGGCATAGGGTCAGCACTCACCTTACCACTTTGGTCTGTACTTTGGTCTGTGGTTTTATTGTAGATGATTGGTCATCTACGTTAGTTATAGGGTGCTAATGCATTGAATCAGCACTTCTAGTCGCACATTGTAGTATACGGAAGCCGTTTGGCAGAGATTGTACTTTTTACCACATATAATATTTTGAGGCTCATTGTTCTAAATAGGCATTTATTAGCACCTACAATGACAAAAGGTATTCTAGAAGAATCTCAAATGAGTGTCCGTTATTCCATCTACGTCACTAAGCATGGAGGCTGTTAGATCCTACAACATAGGGACTACAGAGCTACTATACACTACTACTTGATCTAGCGTCATAACTCGATATAGAGTAATCATTTTGAATTTTTCTGCTGTACTAATAGCTTACATAGCTGTGATATATACAGCTGTGATCTAAATTGTACAAGTGACAGCTATCCGTGTCAAGTATATAGCTTAACATAGCTGTGGTCTGAATTGCAAGGAACACCAATTGAAGACAATGTATGTCAATTCATTGTATTTGTCCTTTTACTTCTTCCACACAGTTTCTCTCAATTAGAATTAGAATCAGAAAGTCCATTTCCTTTTCACCTCGTCTCCTTCACCACACTGCCTATTCTTCTCGGGGCGGCCAAACATTCTGCCGTCCATATTCGACCGTGACCCACCCCTCTCATCTCATCTTCCTCTAATCACCAACTTAATGCAATCTACCACCATTTCTCGCCCACCCTCGCCACATACAATGTCCTACCCAAACCCTCCGCCCCTCAGCCCTGGCGGCGGGGTTGGCGGTGCACCTTCGAAACGCGACAAGCGGCGCACTGCGCTCCAGGAACGGCTCCAGGAACTGACGGGTCAGTTCAGCAATAACCGGGACATCCAGTTTCGTCAGCAGTTGCACGCACTCCAGTGTGATATGACCCTGATCAACAATGCTGATCCCTACGTGACTGGACCGCTCCCGGACTCTGCAGAGAGCATTGCTGCGCTGATTGAGGAGACTGTTGGTGGCGGCAGCAAGTTTGCGAAAGAAATGGCTGGCCTCGCTGGATCCTGGTATTCCAGGTTTGTGCAGCAGGTTAATGAGATTAAGGAGAAGAGGGATGCAGAATTGGTCATGGCTATGGTGAGTTTCCGGGTTTTCTCATCTATAAGGAGTTTTCCCTAATCAGTGACTTTTTTTTCTTGTATAGAACAACTACAACAATGTCATGGAGAGACAACAGCGGGACCGTGACTTCCGTACTTACTTCGCACAAGAAGAATTCCGTCATTTGTCTTCCACCCTTCGAGAGCGATTGGTGCAGAATATCTCCGGCAAGCGCGCCCGTCTGATGCGTGAAAAGGAGCAGCTTGACATCGCCGACACCAACGCTTTACTCCTTCACCCCAACCAGTTCAGCATCACAAACCCTGCCAGCCCTGGTGGCATCCACAGCAACCGAAAGACTACTCGGCACACCCGTCACCGCGTTGATCTCGACGAGCTGGGCAATGGCTTCATGCCGGAGTTGAACAAGCGCAAGCGGAAGGCTCCAGAGGAGGAGACTGGGTCGCCTGCGCGGGACGCGGGCGATGCTACCCCCGCTAAGCGCAACAAGGCTGAGGTCACAAAGGAGCAGGTGGCACCTACCTACTCGATCCACTCCCTCTTCACCGACAAGGAGCTCAATGCACACGCAAATCAGGCACACCTGGCAGCTGTCCACTTCTTCTCTACCTCCAGGCGCCCAGACCACGGATCTGGCGCGGTAACAAACGGTAACAATACCGACGCCGAGGATACCCCCGAGGGCACAGGCCACGAAGATAACGGCACTCCGAGTGCAGCCGACATGATGCGCACCGCCAGCCACAACTTCCACGCCACCAGATCTACCCGCACCACCGCCGCGCACAGCGCTCTGAGCGCCCTAGCCGACCTGGCCGATAAGCCCGCCACCCGCCCAATCCTCCCCTACCACGTTCTCTCCAACCACCATGCGCGACCCAACGGCAACGCACCCCCATTGACCTCCCTAATGAACGAGGAAGTCGACGATGATTGCGCTCGCATCGGCCGTCTCGCTGGCAAACCACCAAATTGGATCGACGCATCTCTAGTCGAACTCGTCGCTGCACCTCTTCCTACTTCCGCAGAACCGATCGACGGCCACCCAGCCGATCCCGCTGTCTTCAGCCAGCTGCACCCGGATTTCTCACCTGCAATGGGTATCGACTGGACTCCTACCGTCCACCACCCTGGCTTCGAGATGTTCCAGCCTGCTGCCATGGAGCGCGAGCGCAGTCGAAAGCGGACCCGCAATCACTAGGGATATGCACATGAAGTTTCGGATGTACGTTAAGATGGGTTGGGATGGTGTTTACCGCTGGACGCGGTTACGGATTACCCTTTATCATTGATCATATTAGCTATGTTGTGAGGGATGGACCTCGGAGGTGTTTGGGATTTCAATTTATATTTTCTTCATGTTTATTCTCTTCTTTTTCTTTGAAGACTAATGTTTGCCCTGACCTGTCTGGCGTTGTTGGGCAACACACACACATAGTACTTTTGTTTCGAAGGTTCATGCTTGCCCCTATGTTGGGTAGTACAATTTACGTGGATACCTTGTTCCTCCTTCTGTAACCTCCAATAGTCTTAGGTGATTACCAACCTGTATATTATAGCCTCGGCTCGGGGGTACCTATCTCCCTACCTGGTCAGCACGACATAGTCAACATTACAGGCCAATGTCATTCGAGAAATGGACATCTACAGTTTACCCAGATGACAAATGCATGGGCTCAGAGACGCCCTTTCATCAGAGGTGGTTTTATTAATCTGGCATGTATGATGATTTATGAACATCAGGTATAATTCAGTCTTGGGTGATATTCTCGAGTTTGTAGAAGTTTGTAGATCTTGATGTAGTTGGATGTTGATATCAACTTAGGGCTAGCATCAATATCATCATCATGACCAAAACGGAACTCATCACCGAGTATAGTATCACCAAGTAGATCCTCAATATACTTCTAAACCCACAGCAAAAACAATATCCCAAGCATTAAAGCACCCACCCCACCATCCTCATGCTCCGGCGCGCCCTCGCCATCCACCCTCCCATCCCCAAACCACCACTAATGACCTCTCCACCCCGACCAAAAGCCGAATCCCCCAAACCACTCTTCAGCGGCAACATAAAACCAACCCTAAAAACCTTCACCAAAGAAGCCGCAGCACCATCGGCACACAGTCGCATCCTCCCCGCCATAAAACACGACCATCTAGAACTCGAATCCCACAGCAACAAAATCCTCTCCTCAGCAGACCCAGACGAACAAACCCGCTTCCAAAACCAATTCACCTGGGAACTAGCCCGTCACCTCATCGGCGAGGAACTAGTCGTCTACCCCGCGCTCATCGACTCTCTCCCGGACGGGCAGGGAATAGCAGATAAAAACAGACTCGAGCATCGGGGTGTGAAGCATCAGTTGAAGGCGTTCCAGGGGCTTTCATCTACGGATCCGAGATTCGTGCCTACGCTTAAGGGGCTCATGCGCGATTTGGGCATTCATGCTAGACACGAGGAGGATGTGGATTTACCTAGGCTTGAGGAGTTGTTGTCTAAAGAGGAGAGTGTGGAGTTAACTAAGTCGTTGGATCGGGTTAAGATCTTTGTTCCGTCAAGATCGCATCCGCTTGCGCCTACGGAGCCGTTCTTTGAGACTGCTGTTGGGCTTTTGACGGCGCCGATTGATTTCCTGGCGGATTTGTTTCGGAAGTGGCCTGATGGGAAGGAGAAGAAGTGGTAGTGGGCTCGTAGGGGAGGGTATGGTTAATGGTTAATGGTTATATGATATGAAGTTAGATACAAGTCTACTCTATCCATTCAGCTATTAATTAGAATACTTTACTCCGTAAGCTAAATGAACAATCCAAATTAACATCGACTATCTTTTCAATCCTAACACCCGACAGCCACCCTCGTCACCTTATCATCCCTCTACAGCCAAAACCGCCGATCCAGCGCCCAACCGCTGCCCCGTATAGCCATAGCGCTGCAAGCGACGCAACCTCCCCAATCGATTCGCAGTATCGATTGCAGACTGCTGCACCTCATCATCACCTGACGAAGATCGTCGCCTCTTCCACGCCTTACGGAACTGGTGCTGTTCATCATCCTGCTGTCTGTGCCGCATCGACAGGAAACCAGCATGTGCTTCCTTTTCTTCGCTGAGGGCCTGGACCTGCACCGCCAGCGAATTAGTTTCTTGATTCGTTATACTTCTCCGGATCAAATTCGGAACATGTGATAATGAGCTCGACTGCATCGAACAATACAATGGTAGGGCAAAACAATACAGCAAGAAAAAAGAAAGAAAAAAAATAGTTGCCACTTACATACGATAACCAAACCTCCTGCTCAGAACTCCACGCCTTCTGACACCTCCCTAACTGTCTCTGTGCATTCACAAGCTCCCTCTCCTGCTCGACCGTCCACCGATCCCGACTACGGATAATACTCGCCCAACTGACAGCGCGAGCGAGCTGGGCCCGCGTCGGACGCGTCTGGCTGGAATAGTGCACCCGGTCCTCGGAAGTTGGATCCGCCACTGGATGCGGAATATCTTCCGGCGCAGATGATGCTGATTGGGGGGTTGGTGTGTTGTGGTTTGCGTTGGTGTTCACCGCTACCTGCACGGGTCCGTGGACGTCACGGTGCATAACGATAGGTTCATTGTTCTGGACTTGGGAGATGATGTCGGGGTCTGACATGATGGGATTCTTTTCGCTGAGATGGATTTCCAGGTCCGGGGATTTGCCTTTTAGACTTGTTCGGCGCTTCCAGGGGAGGGTGAGGGGTGGGAGGGCTCGATGGACGATTGTGAAGACTGACATCGTTGGGAATCGAAGGTTCACATAAACTATATGTATGGAAAAGGGATAGAAGAGATGATCGAAGTATAGAAGTTGGTTATACTTGTTCTCTTTGTCTTTGGGAATGATGTTCTTCTCGTATTGCTACCAGCCCTTGCTTTTTATAAATGTTCCGGTTCGCCTCCCATGTGGTACCTTCACGATCTAGCCAGACCAGACCGATACCCAAGGACGAAAACGCGTGCAGGGACACCTCGCAGGCACCTCGCACAGTGGTGGGGAATGCGAGGCTCTCCGGCTTCTGCTTGGCTGCCCACGCGAGAAGTATACGATCGTGCAGGAGGTGCGGGTTGGCCTAGTTGGTCTAGATGGTGGAGGGCTGCAGGTTTGGTCGGGACTTCAATGTAGATTGTGTTTGCTTCTGAGACGGGTTTGACAGTTTGAGGGCTTGGTTGTACAGTCGTTTCATTAGGACGAGACAAATGCGGGTTTGCTTTGACGTTTGACCTTCCTGGTGTAATGAGTTGAACTGAGTTGCGTTCTGGATTGAACTCAGTTCAACTCATTGATGTGTCTGTCCCTACTCTGTCGGATACTCGGGGAAATAAGGGATCTTGATGCATGAAGCCTCCGTAGTTGGCTGGATACATATGTGAGAGATGCGATATACACAGGGTGTTCGCAGTTGAAGTCAGGGATCCCCTTCCGGGATTTAGTACTTTGGTCACTTCGAAAACTTGGAAGTTGTAGTATACAGTACCTCATTAATGTCCAAATGATGAGGCTAGAGACTAGAGAGGCCTAAACTAATCACAGACACAATAAACCCCCCAAAACAGCCCAATGCTGCACACAAGCCTAACCAATAACCGTGAGGGAATCATAACCAGAACAAGCGCAGACGCATTCCAAACAAAACCATGACGCCAGGTGCTCATCGGATATCCAAAAAAAGTACATAATATAAAAAGAGTTGGCCGAAAAAGAAATAGACGTTCATCGCCATGTATCCACAGAAGTACCCCGGTTGGCCTTGGCCTTCCTTTCCTCTCGGATCTGCTCGCCAATAATGATGCTGATGAGTCTACGATGCAGGTCAGCTTCTGTCCAATCGATCTGTCCGCCACCACCATATTGGATATCGGCCCGAGCAAGGTCTTGGGCAAAGCGATCAATGATGGCAAATTGGATCTCGGTGATGGGCACCCCGTGATGACCATCGGAGGTCCATATCCAATCACCGATGATGGCAGCCCGCCCTGGAGCATCGTAGTATTCAAAGTGCTCAGGATATCGCTTGGCAACTCGGTAGATACGACGAAGCGCGGCGTAATGCTCGTCGGAAAAGTATCCGAAGACAGCAAGCGGTCGTGGCCCTGGAGACGCCCCATCCTGGTGGTTCACTGGCTCTGCCTCTTTGTTCTCTAGGAGATCTTGAGAGATACTCCGCTCAGAAACTGGCACCTCCTCTTCTTCTAGAAGTTCTCGAGAAGCACTTCTATCGTGTATCGGGTCCTCCTCTTCTTCCATTGTAGGAAGAGGGTTTTGCTGGGTCCGGGGAGACTGAGATCGTGACGGCTGTCTCCAATGACTTGCGGGTGATTGACTCGCTTGCTTTGAGAGAGGCTCATCCTGGAGATGTCCATCGAGCTCTTTTGCAGATTCAATGCTGGCCATTTCCTCTTCATCCTCGAAGTCAGATGCTTCCTCTGGAATAGTACTAACACTTGAGCTTCGGTCACGTGTAGGGGCTTTCAGCCATTGTGGGGTGAAACTGGTTATTTTGCTGAACCAGGATGACCCTGGCTCCTCCCTATTGAGCTGATGAGGTTGTGGGGTGGAGGTAGAATCCACGTTGACAGATTCCGATTGGCTGAGAGCAGCATTAAGAACGCTTTTGGTCTTATAGTCTTCTTCCAATGGTTCCTGCATAGGCGGGCTTCTTTGCACACTCTTTGGGGATTTCTTCTTATCAAGGAACGCGATTTGTGGACCGGGAACATCAGGACTAGACTGGGAGAGAGGTTGTAAACGAACACGCGCTGGGGTGCGCGCTACCGGGTCCTTCATGGGAGAGATATTGGTGAATTGTTTATGTGTCCCCAATGGGCGAGTCAGCACACTCCGAGGAGTACTCGTTCCATTGTAGTACCGTGCACGGTTTGGTGTATCCTCTTCTGCAAGCAAAGCAGACAAATCAACCTTTTGTTCACGCAGCTCGCGAACTTTGGACGGTCCGAAGCGCGCTACATAATCATGCTCCGAAGTAGCGTAAGGAGATGAGCTCAGGTAGTCTTGACCTGCGGAAATTGGAGCAAGGTTGCCTAAAGGACGTGCAAGCGGCTGCAGGTGAGATTGCACACCATCATCCTCCGAATGTTGTGAAATGTGGCTGTGGTCGTTGGCTTCGAGTTGCCAAATGTCATCATAACCATCATCCTCATCATCCACGGGTTCGGGCTCGGGTTCAACGTGTTGGGGCACATGTGGCGCTGGCTCTGGCATGGGTCCGGGCGAGGAATAATTGGGCTGTTCCTCATCTCCATATCCGGTCTCAGATTGAAATTGTTGTCCATGTTCAAATCTGATATCGCCATCATTTTCCGCCGCATCCTTATCGCTATCAATATAAACGACCGACCGTGAGTTTGAAGCCATTTGAGCCTGTCGGCTGACTGCTTCTCGTTCAAGCTGCCATTGTGCCTCCCGCTGTGCCTTTTGGTGGGACATCGGGCTTTGCTGCATGGATTTGCTGAACTTAGGTGATGGTTGGGCGTATTCTGCGTGCTTCTCGATTCGATATTCAAAGGGCTGATCGTGCTCCTGCTCTTCCAATTCTTCATCATTCAGGTCGTTATAATGACGTGCTTCCTTTTCTTCCTGTTCCTGCTCAAGACGTTCCTCCTCGAGACGAGATGCTGCATGATCTGCTGCTATAGCCGCAGCCTCATCTTCCTCGGCGAGCATTCGACGCATAGCAAGCTCCTGCCCTAGCCCCATAGCCGCTCGGAGTTCTCGCTGCGTTTCGGCGCTGAAAGTGCTGAAAACACCCTCCAACCGACGTCGTTTGTGACGAGCATTACTCTTGCCTGACCACTCGTCTTCTTGGGGCCGAAAGGGACCTTGCAGGGCCAAGCTAAGGCGAACAAGTTTAGCCAGACTAGTGAATGTCCTCTTCTTTGGAACAATTGTTGATTTAGATGGAGACGATGCGGCGGGGAGTTCAGGGTAGGTGATCTCATTCACATAGTTAACAGATTGCCGCTCAGTCTCATGTACATTGTGCTTCTCCGGCACATGGGTGCTTGTATTTTCGTGTAACCCAGGACCCAGGGCAGAAGTGGTTGGACTGGATGACTTTTGAGCACGAGAATCACCTCGGAGATCTTCGATCGTCCCGGGAAGTTTGCGTCTCAACCGTTCCCCGACTTCCTTTGGTTTGGGACCGCCGTTCGTCACAGCGCTGGAGCCGAATCCATGCTGCTTGGCTGATGGGAGTGTATCAAGGGAAATCATAGTGAATCCTTCACTCTCCATGATAGTGTCGAATTCGTCGTACTCGTCCGCGGGATCTTCAACAGGATCAGTTCCAGCATGGTGGGTCTCTGTCCTTGGGGGGTGATCCACGTCGGCTTGTTGGGGTTGATTTTCTTCATCGGCCAGCGAAGAAGTGGGGGTCGGAGTCGGATATGTGCGCGATTGTGGGCTAGCGGTATTGTGAGAAGAGGCCCTTGATGACAATATTGCTCTCTCGCGTGTAGGCGATGGCATTTTAGAAGGGGTAGAGTGGATGTTTTCATCATCTAAAAAGTGATGTTCCGTAGCTCCGATAACAGGCGTCTCCAAGCTCGTTCGGCCATACTCACGGCGAAGATTGCCCATATCTTCTGTGATGGGCTCTGTTGGGTCAGGAAGCTCTGCAATTGACATGTCTGAGTTCCCCCAAGAGTCATCTTCGGAGTCCGCATCCCCCACGAGATTCAAGGGACTGGCGTGCGCATTGCTCCCAGCGAAAGAGTCTGTCGGACTGAATCGTTGTTGTTCTAGGCCAGCGTCGCTGATGAGGGCATCCATAGGGCTGGAATATTGGCGGCCTAGACCAGCTTCACTAGCTGTAGTATCCATCGGACTGTATTCATGTTGGTCTCGAGTAGGTTCATTGAGCATGGTGTCCATAGGACTGAATTGCTGGGATTGGCGGGAATCACTATTGGGAATGATATCCATCGGACTAAAGGGATGTTCATATTCGACAGTCGGCGTTGGCAGATCATCCAGCAGCTGGAAATCCTGTGGTTTGGGTTTGGGCGTGCCCCGTGGCCGGCCTCTTTTGCGTGGTTGAGAGTGATCAATTCGTAGGCCAGGAGTACTCCCCGGCCCAGGTGTATGTCCCGGCCCAGGTGTATGTCCAGGGCGAGGGGTCTGCCCAGCGTCCCCGAGGAACGGGGACAAAGTCATGTCAGACTTTCGTGGACGCCCTCGCCGCCTTAGGGGCGTCTTCTCCTTCAATGGGCTCCTCTCGTCCTTTAGGGGTATCATTGTTGTCGTGGTCGAGGGTTTTAATCGTTTGCGCGACGGGCTACTCCGGTTCTCGTCATCTTCGTCTTGCGTCGCTTCGAGCGTGAGTCGGATGCGCCACGGGCTGACATTCCCCTCCTGAAACTTCTCCGGAGAGAGTGACCTCTGCCGACCACCATTCAACTTCATTGTCGGCGACCCGGGCAGTATGACATCGTTGAACTGAATCGAATGCGCGCTTTTTGCGGGACTGAGACTGACGCGCGGTCGCGGCCGAGGTCGCTTGGCCGGAGTTCGCGATTTCGCTACTATGGGAGACATCCAGCTTTGGCGCCCCGTGAAGGGTTTAATCGGCGAGGAGATCAAGTACTGGGCATCGCCTGGAGGACCCAGGATATCGGGGGAGGAGCTCAGGCTGCGCGACGAGGCCGACATGGCGGACTCATGTGATTGAATCTCGGGAGGCACGCGTGCCACCGAAGGGGTGGAAGAGCGTACGATCAGGAATGCGACGACAACGAAAAAGTGCGGTCAGTGTCGTAACTATTCACAGGACTTAACGACACAGAAATAAGAGAGAAAACGCGGGGCAACCATAAACAAGTCTCCCGATGCGGTACGAAAGAGCGGTCCTCGAGGTGGTTAGGTAATCAGCCCCCAAACAAACACCAAGTCTATTATTGGACACGATCTTCTCTTTCTTCCCCCTTTGTATCTTGAAACATATGTGGAGATGTGACAAGGGTAATATTTTTTTGGCTTGCCATCAGCTCAATTCTCTACAAATCTCCATCGACGTCATCCACACTGGGCACTTGCATCAACGTCACACCGCAAGCTTCAACTACTAGGTGCACGCACTCCATGGCCGTTTGCACATCTTCCTTGGAGATCCCCAACCGCCTTGTTCCTCGGATATGCCAGTAGATCATCCGCGGCATGTCTTGACCCATGAGAGCCGGCGAAACTACCATCTCTGTATCAACGTTATCCAAAACCTGGCGGTCGGACAAGAGTAACCCATAGGTGATATCAGCAAGCCAAAAGCCAAAGTCTGGATGCTGTTCGAATAACCCAATGAGTGAACTGGTTTTGTGCGCATATACTGATTTTAACCAATCCATGCCGCGCGCATGATTTGCGTCGTCGCACTGCCAGCCTTCTCGGGTGAAGGAACATTCCCCATCTTCCTCGGACATGACTTTGGTGATACCGAGGAGTGCCTCTGTGGGTTTGGGCCGAGAAGAGCAATGTCCTTGAATAGCGTCTCGCGCATGCGACGAATCAGCTTCCAGCGTGCAGTAGTAGTTGAATGCGCATGTTGGCTTGTCAGATACAGGTACAGCTGGCCACAAAGGTGTGATTCTGATATCGTCGCAAGCGCGCTTAATGTTGTCAGATACCACTTTTCACTGGCGATATTGGAGGCTTCGAATTTGCTTTCAATCATGGCAAAGAGCTTAAACCAACGCGGCTCTATAGTTGGTTTGTCGATATCGGATGTGTTCATAGTTTGAGTCCAACCGAGTTTACCGTGTATCTTCTAAAATGGACAAGTCCTTGATATCTGAATTCATACAAAGGACTCTAAGCCCTCGGGCGATGACGCAGGGCTGAGACCGTACGGTGGCAACCGACGGATTTCAGGTCCTTAAATGCTGTGCAATCCGTGGTTCACACAAGTAATCCTAGGTTTAGTTTTTTTCGGTGTTCTTGTATAGAAGAGACTACCTTGACAAGTCCTCTGACACTCGTCTCGAGAGGATAGCTCACTGCTAGTCACAAGCTGTTATCCGCATTTGTCTCGATGGATTGGATGTGGTTGATCCGTATTCAACTCCCTGATTATACAAAGAAAAGACATCTGGAAATACGATCTGAAAAGCATCTGAAAAGAACAAGCAAAGACACGTTGATAAATTCTTACATAAAGCACCTGCACTTATTCGCGTGTCAAAAATCCATCCTGTTGACCCACGACGACGTGTGGATAAGTGTTCTGGCTCCCGATGATGCAGTGATCCTGCAATATTTGGGGCCACTCACCACCCTATTGTTCCTTCCCCTTTAAACCTTCCATAGTTACCAGTTACCTCTATTGTTTGTATCCTATTCCTCGCATCTATTTGTAGTACTTTCTATTCTCCTCCTCTACCTTCGTCTATCTTTATACTTTCTTCTATATTTGAGCCCAATCTAGAATAAAAATCCTGATTAGAAACCTGCTGCTTACACTAATGCGATTGCAACCGGCGGCAAGAAGTATGACATCAAAGCAAAGGATATGCTGGCTCCCTCCACCCCCTCCTCCAAACGCACGTGTGGCCCTGAAAAAGGAGAACATGGGAGTTTGCGATATCATGGCAAATGGTGCCCAGATGTGCGGCTTGGCTTTCGCAGACCAAGTCACTTTACGCCGAAAGCTCCACAACGAGCATCCAGGAGTCAGTAAGTCTTGAAGAGCGCCTAATCTCAAGATAGTAGTTATATTTTCACTGCAAGTCCCTGGCAGCCACAATGTCTAAATAGCCAATTGTCCTTAAGTCAGTAACTAGCAAATCCTACATGTATCATATTTTGAAGGGAAATGGTCCATACCGGCACGCACAGCACGCCACGCTTCCGCAAGACGCTCATCTTTCCACTCAAAGGTCAGTCCTCCCGGAACTGATGCTTCGTGTATATTCCAAATTATCCGAGACGCTCGGTTGTCGGGATAGGTTTCGAAGCGAATCTTATAGTATGAAGGATCTGTGATATCATATCTTCCACTCTTCCTCAGTTCGTCAAAGTTCATGCTCCACTCGAAGACGTGGTCGTAATAGTGGCGGAGGGGGTAGCGGTGCGAGTCTCGACCTTGAAAAGAAATCATAAGGTCGCTCCCTGACTCTGGACTGAGAGTGACTTCCAGCATATACTTATAGTCCGCATTGTTGTACTTGCCGACGTAGCATTCAAGTGGCAGTGGTGGTGCTCCTTGGATTCGCTCTTCGGTCAATCTATCATGGAGTGTAGCGAACCGGTCGAGTGTTCGCTTTTTACCTATTTCTGCGAGCTTAACATAGTCGGTGGGTTTAGCAAAGTCGAAGAGGCCCTCGATTAGGAGTCGCGCAATCCAGTCAGCAGCATCGCTCAAAGCAGTGGTGTTCATGAGAACTACAACGGCCGACTGCGTTTCAGGAAAGAGAGCAAGGAATGAAGAATATCCCGGTCCTCCACCTTGGTGATAAATCATGAGCCTAGACTGGTTTCCAGCCCCGAATACAGGCTGCTCGGACATTTCCCAAAGTTCTGAGTTCCCACCGAGAAGGCCCACTACCCCAGGCAGCTGTGCTCTCGCCCAGCCAAATCCGTACGATCTTTCCATAAGTGATGGATTCCTCATTGCGATATGGTTGCTAATTATGTGCGGGATTTGTTTCAATGCCGTGTTGGCGGATGCCTCGGTGTTCTGGCTCGCAGCCAAAGTTTCTTTGGCCCAGACGAGAAGATCACTCACAGTCGAATAAGCTCCGCGTGAACCTTCGAATAATGTATTCGCAAAATTGGGCTGAAATGCCAACGGACAAGCCTCACCGTCGCTAAGTGAAGCATGTGGTTCGGCGACATTATTGTTCCCTTCAAAGGATGGCCGCAGGGTTGTAGAAGTCATCCCAAGTGGCCGAAATAGTTGATTCTGAAGATACTCGTGAAGTGGCTGCCGAGATATATGTTCAATTATATGCGCAGCAATTGTGTATCCCCACGGACACATCAGCCAGCTCTCACGGTGCGGAAGCGGTTGAGGGATGCGGCCGACGGTTTTCAACAGCACTTCGAGAGAAGGCTGTATATCACAATTTCCACCGTCAGTTAGCAGAGTTGCGATTTCTCCATCCAAGCCACAGCGATGTGCCAGAATATCCGCTATTGTGGCTGTTTGTGTCCAGTCAACACCAGTATGATCAATCTCGGGTATGACTTCTTTCAAGAGAGATGTCCACTGAAGCTTTCCATCTTCCACAAGTTTTCCCACACCAGCAGCTACCATTGACATGGTGATATGTCCGATGCCATATTGCGTGTTTGCGTCTGGATGTGCTGTTTTGGACTTGTCACGGAAGCCAATGTTTTCAGTCCACAGAGTTTCTCCATGGTCGAGGAGCCCAATAGAAACACCTGGCACACTCTCTACTTTGCAAATGCGGTCAATCGAGCAGCTTAGTTTTCGCAGTCGATCAATGGTCGATGGAGTGGACCTACATAATGTCAGCGTGTCAGCGAATGTTTCATCCATGGGAACTCAGCAAATACGCAATACGTGCATTTCTGGCATTTTTGATCACTTGGGAATGGGAGAAACCAGGTTTGAAGGAAGCCCTGGGGGGGTCCAGGGAGCCTGATGTCATGCCATGACCCCGCTAAGCCACAAAGTACAAGGGTATATTTCTCACTTACTGAGCACTTCTCTTTCTTCCTTTTCTCAATACTCTCGTTGACAAGATTGTTTTCTGCTTATCGACATAAAATGTGCGAAATGCTGCGATACAAATACAACCCGCTATTAGAGGGCCACATTCGACTTTTGACCCTCCATCCCGGAGATTTAGATGATCCTATTAACAAAGCCAGGATTGACCATATGCGCCTCGATGAAAAGCCCACTTTTGGTGCCCTTTCTTATCAATGGGGAGCAAAGCAACTTAACCATAAAGTCGAGGTTACCGAGTCTGGCGAGTCTGGTGGCACTAGCGATTATGTCAACATAACCTTGTCCTTGTATAATGCGCTTCTACATATACGACGAAAAGATGAGCCGATTTCGATATGGGCTGACGCAATATGTATCAACTAAAGTGGCACGCACGAACGAAACAAACAGGTTTTGCTGATGGGCCAAATATACCGATCAGCCACAGCAGTTGTCGTTTATGCAGGCCCTGCAACTGAGCAAACCCAGTTAGGATTGAACTTGGCAAACAGACTTGCAAATCACCTCATGAATGAACCCAAGACTGAGTTTGGATTGGACCAAGAATTTTCCAACTTTGCTGATAACAAGCTAGAGGAGCTTGGGTTTCCCCTTTCGGGTGATGCAGCATGGCCAGCGATTCGGTCGATCATTCATTTAACTTGGGCGATAAGAGCATGGATGATTCAAGAGGCGATACTCAACCCAATGGCAACGATACGGTGTGGGATAATCGAATTGCCTCTCGATATGATCACAACCCTTTGTTATCTGGCGCGCAGCCAGAAATTTCCAAATCTGATCTTGTCAGGCCAAAGTAGAACGGAAGCAGAACTCGATCGCAGGGCATTGGCAAATATCTTATTTATTGGGATTGTACGAATGGCGTTGTGGTCCTCAATTCCAGATAGTCCCTTACCCACCATGTACTACCTTTTGAGCTGGACCCTCGGTTTTGATTGTGAAGACCAAAGGGATAAGGTGTATTGCCTTCTTGGAACTGCTACTGATGCTTCTCAATATGAGATTGAACCTAATTACCATCTTAGTGTACGACAGGTGTACATTGACGTGACCGTGCGCATGCTGCAAAGCAACACCACGTTGACCTTCTTACCAGCGCCGGTACACGAAGGCAGTCTACATTGAATCTCCCATCGTGGGTACCAGACTGGTCTACCTCAGACGACGAATGGAATGGGCTCCATAAGCCTCTCTTGCTCGAGGCAGTTCACGTACGCAAGGAGGATATAAATCATTTCCATGCTAGTGGGGATACCATCAGCGACCCAGAGTTTAGCTCAGACAAATTAAAGCTTACATTGAGTGCTGCGTTTATCGATACGTTGACATACATCACAAATGCTCTCACCTACGTCTCTGATGACACAAAATATGTTGAATGGCTTGAGAGCCAATCAGATACATTGGGCAGATCAAGCAGATATGGACAAGAATCATTCACTGCTCTCTGGAAAACACTTTCTGGGCAGAGGTATCGGTTTGAGAAGGATGAGTATTGCTTGGTGGAATATCCATCGACCGGGCACATATGAGAACGATATTCCAGATGAATACCAAAATCCGAGTACTCGAATGTTCATGATCGATTTATTTTGAGGGGGCATCCAAGAGCATGTAAAGACGCGGACATTTTCAACTACAAAAAATAGATATTTCTGTTTTACACCTCTGAATGCAAAGCAGGGGGATACCATTGCGCTCCTAAAAGGTGGACGTACACCCTACGTGGTGCGGAAAGAAGGAAATGAATACATATTTCTTGGAGAAGCGTATATTTATGGTCTGATGGACGGAGAGGCCATCGATAACAAGAACGGGCTTGATCTCAAGTTTGAAAAAATTACCTTCATATAGATGTGTCCAACCGAGTTGAAACTCTCAGGAAATACATGGACATACGGGTCGATGCAAACAATACTAGCTAGTCCAGATTCAAGTTGTGTGAGCCGGGAATGACAACTTCTAAGTACAAATTGAATAAGCAGAAACAGTTATCACGCATGTAACCCTCCAGCAAGTCGTTATCAACAGCTCACGAGGCCCAAGACTAGCCAATATCAGTCTGCCTTCTGACTTTTTGGCTTTTCATCGATCTGGCTCGTTGTTCCCCTTTCTTCATCTACTCCGTATGGTGTGCTCCGCAGCCAGAGAATCCATGCAGTCATTAAAATAGCGGTCAGAGGTACACAGATCACGAAATAGATCCAAATCTCTTCGTAGTCTCCGCGGAAAGAGAACATATTAGTCGAAAAGAGGGTGGCCACAAATGCCCCAGGGAGAAAGAGAATGGTTATGATCGAGAGAGTTTTCATAGCTTTAGAGTCACGTAGGGCTTCTCTTGCTAGCCTTGACTGCATATTGTTATCGAACTGGGCTATGAGGCCATAAAGCTGAAGTTTAGCATAATTGTAGTCAGTGCACATTCTATCACAGTCTCAGGGGATTGTTCTGCTATCTTCAACCAAGCGACGCCACTTACCACGTTTCGTTGACTCTCCACCTTCGATGGTAAAGTCTGCATATCGTATTCGCGACTTTTCGACATCGCAGCAAGGATTGAAATTGTCTGGGTCATGACATGTTCTTCATCATTTACATGAGTTTTCAAAGTTTCTCCAAAATCATCCTCAAACCTCCTCCTTCGTCCCAGTTCGACGAGGTTCATGTTACACTCATGCAACGTCTTACTAATAAGGCGATAAGATATCCTGGCATCATCTGGCTTGCCTGTCCCTTTCAGCTCCTCAAGAAGCTTTGCATCCACTTCACGCAGAGTCCGAAGCATTTCTTCAAATTGCTTTGCGGTTGACTCGACGTGCTCTTTATAGAGCTCTAGCGGTAGGATTGTCGGATAGATTGAGGAAGCTCCCCGGATTGCATCCAAATGTCGCTTGAAATTGAACGTGCTGTCAGCCTGAATGATACCGGATATCCTGGGCAAGGAATGGGGATCAACTTGGTCTATCTCGCTGTATAGAATCAAGGACCAAAAGCCTGTTCGGTAAAAGGGCGTTTGGATGATGCAAGCTGGTACAAGGTTGAGTGAGTGAGTGAACGTTTATTGATGAGGATAAATTCTTACCTGTTACCTTCCCGGGGCTAGTTATCGATGGAAAGAACTGGCATGCGCCCCCTTCATGAAGCCTAATATAGGAACATTCTGCAGGCAGTTTAAAGAATTTCACGAGCATATCTGTATGTGACTCGTTGTCTAACAGAGTTCTCACTTTGCTTATAGTATTGAGTCCGGTTTGATCCGACTTTTGGAGTCTAAAAATGTCAAAAATGCCACACCTGCTAGAAACTGAGAAACCGAGTGAGACTCACATGAGGTCAAAATGTGTCATGTCGTGTGACTGTGCAGGAATTCTCCCATCCTACATCCCAGAGCCCTCGTATATTAGCAACATCCAATGGCATAAGAACTGCATAATCAAATGTGTCTAACCTGGGTTTGCTTCATCCATGAAAACGAATCCCTCAGGATTCTTGGAGTGAGTACTGAGGGAAGTGTTTTGCCGTCAATTCGAGCAGCATCCTCTTCCACCGTCACCCAGCCCCGTCCCTCGCGTCTAGCGTTCCAAATCTCATGATAATGCGATTCAATCTTCTGTTGAGTGCCCGACTGTACATAGCTAGAAGCAATGTTATCCAAGATTTCTGTCACATTGCGTCTGCTTTGAGCTTCTGCCAGATTTGTAACACTCCCTAGCAAGGAAAGATCTACGCTCTCAAGATTGCCTGCGGGAATTTCGGCCTCAATATTCCCTGCTTTAGAACGTGCTGGGTCAAATATGACCGGGTCACCCCGGAAAACTTGGCGCGACTTTAGTGCGAATGTTGCAACACTGGTTTCTATGGTCACAGTGGCTTGATATTGCTCGTCGTCTGAATCTCTCTCAATGAGGAGCGCCGTTTGTAGGCGGATTTGAACTCCACTCTTCTCATCTGCGTTTTCATAAACACTCCATTCCGCAGTACTGCAAAGTCTCGAAATATTTCCCTCCAGTTTTCCAACCAAGCGTTTTGGAGGCTGTGGAGGCTGTGAGGTTTCTTCCAGACTCGATGGCAATTCATTTACACTGCCTGACAAGCCCTCGGTTGTGGCTATGGAATCCCCAGCGTGTGGCCGGTCTATATGGGGAATTTTAGCCGGGGCGATTGCTCTTATGAGAGGATCGCGGCCTGTGTGATTGGAGCGATTCGAGAATCGAATTGAAATTGTTGCGGATTCGATGCGGGCAGACCGCTTGGAGGTACCAATATATGATTCCATGACAAGCAGGGTGGCTGGCGTCAGCGATTCAGGATTCATGAAGCCATGGGTAACGGACACTTGTCTCACCTCCACCATGGCGGGGGAAGAGCCAATGGCCATATGCTTCCGGTTTACAGCATTTGATGGATCATTATTTACCATTTTGTCTATACTTGCCTACTTCAGATAACTTGAGTATGAATAGGTACACTAAACGTATTCCAGCGATTCAGCGGAGCTGTTGAGAGGTCAGATGTGTGTGTAATCCTGTGCTCTGCTTACGCTACCTAGGTACTCCCAAGGGATTACATAAGAGCATTTGACCGCTAGTTATGCCAATAAATAATAGTAAGGACAAACAGAACATCTGTTTGTGTCTGCAGCGGCATGTATATTAGGCCCTAACATTCGTTGGGCACCACATGTGTTGGAGAATGACCCACCCTGTTTGCTCCTGCGCTTGTTATTTCTCTCTCTCTATCTTTCTCCCTCCATTGCCCTTCTTCCATCTTTAACGATAAGAGTAAATAACAACCTTAGGATAGGAATAATGAATAGTAACACAGAATTGACTTTATAAATTATACGATATACGAAGGTGGTCAAAGGCACTTTTCTATGTTAAAAGAAGAATATAATATGACCTAGATCCATTCAATGGATATAACTAAGTCGCTATCAACTACTACGATGGATTATTATCCGGGCTACTGAGCGACCCTGGCACCTTCGGTTCGTGGAAAAGGCCCAGCCTGGCAGTGAAAAGTCCCACGTCAATAGAGGCAGCATCGTTGAACAACATTTCGTCTGGTATCCGAAGAATGATGTCTGCAGACGCTGCCATTTATTCGATAGAGCAACCTACCGTCCGATTGAACATAATTCATGCCATGAACCCGGCCGACCAATGCCATCCTTGCCCTGCAGGTGTGTAGGTGTATCTAGTACCATTGCAACTATGGTACATGGCTGTAGCCATGGGCTGCTCCCGGTATATAGCTGTCTTTGAGCATCTTTGCGTCAAGTGGGTTGATAGCCATGGCGGCAGTTTTCACAGCGCTCACCATTGGCCCTGGGGATGGCAACGCCACATAATTAGCTTATCAGCTGCTTCGGCCACGATGGCCGTCTGCTGGCGAGGTAGGATAGGAGTCACTCATGACATTGCTGAATAGCGAGACGAAGCTTAAGGGAAGTTCTGAAATGGGCTTGCGTGACCGTATCGGATGGCTTGAGTTTTTGGAGCCTCTTCTTCTCGCTAATCAGGTTTGATATTTCCTTACATACAGTCTTATGGAATCGTTCTGTGGGCATATTTTGGTTTGCCTGTGAGTTAGTCACGTCCGTGGAATGCGGAAGAAGTTTAATGGGCTGACATTGTTACCAGAGACTTCTAACCCCTCCATGCCATGGGCTCCACAGGTGTTATCGGGGGTATTGATCGGTTGCGGGATTCTCTTGATATTCTTACAAGTAAGAAATTGCAGTCTTTAGAATTAGCTACACTACCCTTTCCCTTTTTCTATAAGAGGATAAATTTATCAATGACTGAATAGGGCATGTACTATATCATTGACGTCTTCAAGGTAATGGCCAACTCGGCCATTTCGATCAACACCATGTTCTGGGGTCTCCTAGGTGCTGGTTTCCCCTTATTTACCTCATACATGGTATGGTGACACTCTGAGATGAAATATTTAATATCTTCGGCTAACCATTTTCCGGTTTAATAGCCTTGGCGTACCATGGGCCATGTCCTTACAAGGATTTCTGTGCGTCGCTCTAGTGCCCGTCCCGTTTTTGTTCTTCGTCTACGGTGCAAAAATTCGGAAGTAGAGCACTGATTCAATGATATGGTTTATACGGCTAAGTATGTTATTCTTCAACGACTGCCTCTATTGCGGAAGTCAATTACCTGAACTTTTGCATATATAAAACGTACTTACTATTTGGTAAATACTAAGCATAAGTATACCTGGTTTTATAAGGCATTCAATGTAATAACCTGGATCAGTAGGCTTCAAAGGCTAGGTGGGAGATCCCGTTCCTACGCCTCCTAATAATCCAGTAACGTGCTAAAGGTGGTAGATTTACAAAGACACATGAAAAACGTACAATCAAATTCTAGTTGGTATTTATATTCACGTCATTAGCATTCCTGGCTTCGACCACTGCGGCCGCAACGGCCACGAATCCGAACCTCTATGTAGTATGTACATGTATCATGTACAAACTCCTTGGTACGCGATCTTCTCCTGATCTCTAGCGCCTAATCTATTTACCAAAAACGCCCCAGTCACCTTGTCCCCAAGTAGTCTTCAGTGTCCAGTGCTTAATCTTCCACAATCCGTCTCCAGCATCCTTGACCAGCTCGACCGCGTAGAATCCACCAGCAAGCAAGAAATCAGAGTCGGGCTTCATGCCCTCTCCCTCGCGGTAGTGCTGAGAAAGAGCAGAGCATGAGACCTGAGCCTTCGATTCTTCGGTGATGTTGATACGCATGTTGGTGAGAAAGTGGTTGGTATCCAATTTGGCGATGTTGGCGTAGCATTGGCTGTAGATGGCGTCGTAGCCTTCCATGACAGTGCCGTTGAGGACTAAGACAGCGTCGTCAGTCAAGGCAGATTTGAAGAGAGCATCGTCAGCTGTGTCAAAGGCGACAACGCCGCGGTAGAGGGCATCGGCGACGGCATCGCGGTCGCTGAGGGCAGGTGTGAGGGAAGCTGGAAGTGCAGATGCGACCATGGTGGGTATTCTGGATATAGTTTGTGTTGGATTGGAGGGAGATCATGCAGTGGTGCACGATTGAAAAGAGGCTTGTTGGTTTTTGTTGATATATGCGGTTCTACAATGGCAATGAATGAACCTTTAAAGGAATTAAAGTACTTACGCCAAGCTAGAAGGCCGGCGCTTTATGCATGCCATCAAATTGAGACACGCTACCCACGTAGGTGACACTCGGTATCTTCTAAAGTTATCTCCGATAGATGGAGTTAACGGAGTTACGAGGGCGCTCGGTCTAAACGGGGCCCGAGGATGTCAAAGGTGTTTGGTTGGCGTGGATGTTCCAAGGTTAGCGTCAAGGTTAGCGGGTCGGCCCCCACAACCGGGACCCATGCACGCTCAGCCAAAGCTTAGCATTGGGATCAACCTTGGAACAGTCGTAAGTTGCCCTCTATGTTGTACTCGTAACTTGAGAGGTCGATACCTGTCAAATGGGGGAAATCCCCCGAAAATATCCTATTTGGTACTATCACTACCTGTGGGTTCTTTTACGGTGCAAGNCCCCCCCCCCCCCCCCTCTGCGGCGCTCGACTTCAAAGTCTGCCATAGATCCTACATATGTAAGAGTTAAAAATTCTAGTTTATAAGTAATTCTAGAGCTCAAGGCAGCCAGCTGAGTGGGGTTACGGTATTCCTTTTCAACTTTTTCTTCGCTGGATTCGTTCAAACCCCAAAAACAATGAAAGTTTTGATTATTTTTGCTCGCCCGGATCCCCAATCTCTCAATGGTGCACTTCATCGAATTGCTGTAGAAAAGTTGAAATAACAAGGTGACCATTTCCAAGTCTCTTATTTGTACAAGATCAGATGGAACTTTGAAGTGGAGCATGAAGACTCTCCGAACGTTCCAAAGGAGCAACGACTCTATCTATGGTGAGTCAGTGACACCGTAAGAAGTGATTTGTTGGTACTGAGTGATGAGGCCCAAAAGGTGGAGGACTTCGGGAGTACATTGGGGTCAATAATGATTTCGTCTTGTTTGGCAGTTAGGGCTATGCTAAATATGCCTGATAAGCAAGGCAAGGTGCGATAAGCTAACTTCGTGATATTCCACTTTACCCTCTGGTGGTTCACAATGCTAGCAACCTTGCAGGAATGGGTGGACAGGGTCTATGATGGCCTTGGTCACAGCCCTCACACCGACAAGCCCTAGGGCTACCGATACGGAGAAGGTTTCATCGCGGGATAATGCGCCATGTTAATCGTAACTCTTGGAGGCTGAGAGGGACGCTATTCGGCCTGCAGCATCAGCGACACAATCAAAGATGTTTGACTGATTAAGCATGGTTTCTGTTCTACCCCGGATTCGAGGTTCTTTCACCGTTTGTCGCTTTTCGAGTCTGTAAAATTAGCTTCGATGAAATGGCTAGTAAGCTCCAAAAAGGAATGCGCCAGGATGAGGTTAAGAAACCTATTTCCTATCCCAATACAACTTTGAGTCTGCATGAAAAGCACGGTGGAGAGATCTGATGTGAAAGTAGATAACTCCGAGTGAAGTGGGATACCAGTGACGTCACAATCAGTTGATCAGCCAATAGAATTGTGAATTCTACTCGGCCGCGGGGGACTATGTGGACGCGTTGGGGGCCATGGCCGACAAACCTACCACTCGCCCTGGGAATTGAGAAAAATAAACATAGAATAGTGAGTGATAATTGTACCTGAAGGAAATTAGCTACCACCATGCCATATATACATACATATAACTAGTCATTTAGGTACTAATGTACATGGAGAGTCACGCAGGTACGAAGTATGTAACCCCGCTTACTGTGGGAGATTTTCTTTTGTTGCATTTTAATAAAGTACCTGGTATTTTAATTGGGTATGAATGACAGAAACATTATGACCGGTTTATATCTACTAGCGCCGATTAGATTCAAGTGCGTGAGGCTTAAGACCAGGATACAGAAGCTTAACACCATCGGGGTTGCGGCGGTCCTAAAAGGCCCTTGCCCTGATTCGGGAAGTCTACTAGTGTCATGTCAGCTTATAAAAAGCCTCTCTTCCCCCCAGCTTTGATTCCCTGTCCCAAATTTCGTTTCCCCTTCCCGTCCTTCCATTTACCCACCATGACTGACCCCGAGATCTTCACCAAGTACCCGTCCCTCAAAAAGATGGAAGGCCTAGATGATGAAGACATTGTCGAATCCCACGATGGCCGCGAAGTCACCCTGCTCAAATACATCTACAACCACTCTGACCTCGACACCAAGCTACGGGGCTCCCCATCCGCCATCCTCGCCGCCATGGACGAGTTCGCTGCCCAGGAGGACTTTCTTATCAACATTGGCCCCGACAAAGCCGAGAAACTGACCGACCTGCTCCGCGAATACCGCCCCCGCGTGGTGGTGGAGGTGGGCACTTATGTTGGGTACGTGGTGGATCTTGCGATCACTAAGATCCGATGGAGACACTAACCATCTATCCACAATCTAGGTACTCAGCTATCCTATTCGGAAATATTCTCAAAGAAATATACGATGAGGACAAAGCCGAGCTGAAAGAGGATGAGGGGAGCGCACCAAGCAAACCAAAGATCTACAGTGTGGAAATCGACCCGCTTATCGCCTCCGTCGCCATGAATCTCGTCAGCCTCGCCGGTCTCCAGGATATTGTTGAAGTGATTGTGGGCGCATCCGCACATACCTTGCAGCGGTTCCATGACGAAGGCATCTTGGCTGAGACCGGCATTGACCTGCTGTTCATGGACCACGATGAAGCGCTCTATGAGCCGGATGTGAAGCTGGCTGAGAAATTGGCATTCCTGGATAAGGAAGATGCGGTTGTAATTGCTGATAATGTTGTGAGGCCCGGTGCGCCGGAATATCGGAGTTACATGCGAAAGAACCCACGCATGAGCCAGAGTTGGGGATTGGCCGGTTTGATTGTCCCGGGAGACTTCGAGGTTAGTTGGCTTGCGACCGATCGAAATCATGCTCGGGAGGCGCAATCTCTCTCTATAGTTTTAGACATTCCACTGACTCTTCGATCTTAGGATGAGTTGGAGGTTAGTGTGGTTGGCTTGCCAAAAAGATGGGCCTGAAGCCTAATTTGAAGAAACCCAGCCAATTGGTGGAGGGGAAGGGATTACATGGGAAAGGAGGCGTGAATGGAGCTGAGGATCAGGAGATACCCAATTGAAATAGGAAGAGGATTTCTACTTGATGACCAGTTACTCCTGGAACTTGGATATAGTTAGTTAGAGGTCCAAACATGAATTTCATACCTTGTAAACCCGAAAACTATAAAGAAAAAGAAAAAAACACACAGAAAAAGAGAAAAGGCTAAGATAGAAAAAGTCCAGCGACTAGCTTCTTGAAGTTTGTAGTCAAAGCAGACTTTGCTGGAACATAGTTGGATATTCGATGCTTCCGGAGGAGAGATGTCAAGTCCAGACTTCCGGTACGAAGATGAAAGTTGCCCAGCGCTGAGATGATCATTGCATGGAGTGTTCAGGGAAATGAGAATGTCTTTCATCTGTATTGAAATGAGGGTCAGATCTTCCGTACAGAATTAATATCCGTTTGTGGTTGTCTCGCTAACAGGCAGATCGCCAAGAGATACGGGGAATTTGGGAAGAGATGCAGATGGCTAGAGGATATTTCGTAAGGGTCTTGCAGATGCACGTTTGGTGTCCTTCGGCAATGGCATAGCCGAGCTCGTCAATAATGCTTTCTGCGGAGACATTGTCGTGAAGCTGAAGACGACCTTGATTTCAATAAATACTGTGCATGACAATGAATGCAATCCCGCAAGAACCATGCTTCTTACCCATACCTGCCCAAGAGTAAAAGGACTTCCATGGATTAGCAGACGATGAAGAGTATCCTTTGCGCGCTATCTGCTGTTCAACTGTCAGGCATCATCCAAGAGAAAGGAAGTCTGGACGTCGAAACTAAGCAAGTCAATTTATCCCATGGATATAGGCGGTTCCTTTTCTTGGGCAGAGCGACGCTCGACGAAGCTATAGGCAACTAAGTTGCAGCCTCTCCAATTCTAGGAAGTAATAAAGAAATAACGGCTCAATATTCCGAAACAGTATTAATGTTACTACGGACCGTCTAATTCTTCTACAGAAGGTTCTCGAGAGAACTTCAAAGAATGAACGGGGATTACTATTGCCCATCGACTTTATACAGGTTGTGGGGTCGACATCCCTTCCAGCCTTCTTGGTCGGGCCCTATGAGGCAGCTAGCAGGCAATAAATATATGAGAATAATCTGGAGCCAACCTTACAATTCAATGGAAAAAGCACCCAATTTGACGACCTGTGAAATGTCATTTAAGTCCTGTCATCATTTATAGGGGGATCCATAGGTCTGCTCGGCTGTCGTCTCCATGGTCATACAAAGCTCAGTGACGTCAACCACACAAAATAAAACAACCATCCCTCGCCTTTTTGTATTGCTCTCTACATTTCTAACCCTTTTCTTTATCTAGCACCGTGATTGAAGACTGTACTATGCCAAACTCATATACTCTTATTCAAGGGGCAACGGTGCTCTCTATGGAGCCGCCGGAGGGGAAGCCCCTCTACAATCACGACATTGTGATAGAAAATGATCGGATAAAGGCTGTAGGCCGAGGCCTATCTTTGCCGAGTGACAGCAATGTGTCCACAATTAATGCGAAAAATTGTATTATTACCCCGGGGTTTGTTGACGGCCACCATCACATGTGGCAGCACCTCCTGCGCGGTATCACGGCTGATTGGTCCCTGTTTGGTTACGCATGTCACCTGAGGAGTGTCTATGGGAGTTTGTACACACCAAACGATGTCTACTTCGCCAATTACGCTGCTGCGTTGAGTCTGCTAAACAACGGCATCACAACCGTCCTGGACCACTGCCACGTTATAAACTCGCCCGCACATGCCGATGCAGCGGTAAAGGGCTTGAAGGATGCTGCTATTCGAGGCACGTTCTGCTATGGGCTCTATCAGAACCCAAAGGAACCCGGGGATTTCGGGAGTACTGCGACAGACTCGTTCGACCAAGCCGCACGAGTCGATGATGCTCTCCGTGTGCGCCAAGAACACTTTTCAGACAACGATCCCGATACTTCGCTTCTGACTTTTGGTATTGCATTGAACGATCCACCCACAATATCCCGGGAACAAAACATCGCGGAAATGAAACTCGCGAGAAAGCTTCAAGCTAGACTCACGACCGTACATGCTTCAGTAGTTCCTCACGAGACCCCCAATCCTGAAGTCGTCCAGAATCTTGCGGATGCAAAATTGATGGGGCCGGACCTCGTATTCAGTCACGGAGGCGGGATGACAGACAGCGAGCTGGGTGCGGTGCAGAGTTCTGGGGCTGGCATTGTTGGGACTCCCGACACGGAGCTGCAAATGGGTATGGGATATCCCGTGGTATGGAAAGCTGCCGATCTGGGCTGTCAGACGTGCCTTGGACTCGATATCACTTCGAATCAAGGTAATGATTTCATGGCACAGATGAGGTTGGCTCTTCAGACGCAACGAGCTCGCGACTATGATCATACAGTCCAGAGAGATGTCCGCAGGAAGACAGCAGACGTATTACGCATGGCAACGCTAGGAGGGGCAGAGGTTATGGAAATGGGGTCGTTGGTTGGTTCTATCGTTCCTGGTAAAAAGGCTGACCTGGTGATCTTCCGCTGTGACGACATTGACACGGTACCCGTTGTGGACCCTATCCCAACTGTGGTCTTCCATGCATCGCCAAAGAACATTGACACCGTTATCGTTGACGGAAAGATTGTCAAGCAGAATGGTCAGCTTGTCGGTGTTGAATGGAAGTTCCTTCGTGATCAAATGATGCGTAGATCCCAACGACTGACGGATCAAGCATCCAAAGTCGATATGGAGAAGGCCGAATCATTATTTTACTCCTTATTCGAGAAGGCTATGGAAAAGTAAAGTGTATGATAATTTTTCACATGTATGTCGCTGTGAACCTTAAATTAATCGTTCCAAGCATCCAACGCACCTTCCCTGATGTAAAAATGGCACGCCCATACAAAAGGTACGAAGGGTACACAGGGAAGGTGCGCTTGGCTATAACTTTGAACACAGACCCTCTTGGCCTCACTGTAACCAGACCCAACAATCATCACGCCCAAATAAACATCTTCATGACTATAATACTCCAAATAGAAAATGAAAAGATTCTCAAATAACCTTTAGCACAGTCAACCTGACATAGCCCTCAGAGACTACGAAAAACATTCATTTACCTGATTTATGTAAAATGCGGGGAAAGTGGGCCCGCGCTAGGACATTGCCGACGGGCTTTTTGGATAGCCCACCGTGCACGGGCTCTTTAACCAGGTTTAGTTAACCAAAGGAGAATAAGGTTATTCAGTAGTTTGTCGGCAATAGTTAGTCCACCGATATATGCTATGTTGCATAATTTCTCATATACAGTCCAGGTCCGACGGCATTTGTAAAAGCCACTCTAAACATTTCCCGCTCTGACCAGCCGAAACCGGATAAGGAGGCGATGTTGATAGATCGAACGGGATATAAAAGTGACTCTGTTCCAGTGGGTATGAGTGGGAGACATCGTGGTGCGTTACTACTATTCTTGCCATGTTTTCAACTACCAGAATGATCCTTGGGGCTTTCTATATTCTGCTTTTTACTACCGTTGGGATATGCAAGTCCATAACCGAAGATCGTGATATCACGGTGTTGTTTCAAAATGACGGAAACTGGACAACACACGCCGACAATCCCAGTGCAATTTTGGTGCTAAGCCCCAGCAGTCACAGGGATGCTGTTGATACCTGTGCATCATATGGCGAGGAGCTTCTAGACTGCAAATATTTCTCTGAATTCTACCACCAATTGCAATACCAAGTATACCTCGGAAAGGTTGAGCAGACCCAGACCATATGGTCTTCCTGCTCAATGAGCCCCTTTACCCTGGATGGCGCTGCATCCCACATGAAAGATTCAATAGAGTTGCCTTTCATATGCACAAACTCGGCACCGACAGTAACAAAAGTCGATACGGACTTCTCAACCTTCTCACGCATCAATATTACGAGCAACGGCACAATATTTGAAGGTCTGCACGACCACATGGCCTTCCGATTTATGGAAATCCCTTTCGCCAAGCCACCAACAGGAGCCCTTCGCTTCCAGTACGCACAGCCATGGAATGGCACATACGTGGACGCGACGAAGTATGGTCCAGCTTGTTTGCAATATGGACGGCTGAACGGGAATCAACAGGGCTTCAACCCATGGGTAAATAGTGAGGACTGCTAATCCCTCGACATCTACACGCCACATATACCCGTAACACCGACCATTCAATCGAAGCCAAAACTAAAACCCGTTCTGTTTTGGATTCATGGAGGAGCCTTCACTCACAGATCGGCGGTAGACGGGGTATTCGATGGAGCTAGCCTCGTTAGCCGTGGGGATGTTGTCCTGGTTACAGTCAACTATCGACTGAGCATTTTTGGCTTCTTGGCCCTTAATGACACCACAGTTACGGGTAACTATGACATGTCAGATAAGATTGAGGCTCTCAAGTGGGTGCAAAACCACATCTCCGCGTTTGGTGGTGATCCGAACAACGTTACAATCTTCGGCCAATCTGCAGGAGGCTCTGCTGTCATCTCACTCATACAATCTCAAAAGGCTGCCGGGCTCTTTACAGGGGCGATCGCGCAGTCAGCTGGGGGTAGTTATGCTACTCCATCTGCTGCCACGACTCAGATCCTGCCGTTCATCGACAACTTATGCCCTAATGCGACTGGGGAGGTTCGTCTATAATGCCTGCAGTCCTTGCCACCCGAGGCATTACTAGAGCTCACAGAGACGAATGTGACATCGTGGACGTCAGTTGTCGATGTCATCTATTTCGAGGACATGTCCATTGCGCAGCTTGCAAAGGGGCGGCAATACGTCAACAAGGTCAAATTTATGGCAGGCTATATGCCGAACGAGTACCAATCCCTTATCGCCGAGGCTCTCCCTCCCAACATCACCAGCCTTGAGGCAGGACTCAAAATCATGCAGCATCCTGGTGCTTTGAACGCCAAATAAGTGGAAGCAGTCCTGGAGTCACCATTGTGGACAGTATCTCCCACGGAAAGGACATCTATGGGCAATTCCTCATCGCAATACTCATTCAACAATGCGTACAACGCCACGGTGAACGTTGCGACCAATGCCTTCTTAACCGGTCCAGGAATCCAGGTTGCCCGGATAGGGGCTGCGTCGTATTCTTTCGATCGGATGTGGATATACAAAATGGAGCGGGGATATGCGCTCTCATACTTGAACCCTTGGGGCATGTGCTCATTCCCAGTCGGCCGCCCCGAGGTCCCTTACTATAAATGCCATTCGAGCGATCTTTACGAGGTCTTCGGAACGTACTATCTCTCTGACCAGCCCATCCGCGTTGACGATGATGTGTATTACACCAACGCCATCCAGGACATGTGGGCATCCTTTGCACGAACTGGGAACCTAAATGTTGACAAGTCATACTTGATAGCCCGAGGGTATAACTCCACTTTGGAATTCTTCTCCAATTTTGTCTGGCCTTCTTTCACTGCTATCGCTCCCTAGGTGGCCTCCCTACAGTTCCCAGATCCGGCAATCACGACACTGCCAGACCAGGAGCGCATCGGGGTACTGACGCCATTTTTTTCGGGTTAAACTACGGGAGACATTTGAACTGGCCCTTTCAGTGACGCGATATGCTACAAGGGTTGAAAAACTTCCACAGTTCATACCGTATTATATCAAAACAGAGTACACACTGCTATGCGTAGACAGCCAGATAACGGCCGCACCCTTCAATCTATGACATGATGTTTTCTTTGGCTTCAAACTAGCTTTTTCCTTACCATTTACGTATAACAGGGCTCCAGGCCTTAGTCCCAGGGGCCAGATGAGTGGATCGGTGGATCTGTGGATCTGTGGCCAATTTGCCGACCTCCTCTCAATTCTTGATGATGAGTCACGCATCAACTATTGACAGAGATAGAAAATATTTCAACCAATAATGGGTGCGATAATGACGAAATCTAAAGATTACGCGCTTATTTTAGGGTTGGGGGGGATGGAGTTGGGAGGATTCCCGCCCTAAACATCTGTAACATGGATTGCCTGACATTCCCAACGGTTCAACACTTTCTTGCTGGGAGCAAACACAACTGACGATTATGTCGTTGATATGAAATAACTAAACAATTCTTTATGTTAAATAAAGTCCCTGGATTCAGGGTCCGTAATTTGAAAAAATTCCACCTCAGCCATCAATTCAATCTCGGAATTTCAAGAAATTGAAAGAGACCTACTATTTCCAAATCCACTGCCAAGATGGCTAAATCTGAGCCAAGTAGTGGAAAACAGCATATCAGCGAGAAGCCCGTCACACTCGGTAACTGGTACCAACATGTCAACTGGATCAACACAACCCTCATTCTGATCGTACCCGTCGGCGGCATCGTCGCTGCATTCTACACACCGCTGAGGGCAATCACTGCTGCTTGGGCATTTATCTACTACTTCTGGACCGGACTGGGAATCACCGCTGGCTATCATCGTCTATGGGCACACAGATCGTACGAAGCGTAAGTCGCCCACTCCCTCATCCCCTGCCTTGGTTCGAATCAAGCACTAACTCACATTTGATATCTGCAGTCGTCTTCCAGTTAGGATATTCCTCGCATGTGTCGGTGGTGGCGCTGTTCAAGGTTCAATCCGGTGGTGGAGCAGTAAACACAGGGCACACCACCGATGGACAGACACAGTCAAGGACCCATACAGTGTCATGAAGGGTCTTTGGTATTCGCATTTTATGTGGATGGTCCTGAATCAGAACCCGAAAAACCGTGGCAGAACCGATATTTCCGACTTGAATGAGGACCCGGTCGTCGTCTGGCAGCACAAGAACTATGGATCTGTCATCTTGGTTTTCGGAATGTTGTTCCCTATGCTCGTTGCTGGTCTGGGATGGGGTGATTGGAAGGGTGGTCTTGTATATGCCGGAATTCTTCGGTTTTCGTTTGTGCAGCAAGCCACCTTCTGTGTCAATTCTCTTGCCCATTGGCTGGGTGAGCAGGTTAGTCATTTTCCCTATCCTGCTCTTGTCATACTCCCGTTCATACTGACACACTCTAGCCATTTGATGACAGGAACTCACCTCGCGATCACGTCGTTACTGCCCTGATCACTCTCGGTGAAGGTTACCACAACTTCCACCACGAGGTAAGAAGGTTCTTCCCTTTGCATTTACTTGGCACCCACTAAACCCTGACCAGTTCCCCTCCGACTACCGCAACGCCATCGAATGGTGGCAGTATGACCCCACAAAGTGGTCAATCTGGTTGTGGAAACAGCTCGGTTTGGCTACCAACCTCAAGCAGTTCCGAGCCAACGAAATCGAGAAGGGTCGTGTGCAACAACTACAGAAGAAGCTCGACCAGAAGCGCTCGAAGCTTGATTGGGGTGTTCCTCTTGATCAGCTGCCTGTTGTCGATTGGGATGATTTTATTGCAGAAACTCAGAGCGGCAAAGCTTTAGTTGCTATTGCTGGTGTTGTTCACGATGTGAGCAAATTTATCACGGAACACCCTGGTGGTAAAACCCTCATTTCATCGGCCATTGGGAAGGATGCCACTGCCATGTTCAACGGCGGTGTCTATACTCACTCCAATGCTGCCCACAACCTACTTTCTTCAATGCGAGTTGGGGTGATTCGCGGCGGTGGTGAGGTTGAGATTTGGCGTCACCAAAATAACCAAAAGGGCGTTTATGCTTGAGCTTTGGAGGAGTTATTAGAGATCAATTTGTCAAGTTTCACGAGAATATGAATATCCGTTTTAACCAAAGAAGCAAACTTGCGAATACCCCCTTGGAAGCCTTGGTGGATTAATGAGTAGATTAACTCTTCCAGATATGTTGGGATCAAGGGGGAACAGCCAAAGAAATAGACGGAGTTAGGAGATAACGGGAGGCGACTCGGTTTCGATTTCTTACAGTATGCAGGGGTCAATGAAGTCATGTCCTCACAAATAATTTTTTTAGATGATCCTTATAATTGCTGGGAATTGGCGGACTATTCAGCCCATTTGACTGCCAAGACTTCGTTTTCTCTTCCCTCGCTTCATCACTCTGTGACTCCCTCACTTTCACCTTATCTCTCTTTCTCACTGTGTACTGTGGGATGTGTCGGATGACTGCCAATGTGCTCTGTCAGTGTAATTATTCATTATTTTCATCCCATATGCTAAGTCTGACTTTGATTTGATTCTCTAGTTCACATCATTCTAAGCCCTCGCTGGTCCTTGCGAGAAAAATGAGTGACACAGGCATCAGCTCCCCAATTGCAAAAGATCTATCAACGAAGATAGAAGACAAGCACCATGTTCATCGCACGTCAAAATCAAATCAAGACAGCCGAAATTTGGACTTTGTTTTACGAAACGGGTTAGCCGGAGGTGTTGCAGGCTGTGCTGTAAGCCTTACCACCCGAGCTGCCAACAGTAGACTGCTAATGCCAGAGTAATGTAGGCTAAAACTGTTGTGGCCCCATTGGAGAGAGTCAGAATCCTCTTTCAAACCTCTCACTCTCATTTTGTGCAATATTCGACCAGCTGGGATGGTTTCATTAAAGCTGCCAGACACATTCGAACGTCATATGGCATATCTGCGCTTTTCAAAGGCCACTCGGCAAGCTTGATCCGCGTCTTCCCGTATGCCGGTATCAACTTTCTCGCATACGAACAATTCCGAGCAGCAATAATTGCATCTCCCGAGCAAGAAGCGCCATTGCGTCGATTTTTGTGCGGAAGTTTGGCCGGTGCGACCTCTACCTTGGTCACATATCCTCTTGAGTTGATCCGTACACGTCTTGCCTTTGAAACGGTACAAAAGAATCCCTCATCCTGGCTTGGTATTTCTCGGAAAATCTACTTCGAAGGAGGAGGCAGCGGGAGCTTGTCAAATCTCTATCGAGGGATTGCCCCGACTATGCTAGGCATACTTCCGTATGCTGGCACGTCATTCCTCACCCATGATCTACTTAGGGACTGGCTTCGTACGCCTGTCCTTGCACCCTATACTCTAAGATCGCAATCCTCCACCCGGTTGACCGCAGTTGCGCAGCTTTCCTGTGGAGCGGTTGCTGGCATAGTCGCCCAAACAATTTCTTACCCGATTGATATTATTCGGCGGCGAATGCAAGTTAGAAGTGCGGTTGATACTAGGTCAGGTATTTTGGAGACAGCCCAACGTATCTTTCTGGAGAGGGGAGTGAGAGGCTTTTATGTTGGATTGACTATCGGCTATGTCAAAATGGCTCCCATGGTGGCGACAAGTTTCTATGTCTATGATCGGATGAAGCGATTTTTGGGGCTTATTAAGTAGCCGATTTCTTTTTTCTCTTTTTCTTGATTTATTGGACATTGATAAACTACATCTTACCACTAACCGGAAGGTTAGAACCGAAGAGCTCCTTCTAAGATTACCTCGGAACTAACCCAATTCGGAAAGACCCACCCGTGAACTCCCCAGAGGCGTCTCACGGGATAAAATGTGGCTGACTAAGGACATCCGGGCGGTAAACAAAGAAGCAATTCTACTCCACCGGAGTTTTGCCGTTCACTGGGCTCGGGCGAAGTAACATTTGTTCCGTGCCGTCAGTGGCAGAACGCCTCTTGAGCTTGACTGGACCCACGACCCTTAAGTTACATCTCTTGAAGTCACACCCGAATAGGGGCTCGGATCTTCCCCCTCATTATCCAGCGTCCGCTTTGTTCAACAGGCCAATGGTTGACCTGCATGCTCATCACACCACCTGCATTCGGATAAATCCTGGTCTTACCAGAGCCTTTACCCCGGTTTCCGTCTATTGCCCCCGCCCCCTAGCGTCAAAGCCATGCGGAGGTAGTTTAGCGCAAATTGGGGAATGTTTATTGCGATCCGAACGGAGCTTCTCATAAAATGCCTGTCCCCCTCGGTAGGCTCCGTTCATTAGTTTGCCCTGCCCGGATCACCCTTCGTTATCTTCTTCTCCTCTTCTGTTTATTGTTTCTCTCGGTTACAACTCTCCTGGGACTTAAAATGCATCTCAAGTCTTATGTGACAGCCGCCCTGTATGGGTTACCTGCCCTGGCCAATGCTGCGCCGTCGCCATCTCACTCCCAGGCTGCATCTCCCTCGCCGTCTGCAGCTAGCTCAAATGCCGATCACTTCAAGAGCTATACAATTAAGGCAGAGAACATCACTGCTACGCTGATTCCATACGGCGCGCGCCTCACCTCCTTGCTAGTTCCAGATCGCGACGGAAACGTCCAAGATGTGGTCGTTGGCTACGATGACCCTAAGGAGTATCTGCATGATAGTGAAACCAATCGTACGTTCTTCGGCGCGGTTGTCGGTCGCTATGCCAATCGTATCAAGAACGGTACCTTCACCATTGATGATAAGGATTATCACGTTCCTGAGAATGAAAACGATGGCGTGGACACCCTCCACGGTGGCTTCATCGGATATGACATGCGCAACTGGACAGTCACTTCGCACAGCGATTCCTCAATCACCTTCACCTTGCTTGATCAAGGCTTCGAGAAGTTCCCAGGAGACGTCATTACCCATGCTACTTTCAGCGTATCTACCGAGAAGACTCAATCCAACCCCAAGGGACTTCCCCAGTTGACCTCAAAATTGGTGGCTCTCTCTCTCACAGAAAAGACCCCCATCATGCTGGCCAACCACATCTACTGGAACTTGAACGCGTTCAAAGAATCCAACGTGTTGAAGGACACCCTACATCTTCCCCTGTCACAGCGGTTCGTCGGTGGAGATAGCATCTTAATCCCGAATGGCACCATCCACGACGTTGAAAACACCTACCAAGGAGCTCTCGACTTCACCAGTCCCAAACTCATTGGCAAGGACATCGAAAAGACCTACGATCTCTGTGGTGCCGGATGCACAGGCTACGACACATGCTTCCTGGTTGACCGTCCCTCGACATACGCGTCGAACTCCATGGTCACGGCCCTGAGCGCCTCGTCTAGTTCCACCGGTATCAGCCTCGATGTCGCTACCAACCAGGCCGCGCTGCAGATCTACACCTGCAGCGGGCAGAACGGCTCAATTGCCACCAAGAAGTCGCAGGCGAAACGCAACAAGGCTGATGGTGGTGACGCCGGTGCAACCCACGTTAACAAGTACGGATGCTTCGTTATCGAGACCGAGGATTGGATCGATGGTATCAATAACCCTGAGTGGGGCCGTGTTCCCTACCAGGTCTTTGGTCCTGATGATGGGCCCGCCGTTAACTGGGCTACATACCAGTTCGGCACTCTCTAGATTTTATAATTCTACAGTACAGTGTGCTATATACTTGTATTGAATTAATAATCACATCTGCGTGGACCTTTACGCGCAGCGTTTATTTTAGAATTTATTGCCTCGATCTGTACGAATGACAGCCACCTGTGGCCAGTTCAATAGGTCATAGAGTGATACTAAAAACAGATATAATGAACATTGGATTTTGCTATACATTCAAACCCACTCAACAGTCTCCAACATAATGTACAGAAGACAATAGAGATCTACAACTTCGACAAAATGCCACCTCCATTATCTCCACTCCCCTTAACAATCTCATCTTCCCAATAATTCGGATTGAACGTGATCCGGTTCAGCGGATTCAACCGATGGGCGCGATTAAATAGATCTTCATAAACACGGCCATCATACCGGCCCAGCGCACTATAATCAAGTCAGTCACACTTATTCCTATATCAAAGCGTCTCAGATGACTTGATAGCCACTCACCTATCCAATAAGTAATCAGGAATCATCCATGAATCAACCAGTTTCACGGCATGTGGTCGAATACGCGCCATTAGGTCTTGGACTCGACTGGCTAGGGCATTTATATCTGCTTGGGAGACGGCGTCGGACTGGAAGACTGGTGTATTCATTAGTTTGTGGGAAGTAATGTTGGGTTTGTTGCTAGTGGCTTACATTCAAAGCTTTCGTTCTCCATGCTGTATAATGCGAACAAGCGGAAACAGTCCCATAGTACAGTTTTGATGGGCGATGAGAGAGTTTTGTCGTTGGAGAGGGCATCGAAGAAGGTTGCGACAATGATCGATTCGGATTGGGCTGTTTTTTATCTTAGGTCAGTGTATAAGAATAGATCGTTTCAAGATTTGCTTACCCCGACTTAGTTTGTGAAGCTGGATTAGAAGACTGTTCCAGTTCTGTTTTTTTGTGACTCTTTGTTCGTATGCGTCGTATGCCTGTCGATTATTAGTTTCAAGCTGTTCGATAGAATGAATATTGCAAAACTTACCATAACAGTAGCTCTCAGCTCAAAGCTCTTAACAATGTCCAAATCACTGTTCAGAACATCATATGTCCGCTTTTCTGCTCCGGAACAGCGCTTGTTGCGAATAAACTCTTTGAATCGAGCATCAGTCTCATCAACTCCGGGAGTATCAGGCGACTCAACAGCAACAGTCATCTTCTTGATCAGATACGCCGCAACCTGCTGCGTAATCATCCAATTATCTCCCTCAACAGTTGGCTTAGAGAGGTAATCATTATTGACCTGGATCAAACCACTCCCACCACCAAAGCCATGGCCACCCATGGCACGTCGACACGTCTCAATGCCATCTGCAGCGAGGATAGTGCACAAACTCTTCAATCCGGAGGACATGCTGTGCATATGAGCCAAGGAATTGAAATTTCCCCTTTCTATATCCCGTCGTGCGTTCTTGTAGACTGTCTGCATAGCAAGACCTGTGTAGTGAAGTGCAAAGGTTGTGGCAAGGAGAGGTAAGATCCGAATCTGGACAGTTGGATAGTCCAAAACAGACATCTCCGGTCCTTTCTTGTCGCCGTCTCGGTCTTGGAACTGGCGTCGCACACTGCTGTACCGCACTGCGACGGTGACTGCCCGTGCGAGGACAAGTCGAGCGCGGTGGACCATGTTCGACCGCACATAGGTCAGAGATCCATAGATCAGAGCTGGCTTCTCCGGCTTAGTGTAAATTCCTGTGTTGGAATCGACATTTGAGTATCGTGAAAGCATAGCAGAGTGTGGAACTCTAGTGTCTTATTAGCGAGTATATCTTGAACGTATTCACGAGGAACAAACCTGAACTGGTCAAACAACATATACGCATTGTCCATAGTGATATATCCATATTTGGGACCAATATCTCCAACAACAATCCCATCCAACGGCTGATGTGTTTTCATATCCCGCACCTGCACAATGAACGGATGAGGACCATGCGAGACATACTTATCTGGCGATATGGGATCCGGGAGAAGCAATTGTGCAACCACAATAGCATGGTTGGCTAAACGGCCCAGGCTGCCATTCCACCATTTGCTCGCCGTAAGGGTCGGGCTATGTAGCACGAACTCCTTGGTCCGGCTATCCCAACGCGCCTCAAGCTCCAAGCCACGGACATTACTCCCATGTCCCAATTCAGTTTGTGCATATGCACCAATGATCTTCCAGGATTCAGTCAATGGCAGCCAGTGCGCCTGCTGTTCCTCGCTGGCCTGTTCGCGGATAGTCGTGATGAACATCTCCATGTGTAGGAAGTAGGGCGACACATCGTCAACCAGGTATTCGGCCATTTGGTATTCGAGATAGCTCCATTTGTGCGTGTCTCTCATTCGGCGTAGGAGTTTTGCGCGTGCAACTCCTAGCTTGAACCTTTCCGGTCTGGAGAGGTTTTGTTGCTGGTCTTTGGAGAAAAGTGGCTCTTGTTGGATTATGGGTAGGATTCGAGCTTGTCGTTCCAAAAATCCATCCGAAGCCAACAAATGCTGTCCTAGTTCTTCAGTGGCGATGTTGGATTGTTGACGTTCGCGGGCTAGCGTTGTTGACCCATCTGGTTGGCTTGGGCGAAGATTATCCGTGAAATCAAGCATACTGAATCCTTTGGCTCTTGGAAGCTGTATAAAAATCTCAATTACAGTTTCATATATCTCGACTTTATTCATGTATCAAATACTCGTACCGAATTGCCTTGGCTAAATCCATAGTTCAAAATCACCGAGTCCCGAATGCCGGTACTTCTACCCCGCAGGGTAAATGTAAACTGCGGAGAAGTAGCAAGTAGCCGAATAGACAGAGTATAGCAGTAAACTATTGGCTAGGAAATTCAGCGGGGAAGGATATGTTGCCGCAATGTGTATACTCGAATGCAGCGGGATAAGACCGTCAACTACCCCAGCTCAGCAGTACACAAACTCAAACAAAATGGGAGACCGCACTCTATTCATACCTCCACATGTGGGAGACAACGTGTTGCCAAATCTTCCTTTTTTCCACAGACTATTGCGTTATGCGCAACGTAAGCCTTCGCCCATTGTGGTTCGAGACCTGGTTGCTAGCGTGGAAAAAACATACCATCATCTTGTTTCGGATGTGTTAGCCTTTCGCAAGGTTTTGGAAAGATCGCTCAGTCATGAAGCTCGACATGATTTGATTGCGGACAAGGAGGTATATATTGGGTTGCTTGCACCGGGAGGGTATGAATACACCGTCGGCTTCATCGCAATCCTTGCAATTGGTGCAGCAGTAGTGCCTATGGGTGAGTCTCAATCTTCTAGAAGAAGACGCATAGCTGATAAACAGTAGCTGCCGCATTGCCAGTAGAAGAAGCCTCGTACTTTTTATTAAAAGCACGCTGTGTGGCTATGGTAGCCAGCACAACCAGTGAAAATACCGCCCAGGACGTGGCTCGCTATATGGGAGAAATTAAGGGCGTTCACATTCCCTGCATATCCCCAATCGCATCTCATATTCACCCCATGCTTCTCCCGTCAGATGAAGCGACTATTTCCTCCGGCCCAGTTCCAGATATGAACGCGGCAGCACTAGTGATCTTCACTTCCGGCACGACAGGGCCCCCCAAGGGCGCTGTGCAGCGTCGCAGTTATATCTCCGGGAATGGGGAAGCTGACGCGGACTATTACCAAATCACAGACAAGGACACAGTCCTCCACGTCCTTCCAGTACATCATGCCTCCGGTGTGGGGCTGACTTTTCTCCCGTTCCTCACGGCCGGCGCATGTATCGAGTTCCGAAGTGGTAGCTTCGATACAGCCTGGACGTGGGAGCGCTGGCGACAGGGAGGTCTTACCTTCTTCTCTGGAGTTCCCACCATATACATGCGTATGATGAGGTACTATGAAGAGAACATTGCACACCTAGCTCCTGAGGTACGTGACCAGTACATCGCTGGTGCGTGTAAGATTAGAGCGATGCTGTGTGGTACTTCGGCACTTCCAGGGCCTGTACAAGAGTTCTGGCATCAAATTAGGAATAAGCCAATTCTCACTCGATATGGTGCGACAGAATTTGGCGCAGTTATCAAGACTGAACTTAATTCCGATGGAACGCCGCAAAACAGTGTTGGTCGTGTTGCTGAGGCGGTTTCACTCAAGCTTACCGATGAAGGTCAGATATTAGTGAAGTGTCCTTATATGTTTTCCAAGTAAGTCAAATGTCCTTTCAATGGTGATTAGCTTACAAATATTTTTTAACAGGTATCTCTTCGATGAGAAAGCAACGGCGGATGCACATGACGCCGAAGGGTACTTCAAAACGGGAGATATTGCTCGCCGCGAAGGGAAATATTATTTCATCCTGGGCCGTGCCTCGATCGATATCATCAAGTCAGGTGGCTACAAGATCTCCGCGTTGGATGTCGAGCGCGAGATCCTAGGTCTAGATTATGCTTCCGAGGTTATGGTTGTGGGCGTTGAAGATGAGGAGTTTGGTCAACGAGTTGCTGCTACTGTCAGCCTCAAACAAGATCAAAGAACAACACGTAAGAGCCTCACAATCGCTGAGCTGCGAGGAGATCTACGAAGTAGAATGGCTGGATATAAGATGCCGACTATTCTTCGTGTAGTTCAAGGTGAGTTGCCCAAGTCGGGTACGGGGAAGGTGCAGAAGAAGATATTGGGGCCGCGGTTTTTTCCTCCTAACTATCGAGAGCTGCCTGAGGTGCAAGTCTGGAGCAGGGAAAATAATGCCAAGTTATAGGGTCAAACGATTGAAAACTTATTCCCGTAGTTGCAGTAGCTAAGTATTTACATACATGTACTTGATATCACTGTCCATCCCCATCAAATCTTGACCTTAGCAGGCGCCGAAGTCGCCCGACTATGAACATAGCTAATACGCTGGAATTTCCTAATAGCATCCCCCCAAAGCTCCTGACGAAGCAAAGCATACACACTGCACAGCATTAGCAAGCATTATTTCTCTCAAAAAGACTTGTTGAGATCACAACTTACCCCATCTTCGCTTTAGGCGCCCACTTCGCCCCCAATTCCAAAGCAACATTCAGCATCTCCTCCGGCTCCGCAACAGCATCCACAATCCCATCGTCCAGCGCTTCAGGCCCAGTCCACCTGTGCGCCTCAAGCAACATCTTACGTGCAACCTGAGGACGCAGCTTGAGACGAGGTAGTGAGCCTATCCCGTCGAAGTGCAGACCCAGGTTTACAGGTGGCATCGAGATAAAGCCGCGGCGGGAGTTCATTACTCGGTAGTCGTGTGCCAGAGCGAGTGGACATGCGCCGCCGAATGTGTGCCCGGTTAAGAGGGCGATAGTTGGGAATGGAAAATCAAGGATCGCGTGGATGAGCTAGATGTTGGTTGTTAGTGTGGTCTCATACAGGACATGCTAGCATATCTGTTCAAAGCTGGCTTGAGAGCCGTTCTCACTGGATAGAAGCCATCTGTATTAGCAAATGGGTTATGGTCTGATTCATCCAGCTCGAGTCCCTAGGAGTGTTCTATTAGTTCTTCCGATATTTTTCTGTTTTGGGACTTGATTCAATGTACAGTGCACCAGAATTTGGCATCATTGCCCCGCGTGATTACTGCCCCTTCTGAGTCGGGTCCCAGGATTCTTTCTATGGATCGATAGGCCCGGATCATCTCCTGACAATACGATGAGTTCAATCGGTTTTCCGGGGGTTTCTGCATGGTCAGAACGAATACATTCCCATGTCTCTCGAGGGAGAGATTGCGGAAGGTTAGAATTTCTGTCATGATGCCAATTTTACGAATATTGAGCAAATATTGATATCGTACACTCGAACTATTTCGTTAACCGTTCGTTATCCTGTGATGTATGTTCGTAGGTCCCCGCATTTTCACATTCCCCATATTTACGTTGCCGAAATTCACCGAGTACCGAAATCTAAAAGATATTTGGGAATTTTCACACACATTTGCAAGGTGTCATAATCTCCATAAGTCTCATAAAATCTATGCGTATATGTGTACATAGTCAAGGAATTGCTATAATCCCTACCAGGCAATCTCTCCATTCCATTCTAAATCCTTGAACAGCCAATCCCCCATTCCCTGGTATTGATTAAAGAAATCATCGGGAATATCTTGCGACATATCTCCTACACTGAGGTCTTCATTGCGGTCCAAAATTGTTGTGAGTGGCCTGTACTCATCCGAGGATTTAGCATCCGGTGCCCGGGACTCGGCCCAATCTCCTAGCACCTCTGGGATCCCGGCTATAAAGCTATCTGTGCTTCCACCATGCCCCAATTGTGCGAGGTCCATGAAATATGACCAAGCCCAGGAAATACCCGGGCCAAATTCCTCAAAAAATGGTTGGTGTTCTCTAGAAAGCGTCATCAATGGTATTTCGTCTACTGTCGACGAGCTGCGCTGCTTTTCAGCAATGCTCTTCAAGGCTCTGAGGCTGCCTTTCGCGGATGACCAGCGTTTTGCAAGTTCCTCGAGAGCCAGGTAGATAGATTTCAAGCTACTTGTTGCCTTCTCTCGGTGTGATGGTACGTTATTGCATGAGAGAAGCCCGATTCCGGCAGCCAAAAGGTGGAATGTGAACACTGGGCTTAGAAATTGGATCTCATCTCGGGCGAGAGAAAGTCTTCAAATATCCCTGCCACAAAGGATGACGCTAAAAGCACTCCTAATGATGCAGATTCTCCGGGGTTGGGTCGACACAGTATTGCGAGACAGGTAAAGTATGGGATGTGGAGCTGACGTGCTTCAAAATTGTATCTGGCCAATCTCCCTTTCGATGATGGTGTATGTTCTGATGTACTCTGGCTATAAAATAAGCGCAGTGAGGGTGGAAGGTCGCGTGTCCATCGGTATAAACGATTCTCAAGGTTCTGTCGAGCCTCACGTGTGAGGGTCTTGCGACGACAGTACTCGGTGAGATGGCCCAGGATAGAACTAATCTCGACATATGCAATGAACAGAGGAGCATTTGAGCTTGAATCATGGAAATCTTCGGGGCAAGGCGGCGCCACCTCACAATCCTCCAGATCCACTGCTAGTGGCCGGCCCTGTCCTGCAGAAATGCAACAATCTCTAGCCTGTCTGCTGTCAGTGGTTGTGTATGCTAATGAAAACGCACATTCTTGACTTACGTAGAGAGTCCACCACAATCTCCGCCTCAGGGTAGCATCTCTTGTATTCGTTGGTTCCTTGTGCAATCCAATCTGATGAGCTAACCCAACTCCCACATATCGCCAGAACCCACTGGTATTGGTGGACACATGCTCAGGACCTTCTGGGTTATACCAATGCAAAATGCACACTGCTGCGACGACAGTCACTGGATTCCTCTCGTATCCCGACCAGAACAAGGCTTTTGCACGACGATAAAACTGGTGCAAAGATGCATACGCAGTCACTGCCGGTGCAGATGTGACTCGGCTCGCAGCGACGAAAATAGACTGGAGAAGTAGCATTGACGGCTTCTGAGGGCCGCTTTCCTCTAACCAGCTCCGCTCGATTATCGGCATCCATGGTGAACATCGTTCCATAAAAGTGTTAATCAATCCTTCTCGGATAGCTCTTGGTAGGAGATCAAATGCACCTTATAGTCTGAGCAGCTGGATATCATCTTCGGTTGTTCTATCTGCATCTCCTTCTGGGTAAGATCTAGCCTTCTCTTCGTTGATTGCCACTGCATCATCAAAGTAGCGGGAGCGTGCCATGAAGCTCAAACTCGAAGCGGATGAATATGGATTGGAGTCTGGTGTAATCGGTACATGGTCTCCGGTATCAGCTCTACCTTGGCTTGTCTCGCGGTATTCATTCCAATCTGAGCCGATAGAACTAAATTTTCTCGTCGGTTCTTCCCAGTTCACCCGTCTCCTTCTAACCGCTTCGGTATCATTGATGCTACATTCACTATTGTTATTGTTGGCTCTTTTTCTCTTGCGCTCTCGTCGACTGCACGGTATTTAGTATGTTTACTCCAATGTCAGAAATCAATTTTCTTACGAACAGGGCCATTGATGCCGTTGGCAGTTCACACATACATCAGGATTTCCGTCAAAGATACTGCGAACCTAAAGAGATTAGTATTTCTTCATAATTTATTCCTCTTTCTCATACCTTCTTTTTATTGCAGGCAGCACATGCTGTAGGTGCACGTAATGGTGGGGGACTAAAGTCATTCATTTTCGACCTATTTCATACATTTAATGTAGAAAAGTCGGGGACCATTTGGGGCAGTTCTCGATTTCCCCGGCTTTTATTACTAATGAAAGAATAAAATACCGGCACGACGGTTATAAGGTTATAACACAATATTAGGCGGCTACGTAGATGTATTTTTTATTTTGGTCAATATAACCGTGCCAAGCCCAACACCTCCGTGTTAATGTATTAGATACATGGGCAGTCTATGTATGTTATAGTAGTGATTCAGGTTGTATGTACCAACAGTGTTTACTTTATTCCCTACTAGTACAAGGTATACTTACTAATTAGGTTTACTAGTAATTTGTTAGTAATCTCAAGTACTACTTTTTTTTACTTAGTCAAACCCAGGCTCACTGTAATCCTCGTCCATGGCGTCGGCCTTCCTCTTCCGCTCAATTGATCCATCAGCCTCAATTAACCTTTGGGCCTCAACCAACGCGGCGATCCGACCAGGTAAACTGAGACTCAGGTTGAAGTAGATATCGGGTCTGCGGGGATAACAAGTAATATCGAATCCCGGGGTTTCACGAAATCTCTTCCACAGCCTGCTGAGATTTGCGGAATGGATGGTGGGGTAGCCTGTTGGTATCCAATCTGTTCTGAGCCTAGATTTGGTACAGAGGTGCACGGCTACTACAAATCTTGGTGTCGTATGGCCAGTCCATCGTGCTTTGACCGTTTTTGTTTCCTGGCAGGCTGTGCCCTGGCACTTTACTTCGAGCTCGACCGGGAGTGCTCCAAATTCTTCTCTGCGGAGAAGAAACCATCTGTCAAACTGATCAAGAGACTTCTCCTCTAAATCTTTCTGGGTACAATGGGAGTACCTCGTTAGTGTGTTGAGAGGTAGGAGGTTGGTGTTTTGCAAGTTTTGCATCCCGCAATCTGGCCGACCGCAGCCGGACCGAAAATGATACCAAAGTGCGTAACGATCGGGGTCAAACTTTGACCAGTAAGCGAAGGGGTCGTCTAGACACTCCTTGTCACATTGTGAACATTTTCGTGGGACCACATCGTTCGGAGTTTCGCGGAGGATGAGCATATCATCGACGCAAGGCTTTCTTGGGCGAGCAATCATCCAACCATAAGCGGCTAACACCGAAATTGCGAGTGTGAGAATGTCCAAAGTCTCGGGGCTACCTTTACATTTTCGGAGAAGATAAAAGGCGACCTCTAGATCGGCTCGACTCGATAACTCTCGCCGGTTAAATTTCAAGCCATCCTGTGCCTGTATAAACTCAACCAGAGGATGGGGAAGATCTCCCCAGTCCCAGCAATCTGATAGTTGGAACTCTGTGGAGAATTGACTTAGAAAATACCCGACACTCTGTTGTATACCGACAGCCTTTGTGTGATGAGTGGTGGTAGTAATATGAGGACTGAATGCAGATAGGAGCTCCACTAAATCATGCCAATAAGTCGCTATCTTATGAATGCGGGCATTCCTCTATTCAAAACCAGTGTTAGGGAGATGTATAGGTGAAATGATCAAGAAAATTCTTACCAAGATTGTGTCATCTATGTTGCTTGTCATATTGGCAGTTTCGCTCACTTGACCTGGTTTGAGTTGAGCTAAAAGTCCCAATATATTTTCGACACACAGGCTCTCTTCCTTCGTGGCACGGATACGATGTGATGTTTCTATCGAAAGAATGGCTCCTGGGAAAGCTTTCTGTAAGTGGGCCACCGCTTGGCCTTTCCACTGGTTTCTTGTAGCGCTTACTTTGCGTGTCACACATAGATTCTGAGGCAATCGAGGATCTAGCTCATAGAATTTTGGTGGGATTCCAATGCCTCCCAGGCTAGCGGCGAGAGCTAATGCTTGATCTTGCGGTGAACCGAATCGGCGTCGCCAGTCTTGAGACTTCTCTCCATCCCCTTTAACGTACATAAAGCGCTGGGGGTGTGCGACAAAAATAATGAAACGTTTCAAGGACGTCTTATCGGGTGTTAGCTCTAGGTATAGAACTAAACCGGCAAAGTCACCCCAAAGACGAAAAGGCTGTAGGTCAAGCTTCTTAAGCATTCGTTCACGAACGTTGGCACCCCAGCAGATCTCGACTTTTGCCTTCATCGCGGCTCGAAGCGCAAATATAAACCGTTCATGGATGTCGAAGAGATCCTCGGGGTAAACATCTTTGCAGTGTCTGCTGATATCTCTGCGGGCGAGATGGTCGAAAAGCAAACAATTATTTGTTGTTGAAAATCCAGCTTTGTTGAGCTGGGCGATTGAGGGATTTGAAAGGTCTTCAGTCTTTTGGCAACTGGGGTCGTCAACGGAAAACGTGGGATTGTACAGGTGGCAGGCAACCGGAGCATTCAGCTGTCCACTCGGGCGAACCAAGAATTCCCTAGGTCGAGTGACATCTCGGGCCTTCCACCATGTGGCTTCGTTATTTTGAAGATGCTCAAAAGCCTCATTCATATCCCACCCAAGTGAGGAGATCTGGCCTGCTGTCCAGTTAGCCTTAAGTAATCCCAAAAGGCCGTCACGATACATACCATCCGTTTCCTCCAGTTCTTTATTCCATTGCATCTCGAGGCCTTGGATCAGGGGAAGGAACTTTCGGACATGGGTCAGTTCTTGGCTAGACAAAGCTTTCTCGGGGTCCGGCAGCCAGACATCCCGAAAGAAGTGAATCTTCGTCCACCCATCCATGGCACAATTTGACTAGCACGTTTTAAGCCATGCTTGGATACTCAGATACTAGAAAGTATCATGGAGAGGTCAAATACTTCGAGGAATACAACACGGAGAGAAGCCGGGCCTATGCCTGTGTTCGATGAGGGTGGACGAATAAGGGGTGAGAAAAGAAAATAAGAGATGGAAAGACGGAAAATAAGAATAGTCATACAAATTACTGCCTCATTCTGGTCAAGAAATTCTGTCACATCTACATGTCTAAAGCTGACCTAAAATCATAGATTAGATCCATGGATACACCTCAGATGCTTCTCCCAACCTAAGACTTTAGTAATGCCTTCTGAATCAGGTGCAAATGAGAATTCTGCCATAATTTCTGCTACTACTCCGTACGTATGTTGTACTTCAAAAAAGAGTTTCTGCCATATAACCGTGCCAAGCGCCCATCACACCCTGTGTTGGTGCGCCCCGGTCAACGATAATCCCCTATCAACGATAAATCTTGGGATTGGTACTTTTATATGGTTTGTATAGTAAGAAAACCTGCATATTAATCAAAAAAAGACTCCTATGGGATGGCTGTGTTGGTGCTTAAAAGTATTATGCCTAGTATAGCCTACTATGTATACATTTTGAGGTGTGGCAAGAGCCCTTGACTCACTTTTATTAATAATTTAGCAATGTACTACGTAGGTGTCTGCTAAATTTAGAGTACGGGGGTGAATAACCAAAGGACCAAAATACATGTCGAGGTAGGGGGGTTACTTTACACTCTATGAATATTCCCGCGGAGATAAATATAGTTTTGGGTAGCGGTTTTTTGATACCATGAACGTACATGATTTTTGTTTAGTCGTGTTTGCAATGATGTATCCCGACATTCTTTAACAAGTACATTTATTTGAAGCAAAAAGACAAAACAAAAAAAGAAGAGGGCCCGAAGCGCGATTCGAACACGCGGCCTCTCCGAATTTGAGATGTGAACCCAAACGGAGAATCATACCTATGATGAGTTAGCGGGGAAATTGGTGTTATTGTGAGATGAATGAAACGTACCACTAGACCATCCGGGCGTAAGATGAGATAATCAACAGGAGTACAACATGCGACTCGGTGGTTTTAAGCTTAATCGCTCCAATTACTCTAGTAGGTATCACAGTTAGTTGACTTACTTATAATTGCATTGAATATCGAAGTTGTTTAATTAGCCTTATTAGCTATTTTATATACCTAGATATGGTGGGGTTAGTGGTGTATAGGATAGTGTGTAAATCATAGGAATTTGTTATAAATATATATAATTTCTAAAAATTCCATGGATCCAATCGAAAATCTTCACCAAAAAATAGTGGGGCGTTAAATTTCTTCCATTATATAAACTACACTAGGTGGTGAATTTATAGTAGTATTTACAAATAGTTCCGAAACGGAGGTTTCTGGCTAAGTTAAATAGCTATGCTCCTATGGTCGATATCTATAGTAATGCTATATTATTTGAAGATCTATGGGCTATAATAATAATGTTATATTACCTTCAGGGCTTGATCTTCTTGATGTACCCTAGAATAGCCCCACAATATATCTTCCGCCCGGATGGTCTAGTGGTACGTTTCATTCATCTCACAATAACACCAATTTCCCCGCTAACTCATCATAGGTATGATTCTCCGTTTGGGTTCACATCTCAAATTCGGAGAGGCCGCGTGTTCGAATCGCGCTTCGGGCCCTCTTCTTTTTTTGTTTTTGCTTTTTTCCATTGCACCACCGTAATGCAATAAGCTCTGTCTATCCCCCCCAATCACTCTACGGAGTCTATGTTTATCATTTCTGTATAGATATGGGCTGTGGTCACCACACGAAAGAGAATATAACGTCCGACCGCCGCATCTATAGAATGCGCCCTAACAGGTCTATATTTTGTCAATATCGTACACTAAGATACCCTATATAGCTACGAGCTGAATATCAGACCGTAATTATATGGTAACAGCCATTTTCAGGGGTATGATCCCAACACTCAACGAAAGCCGGGACATAACCGAACCTTCGGCTATCCTATTTGGGACGCAGTAGATATACACAAACAGCTTGGAAATCCAATGGGGTATCTATTGTTGTTGAAAAATGTACATAGTTTTCATGCCCAACCTGCAAGCGTCCAACTCGATCGATCACCGCCAGATCTCAAGCCCGATCGACGATCAGGAACAGGCTGCTCGATGTCTCGTGTAGCCCCAGCAAGTCCATGCTGTAAGAACTTCTCTCGTTCAATCTCTACCATCCCCCGGATCTTCAGACTACTTGTCAGGCTTGCACCCGCCCATGGACCAAGAGATTCAACTTCGCGCAAGACTCCTTGAATGGGGACTGGTATATCTTTGTTTTGTCGGCGGAGCTTTTGTTCCACAAAATCAATTTCAGGCACTTCCTTCGAAGGATCGGCTGGTTCGTCATCGGTAGATGGTGCTTCCCCTTCCCCATTGCTCTTAGGGGTTTCAGGTTGGGCGGAAGCTTTTTGGGCTGAAAGTCTCAGCTCCTCCAATCTTTGTCGCTGTCGCTCGAGTGCTTTGCCTCGAATTGGACTCCATCCATGACGATCAATCAAGAGTGAAACTTCTCTAAGGACCCGCTGCCGCAGCCCAGGAATTCGAGAACCGCCGCCCACAAAAACAATGCGGGACATGCATGTACCTCGTGCATCAGGGTACAACGAGAGAAGGGTGTTGTAGACAAGCAAAGGCAATGGTTTTTCTTCGTCATCTAATTCATGTTCTGCAACGCCTGGTGCGAATAAAACAGTCTCGGCAGGTTCGGCGAGACGTGAAAACGGCACGTCCATGTATTCTTCCTCGGGGTTTGCGGGAGAAGGAATCGACAATTCCCTTTCGGGTTCATCTGAGTTTGTTTCTTCTTCTGCCTGCGATTTGCACCAGGCAAACCGACTGACCACTTCTTCGCAGTACGCGAACCCAACAGAGATCTTATCTGTAGTCGCCGTATCCTGGTTCCCGTCGGAAGCTAACCTAGTAAGAAGTAGCCCCATTTCCTGCATCAAATGCTTCATAGACCGTGTTGTTCTTTTCGTAGTCATCTCTCGGTATTCATAGATTGCCGTTGCCGTAGCCTCGGCCCAGCCAAGGTCAACCACCAGAGCTGACCGCAGTCCCGCAGCTGTAGCCGACATAGTCGCACTGGAAAGAAGGGTCACACTCGGGAAGCGCCAGCGACTGAATAGCGTTGACAGCAATGACGACAGCAATGGATGTGGCATAAGAGACGGCAGGACAAGAACGAGGCGAGATGTGCCTGCATCCGTCAACAGAAACTGGTTGTATGTCTCCCGAAACGCACGTTCGATCTTATCCTCTACTAGACCAAAATCAACCTCTCGAGAATCTGGCCGCCACAATTCATATGCCCGTGTCCACTCTTCCATGTCGATGGGTTGCGGTAGCCGTCCAGCACCGGTGCTGCCCTGGATCCATCCTCGATAGTCCCCAGCTCTTCTCGAATCTTCAGGTCCAAAGCCAACCACACACACGGGTGCACTGCTTCCTTCAAAACCTGCGCGGAGCCATCTTGCGCCTATCTCAAATATGATCGCATCGTCTTCACCCCGAAAGGAGGAGCTCGGTGATGTGCTGCTGGTGAATGGGGGGTTTCCCGAACGTTGCTGTGGTGTATGAGGGGAAACAGGTCGTGCTGTCTGGCTATTGCGCAGACCGGAAGTTGTTGATGTGCGTTTACTAGCACCAATTGGAGGTGTATCACTCGTCATGCTTGATTGAGCTCGGGCGCGTTGCTCTCCTTTCCAAGAGTAACAGGAGTCCACGGGGTTCGTAGCGGCAAATATTCGATTCACCTGCGCACGGGTTGGAATTTCAGCGTCATCGGATTAGATTCAAAGATAATAAAAAAGGAAATAAGGTCTATAAGCTTGCCCAGGTGGCTCATTGGGGGAAGCTCGTTGGTAGGCAACGGATCTACATCGGGCCGTCTTTATTTACTTGACAACCTCCTCTCTCCGCAACAGCCAATACATATTGTACATCTTTAACTCCACATGGACGCTTCAACTGCTTTCTGATTCTCCTATTGCTTACAGTAGGTATGGGTATTCCTGGGTAAGTGAAATAGTTTCTTTTTTTCTTTTTTTTTATGCATGGTAGAAGACATATATCCCTGAGCCCGAGTGAAAGTGTTGTTTATTCACACATGAGAAGCAGAACTTTTTATTTCCAGATTTCTCAATCAAAAGGCTAACATCATTAAGGCTTATCAATGCCATTGGCCCAGGAGAGCGCATCTCTCTGGCCAAGTTGGCTGTGACGCACCTGGAGCGGACAGCGAGGCCGATCCGCATTGCAGTCGACATTTCGATCTGGCTTTTTCAAGTCCAAGCAGGTCGGGGCGGAAGAAACCCAGAGTTACGCACCCTATTTTATCGATTATTGAAATTACTTGCATTGCCAGTTCACCCTCTTTTTGTCTATGATGGACGGCAAAAACCTGCTTTCAAGAGAGGCAAAGCAGTCTCAACCCGCAGTTATGGTAGTGCACCGATCATCAAGCGCTCCAAGGATCTCATCGAGCGATTCAGATTCCCGTGGCATGAGGCACCCGGCGAGGCAGAAGCCGAATGTGCACGGCTGCAGCAGGCGGGTATTGTAGACGCTGTCATGAGCAACGATGTCGATGCATTGATGTTCGGATCGTCTTTTACCATTATGAACTTCTCGAAAGAGAGCGGAAGCGGTAGTTCTTCTGCAACTCATGTCACATGCTATGCAATGGGACAGGATGGGCAAGCATCGAACATACCCCTTGATCGGCCCGGAATGATTCTATTCGCTATGCTCAGTGGAGGGGACTATCTACCATCTGGTGTTCCAAAATGTGGCAGTAAGCTCGCTGCAGAGATTGCCAAGGCTGGATTCGGCGAGGATCTTCTGCAGGAGCTTGCGTCAAAAGCAGACGTGGATACAGGATTGAGCGAGTGGAGAGAAAGACTCCAG